CCACACACATAAAAAATGGACATTTCATATTAGGTGACAAATCACATTTTTATTTATGCTTTAGGGTACTATAATACATCAAATAATATATAAAATACAAAACATATTATGTCATTTGGGTAGTTTTAAACACGTTATAAACGAGTGACCGATCTTGTAGTAATTTAACATATACAATACATTGCTAGTACTTAAGTCTATACAATTTAATTTTAAAATAAATATTTGGTATGTAAAAATATAAATATACCATATTTACTTTGAAGCGTTACTTATAATAAGTAAAACTTAGTCACAGATAAGGTATAATGTAGATAAACATGTATATTAATTAGTATTTAGATACAAAAAATCAATAATAATTTAATTAAAGAATAATTTCACTAAAATATACATTTACTTTTCAATAGGCGTTGATAAATATTATAAATCTTCTCTGCTAAAATTGATAACCATTTTGTATTGTTTTAAATTTTAGTTTAATGTTCAGTTTATTACATCGACTATTTTAAATTACATTGAATATGTGAGGTGATAATAATATAATACTTTCACAGAATAAACACACCTTTTCCACGGGCCAAAATTCTTTCGAAAACAGTATTTAAAAACTTTTGTAATTATTACGACATAGGTAATTCACTGTCGAATACCGCAACTATTATTAGCTGCACTACGTACTTTTTAAAACTTTTTCTCACTAATAACAATTTATTCTCATCTCGTACACCATGCATGACATTTTCTTTTTAAATAATATTTCATCAGACTGAGGTGTACGCACTATAATACCTATACCCACTTTCGTGTTACATAATATATCCTTTTATTCACAAAAAACACCCAGGTAAGCAAATCTTGAAACATGCAAACTTCTTCGCTTTTTTCCCGTGCGTCAATTCACCGCCTCTTTTAATCTCCTGCTTCGCGCGTTCCTTTATTTTATACTACAATCCATTATTATATGTCTCTGTTAATTCATCACACGTCTTTCATTAATTTAATTTTCAATTCTCTCAGTTTTATTTTCAACGTCAGTTAATCTCCTTTGAAACGTTTTGCTTGGCGCACTTAATAATTCTATCAACAGTTCTTAAGTAAAATCTTTAAAAGTGATTGTCATAATTTTAATAATATTTACAGAATAGTTTATTAATAAACGATTTTTAATTTAATACAATTAGTTCTATGAACGTTTATATGAATGTTTATGAACGAGAGACAAATTTCATTACTTTATAACTTTTTTTACCGTGCAATAATATTATTCAAGATTTAATGCAATCCAAACCAGGACATTTCTTTTTTTTTTGTAAGTGTAATTATCACCAAAAGGTCCCCCAGTGTTATTTTTTTGTCATACAATCGTCAACGCGTGACCATGAATAGAAATATAATATGCAAATAGGTTTCATGATTCCTATAATTTATTGTTACTTTATAATTTCAAATAACATTATTTCTAATTACTTGGCAGTAAATAAATATTTTTTTAAATACTTCATATTACTTCGAGTATTAAAATAACAGGCATATATCATTGATCCCTGGGATTATGGGCTTAAGTCCATCATTCCAATCAAATTCATTAAACGATTAACTGAGTGAAGTATTGATTAAGAAATATTGAGAAAAAACATTTAGGAAAAACAAACATATTTTCGTAGTTACGTTATACCTTTATATCGGCCGTTTTTTGTTTTATATATGGCCATTTCATAGCTTGCACTAAATTATAATTTTTACACGTAAACTATTATTGCAGTAGACGTAATAATATTAGAACCGTAGTATACTATTATAGACGTGTCACTTTGAGAAAATGTACAGTATCAATGTTTATTTAAAGAGTTATCTGTAATTTTTAATCTCTCTTACTGCAGTGAAGTCGGTGGCCAATTAAAACGACTCGGTTGTTTACATTTTAATTGTTTCTTAACTTTAATGAAAATTTATACATATTAGGTATACTTGTAGATGAGTTTCGTTAAATTAAAGCAAATGTTTACTTTCATAAAATTAATATAAAATTGCGTATGATGAAATATTATAAATATTATTATATATAATACAACTTTACTGTAAATTTAGATTTAAAACCGAACACGATTTTTGTTACAAAACATAATCAAGTATTTTATCACTAATATAATTGATTAGTACAATAATGATTACGATAGAATAATTATTAATTAACGCCAATTAATCGATATACATTACAATCATATTGATTTGGTAACTCTACGGGCAATGGCCAACCCTAAAAAATCAGCTCTCCTGAGAAATTTAAACTACTACATAACACCAGGGGCGGGACTGCTGTATAAAATTAACTCAGGTGTTCATATATTAAAGCCACTTATAACACCAATAATCAATAGCAGGGATACCACTCAACCAAAATATTAAAATATGCTCTGCATAACTACCTACTATATTATAGTATTTTTAGTATTGTGAGAATTATGACATAGTCACAAATATTACAGATATTTACTGTACAATACCGAGGCCAATATATGTGTAAGGGCTCAAAAATCTAAGGTGCTTCACGTACGCCCTCCTATTCAGTCTGCCCCTGCATAAAACTTGTCTGGAGTTACAAAAATTAATTAATTATATTTTTAAAGGTAGCCAACAGAAATTTTACTAAATATTTTATAAATATTTTACTAAACCGTATTATAATGTTACACTTTGACGTTAAATATAATTTCACAAGTTTGATTATATTTTAAAGAGTCCGTGATGGATTAAGGTGATATTTATAGCGAAGGTATAATGATATGCGGACTAAGACTTCTGAAAAATAGTATAATCATATATATATAAAAAATCAGAGCAAAATTGCTGGTAGAAAAATGGTACATACAAAAAAAATAAACATCATTATAAAACCAATAAATTCATCGCTTCGCCTAAAATGTAAATTAACATTCTCAGTGTAACAACCAGAACAATTTTAGAATCAAAAACCTCCAATTATTAACATTAGACATCAGTTGGAGCCATATTTATCGTAAACAAGTTGCTTACACGCAGAAAAATAAAGCAGCACGCATCATAGTAAAAACAATAATACTCATTAGCACAGAATCGAAAATTTGCACGTCTTAAATACACATTGTACAATCTAAATGCAATTTTTCCAAGTCAATATTATTGTTGCGTAAAAGTTCTAAAGAATTTTCCTATCTTCATTTAAAAAGCTCAACGAACAAAAAAACACATTTTATTGTAAAACAAATTTCTCGAATAAGGAATGTGAAAATATATAAAATGTTCTCCGAACAAACGAAATAAATTAAAATAATTTTCGTTAATGTTGTATTTCCTGCGTATAATATTATTTATTCGTGATACGTGAAATGGGAAATTCGACGGAGGTAGAACGTTTGAATAATAAATGATTTCGTGAAGTAAAAAATTATCAGGAAATGTAGTTTTCCCGACGAGAGAGCGGCAACGGCGTAAGAAAATTAAAGTTGTTTATGATGTATAGGATTTTTCGGACAAGTTTATATATTCAGTATCATAAGGTGTTAGTGAAACGGGAGTTATTTTTTTTTTTTTTATAGAGAAAAGGAACAGAAGTTTAACTTTTAAATATTTGTGTTGTTTTTTTTTTCCTTAAACGAATATTATAACTTTTATACTCTTAACGTAGTAAAGAATGTATTGGTTTTAATTTTTTTTTTTTATCTGTAGACAAATTTTCTACCAGGAACCTTACTTCGAATGTTAAAAGTAGTTTTTTTTTTTAAGAAGATCGCCTGCAATTGTTGTTTATAAAAGACTTTTTTAATTTTTCGTTTAGTTTTTTTAATGATTGGAAATAATCGGAAAAATGTAGGAAAAACGGGAAAGTGACATTAAGGGACATTGACAGCTTCATTATTTTAAACTTTCTATTTAGAAATTCTTTTTAGAATAGTCGTAGACCAGCTATTTTTACAGGATACTTATATTAGCTATTTATAAGCTTTTAATTATTATATAAACAGTTTTTCCGAATAATTCATGGAATTAATTTTGAGATATTTATAGTAATTTGACATTTGCGAGTTTTGTTTGTTTTTTATTTGGTTTTATGAGTTACAATTTTTGGGTCAAACAGAAATACTTATGCAAAGTTCACTATAAGTTGTACTTAGTGGTCAAATAAAAAATTCAAATTAATTTAGTAGGTTTTTTTACAAACATATCTGTGTTTTAAGTACAAGTTTTGATGAAAATCGTTAAAATTACAACGGCATTTAAAAACACGTTTAACTGAATTTGATTCAGAATTAAATTCCGCCAACAATGATTTATCATTGCGTACAGCTATAAATTAAAAAAAATAATTTTGTTTTACTTTTCCATTCTACAGCAGTGGCACACCCATCCGTAGCGTTTTTATACATTTTATTGTTATGATTTGGCTTAATATAGGTCGTTCAGACTTTGCCGCAACCACCACTCCTATGCACCTTTTTTGTTAGTGGTTGCCTCTTACCCTATTGTCCAATACTAATAAACTCGTATCGCTCTTCAAATAATATAAAATAAATAATAATAATAAAACAATTTTCGGGACCACGTGCAGAGTTATACGTACACTATAATAATAGTACTACACTTTACTGCTATATACGAGATGACAGTTAATCTCGTCTCAATTTATCTTCCGTGGGGAGATAGGCTTAAAAGATCGGTTTGACCCAAAAAACATTCGGATCACGTGCATGCAGCTATAATATCTGTGTGCTGTATGTGTGTACACGGTGAAAAAGGATGTGGTCTACGGAGCAGTTGGTCGTCCTCGACGGTGGAAAACCAAAACGCGACGATCGTCGGGACGCGGTGGCGCGCGGCGTTGAGTAAGTACGGAGTGGTTGCAAACGGGGGCACGAGTGAATCGAGAGGAGGCAGAGGGTTAACGAGGAGGGGATGAAGGGAACGGAGGAGTCGTGGTGGTAAATTTCTCGCTTTTCCGGGGCTCCGTATCGCAGTCGTCGACCACGTCCCCGGCACAGCGGTAGGTATTGCAGCTGCTGATGCGATACGTTTAAGATCGCCGACAACAAAAAAAAAGACCGTCATCGCTCTACTTCTATCTAATACACACGCGTGTACACATTCGTCTTCGTACAGCACCCGAGAATTTCCTATCGTTATTTTTATCAATCATTTTTATTATTAATATTTGTTACTATTATACTCGGCAATCGTCGTCCGTCGTCTAGGTCCTGCAGCATAATATAGTATTTACTTACCGTCGTCATCGTCGTTGTCCGACCGGAAACATCGACGGCCTCACAAAAATCAACGAAACAGTGAGTACCTATAGTTATGTGATTTTTATATTACAATTAAAAACGTATAGCGTTAATCATATTATATCATTATAAGCTTTACGATATTACGTTATAATATAGGTAAACCTATATAAGATTGTTTTTTCGTTTCGGTCAACTCCAAGTAACAATTAATTATACATAGACATGAGAAGTTGGGGAGAGGCTTGAAAGAGTTTAGCTCTTCTCGAACCATTTCAAGCCCTACCCATAATATTTGAATTGATTTAATCCTAATGTGTTAGTTCTAAAACCTATCGGGTTTCAAGCCCTATGTATTTACAAACTGCAATTGGGCATAATTTTACACGAGAACACAAATTATAATTATAAAAAAATAAATAGTTCATACTTTAATAAAGTACGAAGAGATATAAATAATTTTATCGGTTTTCAATCTTGTGTATATTCGTGATTACGAAAATGTATGATACAGCGTTATATACATTTTTGCCAATATTCGGCAACTTCTATGGTACCCACTGTTGCAGTCATAATGTTGTCTACAATGTACACGAATTTGAGTAGATAGGGAAGTTCAGTTAGGTGAGGCATAGTCTATATTATATACTTGTCCACACTTGGTTTTTTTTTTTTTAGAAACGTCAGGCGTAAGCCGTGGCCAACCTAATCCCGTTCTTAATTTTTTTATTGTTCTCCAAACAAGTCGTTCTAAATTAAGGTGTATATATATGCATGTGGATAGATAGGAATATGATAATTTTTCAAAAATCACGTGGCCGACAAAAATATTATCAAAACATTTGAATTTGTTGTTTATATTGAATGATGTTTAATATGCAAAGTGAATTAAAAACAACAAAAAAAAAAAAAAATTAAAAAAACAAGTATTTTTTTTTTTTTTTTGATTTTGAAATACACCACTTAAAATATATTATAGTGCGTAAAAATATATGTAGAGTATACATCCAATTTCAAATATAATATACAAGTACATATGTATTATATTGTATTACGTATACTCGTATACCTCCTAAACATTTTAACCGAAAAACCATTTGATCCGCATGCGATGAAATCTCGTTCAGTGTTTTATTTATTGATCACTTGATCGTATTGTCGACCGCATATGATTTTCTACATCCGCTTCCATTTAATATCAGTAGCGCATTTAGAGAGGAAGGTGAAAGGTGTAATTTCCACGAACAGCAAAATGTTAAAAATGATCAAATGTAAATGATCGTAGACGATGACTTTTAGAGGTAAGAGAAAGCAAGGTTTGAATAGGTAAATAAAATGTTTAAGCACGGGCGTACCCGTGTAAATGGGGGAGCGACGAAAATTGTGTTTTATCCGGGCCGTATAAATCCTAGATGAGCCATTTATATCTATATAGACACACTCTGTATAGCGTATAAATATGTATACATATATATATACCGTTAGGTGTATTATTTTATAATAGTGTGCTATGCTGCGATGCCTATGTATAATTGGTAAACTGGTAACAATAATAATACTAATATTAAACCGTCCGTGTTCATTAATTATTATTACTATAATCGATGCCTCTAAACATAATTGGGATGTCATCGCCACCGTAGCCGATAATGTTTGGTACCTTCCCATACCTATATAACGGTTTAACGAGATTTTCGAAATATCTGCAACCGACTGTACCAACATACCTATATATATTTATATATATATATATTTATACACACACATAATATTATATATTATTATCTACACGACTTTCCCGCACAATATGCAAATGGAATTCAAGTTTCGTAATGTTTACTCCTTCTTCCCCCCTTACCACCCCCAATTCGTTTTAAACCCCACGACGTGGTTATAATATTGTATCTTGTCTTTCGAGTATACACTCGTATACCTATATGTAGTGTTAGACATTGTGTAATTAAACACCTTAACGAACATTTACCGCATCGTGATGAATACCGAATTTACTTGATGATAATAATATATAATAATATTATAATTTCGTAATACATATTATGAGGTTTGATACGTACCTACCATTCAATGCCCTACTATATAAAGTTTGACACCGTATATTTATACACATATATGTATTAGATTATTAAATTATTACTGATAAAATAAACTGTACATACAAATATGTTACAATACCTAATGTTTTAATTTCTCGCCGATTTATAATTTATTATAATATATGATGATAATATTATGTTACCCTGAAATTCGTCAACCGGTAGCGTATTTAGGATTTTGCGAACGAGGATGAAGATATCAAATTTGGTAATTGCAGTGTCATATTATATAAACGTGTACTGTAACTATATATTAAACAAAAAAAAAATACATTTCTTATCATTATAATCATATAAAACTTAATTTTTGGGTATTTAGTTTTAGGTACTGATGTAATAGCTCTAACCTTCTTTATATTATTATAGTAATTCAGATGGTTAAGTTTTAAACTAGAAAATGTACAAGTTCAGATTTATTTTGATAAATTAGCTGTTAGAAATAGGTGGCAACATATTTTTGATTTTTCTGACTAAAAAGTAAAGAAATTTGAATTCAACAAAAATAAGTGTAGTCACATAAATCATACGAGTAGATAGTTACTTAACAACGATTAAAGGGGAAATAAATTTTCTTTAATCTCTCTCCTTAAGAAAGCCGCTGATCCCAACAATATTAAAAAATGGGTTTAATGAATATTGGTTTTTATCACGACGACTGACAATAAGGTATCTGTAATAAATGCATAACACACAGTTCACACTAATTGTTTTATTATTATTAAAAGTGAATTTCTACGGAGGTAAAATGTACTATAAAAAAATGAACTATTTTATGTATTCCATAACATCAATGATTCTAAACGAAGAGAGTATTAATATGTATTGGTTTTACTATATCATGTGTTTTTTTCTTTCCTTTTTATGTTTGTGAACATCTTTTTGACCAGAAATTCGATCTTTTCGACCTTACTTCAATCATCGACAGTAGTGGTATTTTATGATAACAAATTATTATATTTATTTGATGTATTGCATAAAGAGGACATTTTTCGATTTATTTCCTCGAAGTTTTATTAATACCGGAGATAACCTTGTGAATTCCCAAATTATTTTGAGAAAATCATAAATGCTTCGGGCATTCGAAAATCAGCTCGGTGAATTGACAACAAATTTTGAACATGGTATATAATAAAATGTATTATCAATATCATTACTGATATCAGGTCATATTATATTCGTTGTTCGCTTTCTTAATCGTAATATACCGCGTATAGCTATCTAAATTTCCGGAGAAACTATTTTATATACACGTATGTATATTCGCGGTTAGTCAGGATTTCGCATCCGTTATGATGTTTACTGCCGTTTTTAGTGCCGCCGTCGTGGCTGTGTAGGATATACATTTTCTGCGCGTGAATTACCAAAACTCGTCCAACACACACTTGAATAATATTCTATATACTACAGTATTAATGTAAATTTATTAAATTTCGAAATATTTCGTATAACGTTTTTTAATGACATTACCCAAAGTCGAGTTTTCAATGAAAAACTAATTAAACTGTACAGTAATTTATACACTGCAAATTCAATAAAAGGTTATTATTACCTCGGTTGTTATCATCGTAAAATCTAAAGAGAATTTTTCATTTTCTTCGCACAAAACAGCATCTGTATAATATGTATGACTTTAAATGTAACAAGTGAAATAATAAAGTTTCTTCCTTTTCATATCGTATTAATTAATAGTGAAAAGTAATTTAAAATACCTATTCAAAACGTCAATTAAAAAAATTTCAATTTAAACGTTCACTACGAAAATTATATTTCTTTTCGTTTCTCTTCAATTTTTCACGCCATCGAACTGGGAAATTCGAAAAATGGCCAATACTTTAAAGTATACCATCTGTGTTCAATTACCTACCTATACACATAAAGTGCTGCATGAAACTTTTTGAGTATGTTTACTGTCCCGGAAAGACTTTTTCTGAATAGGAAAAACACATAGTTCCAAAACTATAAAAGCAACCTCACTATATAAATGTACATTCAGAATCTAATAAGCATAAGAAATAACACCTTTTATACTGTTGTATTATTATAAGTATAATATTGTTAGGCAATTTTTTTTTTTATGTTTTAGATAAAATAGTAAATTATCTCTTTGTAATGTATTATAAATTATTATAGTATTATGTTTAATTAAAAAAGTTGAAATAATATTTGAACTCTCTCTATAATAATAATAATTATGCAGCTGATACCTTTACGTATAGACATAACGTAACATAACAAACTTATACATTTTTCATACAATCGGAAGAGGCGAGAAAGTTGTCGACGGGACTTGATGGATGTAAGAATACGCAAGAAGATGGCCTTTCATCATAAATAATGAGAAATTACTGTTCTTGGATTTTATCTATCAAATCGCACAACAAATATTATATTTAATTTACTTTCGAGGTATCTGTAGTTTATTTTAAGACAATTATTTCGCTTCACTAACAATGAATCTGCGTATAGATTATAGGTAATAGGAAAACTATACTAAATATTTTATTAGATCCAGCCTACATAGCTTAATAATTCAATATAGGCTTTACGCCGTACGATTATTTAAAAATATTATCATTGTTTGATTCTTTATTATTTTCGTATTTTTTTTAATTTACTCCTATTATACCTATTGTTTGTTATAAAACAGTATACAATATTAATATGAATTAATGAAAACCTATACCTAAATAACATTGTGATTAAAAAAAAAATGTTCGATACATTATGTTAAACAATTTTTATTTTACAATGTATCTACAGAAATTCAATAACTTTTATAACATATAAGTTTTACCGGTTTATAAACCGTTATAATTCGAACTAAATAATGAAAATTCATAAAAATAATAAAAACATTTCTTTTATACTTTATATTATAAAATGTATAAATATCATAAAGACGTCAACAAATTTCAAGTTATACATTAACAGTAAGGGAAAAACGAGATTAATATGGGACAGACTTGAAAAAACGGGACAACATACGTCCCGTCTAACTTTTGTCGGGACAATTCCGTATAGTCACTCTAACGTATGTCTACAGTTGTTAAAATGATCAGAAAATATATTTTTCGGGCGATTAATAATAAAAAAAACTAAAAACTGACGCTATTTACAATATGTTTAATACACAAGCGAAAACCAAATGATCTGCGAAAATCAAACAGTTAGTTAAAATCTTACAAATTCATCAGCAAGGATAAGCTCAGTGAGACTGACTAAACATTAGTATATCATATACTCGTTTAAAGTGTATACTGTTCAAAAGTTCATATCTATATACATTATACATATTGTATACGCAATGTTCATTAAATTATAATCTACGAGTATTGTGACCTTTTTAAAAACATTGATAAGTTTCGCATAAAATTTACCTGAATTTATTTAAGTCACTTTAGATCGTTTATTGTGACTTTCTGGAACTTTCTGGTCTGCCTACAAGAAGATTATCATGATTTTATTTCATTGGTCTTATAATTATTGATATTTTGATCATTGTACGTTCCATTTTGAAATCATAATAAAAATAACTGAATTTAAATTATATTCATTACAATACCTATATTAACCGTAAAATAATTATGTAGGTATTTATAAATTTAATAAAATATTAAGAAATAAATAAATAATACAAGTAGATACTTTCAAAACTTTGATTGAAATTATCCTTTTCATGCAACGGGTAGCTAAAGGATCATTTTCTAAAATTACTTCCGGAGAAAGGATAAACTCGAGACTCTTGTGTTCGTATTTTTTTTCCACTTCTTTAATGTTACCAAACACTAAAGTTTTCAATTTAAACGAGACCTTTCACAACCTTAACTACTGTTGATATGAAGTATTTTGATGATGGGGCACAGCATCGTTTAATGTTCATAAAACAAGAAAATTTAAACATTCCATGCTTAAAGTCTCGACCATATACTCTGTGTACCCATACTCTGTACTCTACGCCATATAATATTATTTTACATATTATAGAGGATATTTTAGATTCTGAGTGGAGTGAAGGAACTTTTGGTTTTACAAAGATGTTTATTTTTTTTTCTCTGCGCAAATTTTTTACCAAAAAACTGGCTCGGATTTTTAAGTGTAGCATCTTTTCTGAAAAAAATCTATGTGATGAGGTACTTTAAAGAATAAATTTTTCGATTTTCTCAGGAGTTTTCTCATCAAATTTGAAAAACTGAAAAAAAGACCGGAAAAATGTACGAAATATATTACTAAACTATTACGATTTTTTCCCTGTGCGCAACTTTTCAACCAGCAATTTTGCTCCAACCTATAATGATAACAATATTTCTAAAAGAAAATTTTATAAGGGAGGTACTTTAGGAAGATCATTTTTCAATTTTCCAAGAGTTTACTAGCAAATGTGAAAAACCGGGATAAAACGTGGGAAAACTGGAACAATCGGTACAACATTAAACAAATATTATTTAAGAAAATACAAAAGCCTATTTAATTATTTTACTGTAATATAACATGCATACTGTTGAAAAAGCATCAATATTAACTGAACTCCGCTCAGAATCATTTTTTCGTAAGCAATGGTTTATCGTTGATTACAGGTATACATTTAATTACCTATAATAGTGACTGCATCTGTTCCCATTATCTTAGGACTTTTTTTTTTTTTAGCCAACTCCAACTATTATATTATAAACAAAAACCTTTTTCATTTATATATTATTTCATGTATTAATAATATTTAAGTGTAAGTGTTTTCACATTACGGTGCCTATATGATATCCGTTTCATCTAACGCTGTCAATTATAAATATTCCGCCAATTAAATCGTTCTAAAATAATATTACTCGGCCATTATATAAACGATATAGTGCTAAAACTAATACAGACTAAGTAATGCGGAATACGTATTAACTGTCAGCGGGATTGTGTTAATAAATCCTCGTCCCCCCCACTCGTTATCGTTTAATATGCAGATTGAGAAATAGTGGGCCCCTAATACTCGTTATTATTATACAACTCATCATGACAAAATACGTCGGTACATAAATTGGGTTACGGAATTTCGATACGGCCGGTTAAATCGTTTACCTATACTCGATGATTATTTTAGTTATAGGTATACCTACTTATATTAGGATAGTAAACAAGATAATACTAAATTTACCATCGTATACTCCTAAATCGTAAATTCAAACCTAACCTAACCTAACCATTATAAACCCGACTTACATATTATAAAAAAATACAAATATTGACTGGTAAAAAACGACATAATGCATACTATAGGATAACCGACCATAATTAGAACTTTGTATCACACAAGCGCTAGTGTTCCTATGATTATTTTATAGTGAGATATTTCATTTTTAGTTATCAGGACTAGCAACATTTATAACAAAAATTGTATAAAAGTAGGGGGGATAATTGCCTTTTTAAGGTATAAGCGACACTAATGAAAATTGTATTCGCTAAGCGATAAACACGTGGCACTTAGTCCCTACCATAATGCGCTTATCATTTTTTAAAATATTTTGTGATAGGAAATAAAGTTGTTATCGACAAAATCTGTGAAACTTAATGTCTTGTTTCATTTATGTTTTTATTTGTTTTTTCGAGGTGAGCTGGTAACTAAAGCAAGTTAAACATATTATATTTTATTATCATTAGTGTTACTGTACTGATTTATGCCTGCACATCTGTCCTAAATTAAAACGATATATCCTTGATCAATGGATTATGATATTGATAATTTGAAAAACTTGTTATTACATAATATTATAGTTTTACTTCTATCAGTATATTATTGTTTGGGAATAAAAATTATCATATTTCAGAATAATTAATTAATATGTGATTTTTCATCAAGACATCCCATAATTATCCCACAGAATTCGTAAGTTGTGATTTATTCCACGTTTGAGATTTATCGTATATTATGTGTTTACACGTACATTTTCAGTAGGTACCTAATACGATTAAGATCATCTAAATATTATAAATATTATAATATTATTATGAGGCGTGCACCATTCGGGGGAGAAAACAATATAATATACGGTATATTATTATATTGTAAGTTATACATCTATACAGTATGTCCCGTCATATATTAATATATGCGCCACTAAATATTTCAACCTGATGACCTTAGATTGAAATGTGGTTTTCAATCATAGACAAAGGGTAGGTACTGAAATATACATTTCAGGAAAGTTGCAAATTGTTAACCCTAGCGTAATACTACTTGAGTTTTTTTTTTAAAGTAACGCCTATTTTTGTATTTTTGTAGTTAAACTTAGATTAATTCAATATCTCAAGTTTTTTATAATTATATATTGATCAGAGTCCTAAACCCAACATTGACCGAGTTACAATTCTTTCATAAATAAAAATAATGCAGGTTATTTTATTCGTATTATGTAGCCAGTGTGTTGAAAACGGGACAAAATTTGTTTTGAAAAAATTGAAAAATCGAATTATTTCCGAATTTTAGATAGGTAACTTTAATTCAGTCGCTTTCAGGTTTAGTACAATAATCAATATGATTTTAACCAATTAACCACATTAGGTTAATTTTTTGAGAGATAGTTGATAGAGGTGATTTAAGATATTTTATTTGGTAGTTCAAGTAGTATAAAGTAATAAAGTAATAATCCCACGTCACAAGTAAAATACACCTCTTAAAAAAAAAAAATACACCCACGCGTATCAAATTTTTGGTGGTTCGCTGAACCTTCAAATCTATGTTCGATAAACCATTGCTAACGAAAAACGATTCTGAGCGCAGTCCAGTTGATAGTAATGCTTTGTCAACAATATTTATGTCATATTATAGTCAAATAATTAAATAGGCATTAATATTTTCTTTAATTATAATTAAATAATATTGTATCGATTTTGCGGTTTTACTTGGTTTTCACATGTTCTTTCCAAGTTTTTTCCATTTGCTAGGAAAACTTTTGGTAAAATCGAAAAATAACTTCCTAAAAGTACCTCCCCAGTACAGATTTTTTTTTAGAAAATGTACTATCATTGTAAATCGAAAAGAAATTGCTGGTAGAAAATTGTTTGTGCACAACAATCAAGGGGTATTCTGTGATTAAAATAGTCTGAGCGAATGAGACCTTAGGTCTCTAGGTACACCCAAAATGCATTTTTTTTCCTTGTTTAAGTAAAAGACAAAAACAATGCAAACACCTTTTTTTTGAAATACTAGTCGGAACCCCTAGAATTATAATAGGCATAAATAACTATTAGATCACGATAAATATGTTCGAAGAGGTATAATATAGAGTTAACATAACATATAATATCAGAACTTCAGAAAGCTATAATTTCGATACTTAGTCAGTCCACTTAATTCTGACTTTTCCATCGTTTTTAAATCAGTAATATACATATGTTAAAAAAAAAATTGATAATTTAAATTTCTTTCGCATAATGTTTCATTCAAAATCTGATATTGAATTTCCCTAATAAAAAAAAAAATAAATACTACATTAAATTAAATTAAATATTTTTTTTGATTACAAAGAAAAACTCTTAGTGAACTCTGGTTTAATTTTCAAGCATTTCTGACCAAGTCTAACAATTTTACCTAGCGATACAATATTATATAAATATAATTAAAGAAAATATTAATCCCTATTTAATTATTTGACTATAATATGACATAAATATTGTTCACAAAGCATCACTATCAATTGAACTGTGCTCAGAATCGTTATTTCTTTAGCAATGGTTTTTCGTTGCTTGCAGATATATATTAAATTACCCATAACAGTGGCTGCACCCGTCTCCGTTATCCTAAGACGTCTTTTTTTTTGTACGACCCTTATTTTTGTCACCAGATAGGTATAGATATTAAGCAAAGGTGGCTTGAACATAGAGTTGAAGGTTCAGCGAACTACCAAAAATTTGGTACGAGTGAGTGTATTGTTTTTTTTTTAAGAGGTGTATTATTTTCGTACATTTCCCGTTTTTCTTACGTTTTATCCTGGTTTTTCCCGGATATAATGAAATTTTCTTAAAAAATAAAAAAATGACCTTCTAAAAGTACCATCTGGACAACATTCCCTTTCAGAAATGGTGCCGCGCGTATATATCTGAGCAAGATTTCTAGTAGAATTTTTGTACACGGGATAAAATAAATTTAAAAAAAAATAAACATCCAATACATGTTTCGCTACACTTAAAATATTAAACAAGTATTATTGTGCAGTGAAATTTTAAATTTTCTTATAACGTGTTTGTTCTATACAGCTTATAACTATATATCATAGAGAACCACATTTCATTCTAAGGACATCAAGCCAAGATATACTCAGAGCGGTGCATATAAAAATCGAGACGGGTCGGGTAGCAATAACAATAATACAAATAAATAATTGTTACATTGTGTCTATAATGATAATTACTATTGTTTTTTTTTTTGAAAACGTATAACCGACCATAATATTTTCGAATTGGCACTATCGTGGATAAAATATAGTAGTATATAAAAACGAGAACGGATATATAAAACACATCGAAAACACATCAGATATGTCTTACAGTAATTAGTATTTTCGGGGCCGAATGCCAAAATATCGGGCGTCAGAACCACTTAGAAATAGCGTGTTTATATATAAATGTATAATAGTGCCGGCGACTTGGCGCAGAATTCCGGGCAATAAACACGAACTTCGATCGCGGTACACGGATATGACCGGATCGCGGGTGTTGATGGTCGAAGACGTCGAAACTTGTATTATTCCCGTCTATAATTTTCTTTTCTATTTCTTCCCCCGTTTCTTTTTCGTTCCGTTAACGACCTCGCTCTTCTCCTCTATCCTCTTATCGCGAGATCACAATATTATCATTATTGTTATTACTGTCGCGTTTTTCGTGAGATTAAGACGTCGTATACGATTACTATAATAGTACGAGCGTGTTGTAAAAATCGTCCGTATGTACGAGAGCGCGTACCTCTTTTCATTTCGTCGGGTTTGTTTTTCTTTTTACGTGGCCTTAAGACGACCGACGACGACGTGACGGCAGCGGAAACAATTCGGTTTTCGTGTATAAGTGTACTATCTAATATTATATATATATAATATGTAGGTGCAGGTATGTATAGTAAGATTTAATATAGTAAACCTCTGAGTAAACCAAGTCTCGTATACGATATATTATATACTGGATAGAGGGGAAAAGAAAACTAATAAAATACACACACCCGCGCAGTATATTCTATATAATATAATATTATATTGGGATTTCTAAAAGATCAAACCGCCGCCGCCACCGCCGCCACTGCGACGGGGACGGAAGGCCGTCGAAAAGTTATTCACGGGGGAATAAACGGCGATACCGCACAACGGCCGGCGACAAGAATGGATTTCTGACAATGGAGCGTATAGAAATATATATATATATATATATATATGTATACCTGTATACTAAACTTGCCAACACCTATACAATAATACAAATACAATGTACTCCCACACACGTGTAAAAACGTCCGTCGTACGGGGGTGTGGGGAGCCGCAAAAAAAAAAAAAAAAACAACGGTTAATATTCTAGAATTTATCAAAGTCGCCCGACATCGGGTCCGAACGTTCCGATATATTGTCGCCCGTCAACGAGACACGTGAGAAACGCGAAATAAATCGCGCGTGTTACTGCAAAACGCCCTGTACACGCAGTGGTCCCCGGCCCGTTTCGCCCCTCCCGATGACGACACTATTATAATATTATTATCCTTATCTAATTAATCGAAATTCTATATAAATGGCAATACGGTTTAATACGGCAACATTATGAATTATACAAATTCAATACGAATCGGTAAAACCGTCACATGATGAGATAATTATAATAGTCAAGTAGATGACGGTGCCGAGTTAAGTGTGCTGATAGAAGCCGATGAAGAAGAAAGCCACAGAGAAAATGTCTAGCGGTTATTATACAGAGCAGTAGAACAGGGAAGGGTTGGTTACTTCAAAATGAGTACCATCTAAATACTCGGTTTATATATTATTTTAATTTTCAGGTAAAAGATAGACGGACGGTAGTAAATTCCACCGATTTTTAGGTTATCGGTTTTTGGATTAGATTTGTTACGTGTAAATTTCACCGGTATGTTTAATTTTTAACTGAGAAAATATCTATACATAATTAGTCAGAAAACATGGCAAAGATAGATACTGACGTAACAAGTATATTATAATACAAGATATTTATTATAGTACCCGATTTTATATTTTATGTGTTTAAATAATAGGTACTCTGTACGTGACATATTAAAAACTATATTTTTCACACATACTGCATCTTAAAAACCGTGATCGATAAATTTATTTAAAAACCTTTTCGAAATTCTTAACAATTCCTCCCACTTTTATACAATTATTTTCAATTTTTAATGAATTTTTCAAAAATCTAGAGGTAAAAAATGACCGAGCTGGCACCCCCTTTGAGTTCTTATGATCAAAATACTTGAAAATGAGCATTTATATACCTGATACTTTCATCGATTTCAGTATCAACAATAAGAGATAGTAGATACGTTCTAGAACTTTATCGCGATACAATGCGATTGTATCTAAGATACCGCCCGAATCTGGCAGTAGACAAATAAATGGTGATGTACACAAAGGAGATATGCACGGCGGTGAGAGAATATAATATAGCTGACCCCGAACTTGAAGCGTGGGGCAATGGCCAGAAGAAGAGGAGAAAAAATTGCTCGAATAATTTTGTCGGCAACACACGCAAAATAACATCGTGAACCACGGCAGTGCAGTGCAGTACGTGATCGTACAAGGATTTTTTTTCGTACACGTCGTTTTACCGTCCGATCGCTAATTGCATCTCTTAAGGACGTTTTTATTCCACCCCCAGTCAACAGACGTATAATATTATCTGAATCGGATTATTCGGTCTGACCGCTACGCCGCGCACTGATCAACTCGGATACAAATGTATGCATTTAACGTTTATAATATTATTACTATACGATTTACTGTGTGTGTGTGATATATGTGTAAGTAGTGCTTATATAAATTATACACCACGTGGTATACGCAGTGTTTATATATATATATTGTTACCTGCAATTTGTCGTAATACAAAACGCTTCGCTTGTACATTTACCGAGCTATCGATCGAGTCTGTTTTCCTCGTTATAAGGCACTTTTTTTTTTTTCGTGAAAAATGGACGTACAAATCCAGACCTAAAATTATCTTGAAATTTCGCATCGTTTTTAAAATATAAAAACGCTTACGCAGATGCCCAAGGGTCATAAGTACGATATTAATTGGTTTGTTACTTATATAGTATAATAATAATTATATAACATAATATCATATAGAGTCCACCGATTAATGCGGATTGACGCGTTTAATACGGAAAAGTAGTAAACGTTCTAAAAGAGCACAAATTGTTATTTTTAAAAGCCCATAATTCGATAACTAATTTTGTTTTATAAATTTAATTGAAAATATATTTTAACAGACAATATTACTGTTGGTTAGTAAAAATTATTTTGTAAAACTAACTTTTTATAAACATATTTTCAATGTACCTACATAATATTGTAAACAAATACCAAAAATAAAAATAATAACGTGACTTTCATATTGCATATTTTTGAAAACAACACTAAATTATAACAAAAAAAAAAAATCTTTCCCAAAATCCTTAAACTAAATCACGTAACCGTACGGAATATGAACTTTTTCACCCTTGGGAATTCTCTTACCAATAAAATAAACAATAATCTGAAAATACACTTGTGACACATGGTGGAATGGTTCACACATAACGACTGAATACAAGTCTTACAAGGAATTTCTTATCCGGATCATATCGTTTTTATATTTTCGAACATTATGTGAAAACCTAATCGGTCAATTTCTACTAAAAATAAATACTAACGTTTCAAATACACGTTCACAATACATTTTATTAAAATAAAATATTAATAAAACCAATAATAGCTATTTAAAAGTAAACAAAAATAAAAAAATTGATAAAAAAAACCAAAATAAAATTTCATGTACACATCCTACATAAGATATTTATTAAATTTATATCCAGCGTATCTCCATATTCAACTAATAGAAAAAAAAATTAAAATGCATATAACACCCGAACTCTAACAATAGATTATCTGCATGCTAAATCAATAGTCTCAGCGTCAATCCGTTATAACAGCGGTTTCGACAATCTCGAATATTGGGATCGAGTACCTATAATAGGGAATATTTTATGAACGCAAAGGTTATTTATTTATAAGCCCGCGTAAAATTCAGACTGAAATTGACAGACGGTCTAAAGGAAAAAATCTGACGAAGAAAAAAAAAGCCGGAATGGCCGTTGTTCCGGGAATATATCCGGATTGTATAAAAACCCTCGTAAAAACTTAACAATCTTTTAATTTATTATTTATTTTTTCGAGAAGTATCTTAAAAACCTTTACGCGCATTGTCAGTGAAACAGACAAATTGTATGAACAATATCGTGGCTGCAAGAACTTATCAAACACCAATCTGACCAGTAAAAAAGCAATTCATAAATGTCCATCACATACTATTATAGCTATGACATGATGTCACGACAAAATAGGTTCAAGAACAATTCAACGGCGTAATTAAACTCTACGCATTCTCCACATAACTATACGTATTATATCACACATATTGTGCTAAATTAAAAAGCTTGCTGGATTATATTTAAGTAAAATTTAATGTAGACTATACAGGGTGCCCATCAATGTTATTCTTATACTTATAACTCTGTCAATATTAATTTTCTTTTTTTTACGTTTTATTTTTCAATCGGGTGTTGTACGGGAAAGTCGCATATGTAGAGACAAATTAAATTTTTATTTTCATCCCTTAATTACTGACAAAAAAAACTTTCTATTCATTCATTTTTTTTTTAAATTTTCGAAATAGCTACTTTGTAAAATATATTATTCTGACAAGTTGAATGACAAGATCATACATTCATATCTGATCAATAATTGTTTCTTAGTTATAGCAGCTTTAATTTATAGAATATAGGCGTGAAATATTCAATGGAAAATAAATAATTACCGTGCTGATTGTGATTCCTTATCGTGTAACGTGTTTTTCTATTGAAAGCCAATTGTTTTCACGCCAATTTTCTAGAAATTAAACCAGCTATTATTAAAAAACTATTGATCGAATATGAATGCACGAGTATGATACATTCGTATTGTTAGGATAATATATTTTACAAAAATTGCGATCACAAATTAATATTTACAGGATATATAACAATACTCTGTTATCAGCAAACTATTGATTCCGACGGTTAACTTATCGAGTAGTCATAGAGCGCTAATAACTAATAGTGGCGACAAGGGGTATTACTGAATTTATAAATAAGAAAGAAAAAATTTTAAAATTAAAAATTTATCTAGACACTATCATAGAAGATGGTCGATGTGATATTGATGCCCATATACCACTAGTATATCCAGTGGTTATACAGTGGATGTACTTTTAAGATATCCATAATATTCATTATTAAATATTTATGACTCCCGATGGATATCTAAATGATATCCAAATGTCCATTTTTTTTTTTTTTTTTAATGTGCTATTTCAATATCCATCGGTTATTTATTGAAGTTATTCATAAGATCTCTTATATTATCTAATCCTATTGGATAACCACAAGTTATTATTTATATACTTCAGTATATGCATTATATATACAGTGAATGATAACTTGAGATATTATTTTTAAGTATATGGAACAAATAATAGGTAATGTTTATTTACTTATATTAAATTACTATTTTTATGGTTAACAATAAATTTAACATAATATATTCATTTATTTTTTATAAAATCTAGCTTCTGCATATCTCATCCAGCTTTTGATACAAACAATGTCAGATTCTTTTGAATCTTTGGCATTTTTGAAAACAGTATCTATATAAAAATATAAATTATATAAAAGCTGTTAAAACAATTTAGCATAAATAAAATTATCTTATCAATGATCATCTTACACAGGTATAAACATGATTAAAGTTTTTTTCCTTTTGCTCCAGTCCAATTGTATGACGCAGCAAATTGTACGGTAAAAAGATTTTTAATGTAATGACATCTTTCAGGAACATAATTTTAATGGCAATGCTACTTTTGTGTGTATAGTGTAATTTGTATTATGTTGAAATATTTTATGCTGATAAATAATATAGATTTATTTTAAGTTAACTAAATGGTATCACTGTTTTAATTTAATACCTTGCCAGACACCTGGCAAGAAAATTTAGTAAAAAAAAAAATTGTCAAATTTGTCTATCGGGCATAACAAATCCAGAAAACAGTTGTAATACAGTAACTGCTCAACTAGTCAATTTAAAATCTAAAGGTTTTTTGATTCACTCTGAAAACAATTTGTTTTTACTTATTAGACAAATATATTGAGATATCATTTTCCAAATATGCTAATACTCAAAATGTATTCGAAGACGTTGATGGCGTTTTTAAATTTAATTATTTCATTTTATTTTCGTGTTCCGAACAAAAAAATTATATGATTGAGTATATATTCACTACTTATATTACAATGAGAATGAAACGACATACTTATTTTTCTAGCCATCAACTAAAAATCAAAAACAAGGTTAACTATCCAAATTGTTACTAATTAATTTACTAGTTAGAAATACCTACAATATAGATACATATATTATTTATTATTTTTTATAAGAATACTACTTATACATATTGTTTGTGTTGAAAAATATAATAAAAATAAAACTATTATACCTATTATTTAATTTGTATAAATCCCAAATTCGGTATTACATGTTACGATTTTATTGATAATGCATATCATTTTATTAGTACAAAACTCGCCACTGCCACCTTTAAGCGCTACCTGTGAATTCAAGAATGAAGAATGTTCTCATAACAACTGCTCGTTGTGTATCCTGTATATCTAATTCGTGATTGCGATTTTGAAAACTTTACAAAGTGAAAAAATAGAGTTATTTTTTCTTTCGGTGATTAAAATAAAAATATAATATTTCTCTACATTTTTGTGCCCCTAACACAAAAATCGATTAAAACAAAAAACAATTATAAATAAATATAGATAGAGTTATAAGCATTCGGATAGCATTGTGTTGTGAGCACTCTGTATTAACGTGTATTTCATAAACTCGATAAATAAAAATAAATACACTCGCTATAATGAAACAATTACAAAAAAGAAACACATATTAGGTACTTGAAAAAAAAAAACCGTTATTAATATAATTAATATTTACGTTTGAGCGGATTAAAATTCTTAATTAATTTAGGCAGATACATTACAGACGGTATGCGTTACACGTTTTATGTTAGGTAACAAGTGGTCGATGATATAAATGTGATTATGTCAAATCGTTATGTTTTATTATTTTTTTTTTAATCAACTATATTCTATTCAAATGAAACCGCACCGTGCAAAAAAAACCGGTAAAACTCGTGCAAACAGGCAATTTCTGCCACTGTACGTTCCGGTGGCAACGGCGGCGGCAACTGTAGCTGACCAATCATAGAACGATTAGAAATTTCTGGAGGGTACGAACGTTTTTCCGTGGCTCATTTGTGTGCGCTATAGCGGTTACCTCTTACTTGGAACAGTATACAGAACATAAGTACATTCAGTGGCGTATTTAAATGGGAGCAAAAGGAGCCTGTGCCCCTTCCTCAATGGCCTTAACTATGTATATATTTTTAAAACTTTTAAAATAACTACATATGAGTATCACCTTACGTAATATACACATAACTGCCATGGTCTAAAAGTATAACTGATTAAAGTGTCAAGATATACAAAACGTCATAATAAACATTTTTCAGAACAAAAGTTTGTTAGTACAAATGTCTTGTAGAACAAAATACAACGTTTTACTGTCGCTGTCGCGACAATTATATTATTGGAGATTGTAAAGTATATAATATTTTAACGGACAATCCTCAACATTGGCGCACGTCAATTATTTTTTATTTTTATGCGTATTACAGTAATAGGTACAGTGTTACGAATTTTTTTTCAATAAATTGACCATAAAAAATATAAAAAAAACATACATATACCTGTTGTTAAAGAAAGTGTAAATTTTTAAAATATCGATTGTTTATTTGTTTTTAATTTATTTGTATGATTAAATATTTTAATTTTTATGTCCTTTCGTCCGAATTATTCATTTTTAAATACGCTTCTGAATATATCAACCGACAATTTATTTATTTATTCTATACAATATTCATATATTGTCAGTTCGATTTGTAACAATGGTAAAATAACAACAGTTAATTAAACTATTTTTTTTTTTAAATATATTTATATACTATATTAAACATATATGTATTTAACATACTCATGAGGAAAAATCAACACGATTTTCCATATTTAATCTTTTTCCGATTTCGATTCAATTATTCTTCCTTAACGGTATCCGTATTAACTGCCCTTTTAATTAATCTTTCCTTCCAACTATCCATTTTAGATTCTGAGTGTAGAGAAGAATGTAATAGTTTTATTAAGATGCTTTTTTTTTTAAATTTTTTCTATCCTGTGTACAAAAATTCTACCAAAAATCTTACTCAGATATATACGCATGGCACTATTTCTGAATGGGAATGTTGTCCAGATAGTACTTTTATTTCAAATTTCATAATATCCGGGAAAAACCCTGATAAAACATAAGAAAAATGAAAAATGTGCAAAAATAATGCTTTTATTATTTTTCAATTTTGTTAATTGTTGTAATTCAGTTAAAATATTCGTTGAAACTTGAAATTAGAAAAGAAATCTTATATTTGTCTTTTCTAGATGCAGTAAAATTTTTAAAATCTTTAAGACATTTTTTAGCTATTCATAGACCTTTTAATTTTGTGAGCTTTGTACGTAATTTTTATTCGTTAGGTACTCTGTGGTAAAATTGTTAGACTTGGTCAGAAATGCTTGAAAATTAAACCAGAGTTCACTAAGAGTTTTTCTTTGTAATAAAAAAAATATTTAAATTAATTTAATGTAGTATTTATTTTTTTTTTTTTATTAGGGAAATTCAATATCAAATTTTGAATGAAACATTATGCGAAAGAAATTTAAATTTCCAATTTTTTTTTTAGCATATGTATATTACTGATTTAAAAACGATGGAAAAGTCAGAATTAAGTGGACTGACTAAGTGTCGAAATTATAGCTTTCTGAAGTTCTGATATTATATGTTATGTTAACTCTATATTATACCCCTTCGAACATATTTATCGTGATCTAATAGTTATTTATGCCTATTATAATTCTAGGGGTTCCGACCAGTGTTTCAAAAAAAAGGTGTTTGCATTGATTTTGTCTTTTACATAAACGAGGAAAAAACAAATGCATTTTGGATGTACCTAGAGATCTAAGGCCTCACTCGCTCAGACTATTTTAATCGCAAAATACCCCTTGATTGTTGTGCACAATTTTCTACCAGAAATCTTTCTTCGTTGTATCAAGCGAGCCTATTTTCTGAAAGGTAATTTTATCTCTAAGATAATTTAGAGAAGTCGCTTATTGATTTTTCAAGCGATTTTCATAATATCTGGGAAAAACCGTTATAAAATGTCGGAAAACGGAAAATGTACAAAATGTTGGTAAAAGTAAAAAAAATATTATGGCTTTTTTTTCTGTGTACAATTTTTCTACCAGCAATTTCGCTTCAATTTATAATGATAGCACTTTTTCTTGAAACGAACTCTAACTAGGAAGGTAATTTAAGGGAGTAAATTTTCGATTTTCCGAGGAGTTTTCCTAGCAAATGTAAAAAACCACGAAAAAACATGGGAAAATCGGTTCAATGTTAAATGAATATGATTAAAGAAAATATATAATGCCTAATTAATCATTTTAACATAATATGGCATATATATTGTTGACAAAGCATTACTATCAACTAAAGTGCGCTCAGAATCGTTTTTTCGTTAGCAATGGTTTATCGTTGTTTACAGATATACATTAAATTACCTATAACAGTGGTTGCACTCGTCTCCATTATCCTAGACGTCTTTTTATTTTATATTTTCCTACACTGTAGAAAATAAAAATATTTGAAACATTCATTGCTTATTGAATAAAACAATAATAACATCTACGCGGATTCGTCACTTTTTATTTTCTCGACAAGTATTTAACAGAAATACCGTCTATCGTTTTGTAAATATTTCAAACTCAATTCAATTATTCGTATCATTTAAATGATATTTGTATAATAAATCTATCGGAGTCCGTAAATTCAAATATTTTCGAAAAGAACTATTTATTATGATTTCTAAGAAATAAACCTATTAATAAATTGGTTTATTTTTTAAATAAACTACTAAAAATATACTAAAAATTGAAAACATGTCTATTTCGACTTCATACTCATTTAGAATATAAGGTTTAACCTTTTTTCATCCAACAGTTTTTAACTATCACATATTAGTTGTTTTTTATTCTACACCTCTACATTTTTTAAAAACCCTTAATAGTTAAATGCCATTAATTTCTTTGCAACTTTTAAGTCATAAAACACATCTGAGCTTTTGTTTATATTAATAAATTATTCTATTTGAAATAACTACCAACTATAAATTTAAATATATTACATGCTATGTACGTATACGGTATACCTATTAACCTACTACTATAACGTCTTATATTATGTGGTATTATCCAAGTAGGTACTTACTCGGACAATACCGCGTACTCCTTTGTATACTTATACCTAGTTAAATAGTTGTTATAATGTGTTAAAAATAGAAGTTTATACATATGATAAATTATAAATTCATTATTTTATTTGTCTGAAGCCAAGTCAACGAAGAAATGAGATGACTCGTTAAATGATTGTTTTGTCAGAGATGATATCAATTTTCCCTGTGTTTTTGTCCGGCGTTTTTTCTACCACTCTTTATTGTTGACGATCATTGTTTTCATTCATTAATATTTGTTTATATATTATAAAAAGCTATACGTGTATCCAAACATTAAAATCTACAGGGATTTAAGAGGCAAACTTCATGTGAAGCATTTAAAAGTCAAAAAGAGAACTATACCCATATTTATTTAACCATAAGTATTACGTTTAATTTTATTTCAGAGTGATATGAATACATTACATATTACTATATAATTGTATTAATATGTAATATTAATATTTAATTAATACATAATTGTCAATTTGAAACATCGTAGGCCCTAATTTAATTCAAAAAGATATTTTCGATAGATAATTATTAACACCAAGTGACTACCTATAGTAAATAAAATTAGAAAATTATGTATATACAGGGCGTCCCACTAAGATATACCCATTTTAATATCTCCTGAAATGATAAAAATAATCAAATTATATTAAATATTCAATTTTTATAAAAAAAAAAAGTACTAAAACAATAACTTTTATTTTATTGTTTTTAAAAAATTTGACGATAGCTTATTCAAGTTTTCAAGTTTTTTACTTAACATAAAATTGAAATATAAATATGTGTGTAACATAAAAAAACAGCATTTGATTATTTTTATTACTTATCTCCGGAGATATTACAATGGTTATATCTTCGTGCGACCTCTTGTTTATACTGAGTTCATCATAATCGTATATTTAATATTTATATAAGATGTTTATTCATGTCTATATATACAGTGTTGAATCCAGGTATACTCCAGGGGGGGAGAAATGCCCCTCAAGAATTTCATTTGTCCTCCTGAAAAATACAATAACTGTCAACAAAATGTATTTATTAAATATGTACAGTACTTGTTACTCTTTCCAATTTACATCGAATTGACAAATGAAAAAATGAGCGCTCCCCAGAGAAATTCTCCATATTTAACACTGTATATATATGTTTGTGTGTGACTTGATGCAAGGACTAATGTCAAAAAATAATAATATTACAATAATTATGGATTAAACATTTTTAGAAATAAATTCAACTTCCAATTTTTGATTTATTTTTTAACTCTTTATTTATTTTTTTTTGTGACATTATTCCTTCTTACACAAAGTTAAAAAAAATAAATGTATACTCTACACAATTCTCTGTATCCTACCTTCCCAACTTTCTACCTAAAACAGTGACGCACCCATCAGTAAATCAACTCTAAGCCATTTGTACGGCCATCTTATATAGTTAACATGTAAATATTAATTTACTTAGAAAATATTGTAACTATTTATGTATAATTAAATCTGTAATTTGATACATGTAACTCTCTACTTCCAATATAAGCTCCACTTAAAAGAAGTAGGTATAACAATTTGTATGTAAAAAAAAATATTTATATAATATCCAAAACGGTTTTTTGCAGCATACGAAAACAATTATCAAAAAGATAGTTCACAATTAATAATAATTTTAGATTCTGAGTGTAGCAAAAAATGTATTGGTTTTACAATAATATTTATTGTTATTTTTTTAATTTTGTACGTAATTATATATGAATAAAATTATATTATAGCACCTAGATGTGCTTTTTCAAGACTAAAATGTTACCCGTTTTTATTCTAAAGAATTGCTTATAAACCTACCTACCACACTACCCTAAAAGTTGTGTAGTTTTCGATATCTATTAGACATTTTTAAATGCAATTAATATTATATACTTTAAATAGGTCAACTTTTTTTTTTACTTTCAAGGTAGTTTTACTTTCGAATTGTGATTTAGTTTTAAAGTTACTAATATAAACATAATTATTTTCGCTTATATAGTTACACTCCAATAATTCGTATTTCAGTTTTCATAGTTTTACAAGATGGATTAAAAAACATTTTAGAAAACAATTCTTATCTCATCGTGTTTAGGAAACAAGCCTTGTCTCATCTTTTCTCATCTTTTATTAGCTGAGATTTTTATGTCAATTCAAGGTTTTTATATATATGGTGTTGACATATTAATCGTAATTTACTGTATGACAAACACAGGTTTTGTTTTAGTCAAACAAATAAAATTATAGAACAAAATATGTTCAGAAAAACTTTTTTTATTAAGGTTGATAATCTAATTTTATCAAATTTCGAGATACGCTCCTTTACAATATCAACGACGATATTACTTACAATTAAAACAATTTAAAAATCACACCACCATAGGTCTTTTTTAGTTATAATATAACTGTAGCTGCAATCGCCAGTAAAAAAGTGTGATAAATTATTAAAATGGTAATATGATGTTAAGAATATTTATACAGATGAACCAACTATAGTTAGACAAGAATATAATAATATACAGATATACAAGTGTACATCACGTGTTACCTCTATAAATATTGTATAATATTATGGTATCGAATATTATACTGCATTTTGTTTATTTCCCACAGGAACACGGAAACACTTGGAACGCTTGTATAGTATATATATAAAAATTATCGTATAGCACAAATCAAAGTTAGTCGTCCCCAGAGCATGAACCAAATATAATAAAATTTGTTAATAGTCGCTCGAACAGTCAATATATATTTCAGGTTCTTTTTTTTTTTTTTTTTTTTATTAAAATGATGCGTATTATGTTATATGTGGAATGTACAAGATATCGAAAATAAATGTCCTGCACTGTTAAAATACCTAACTATGACACCTACAAATACATATAGTGTTAGACATAATCGCTCTTTCAATTTACTCCAAACCACAGTATATAACACAGTAAAGTAATAGGTATAAGTTAGGCAGGTACGTACCTACACAGTATTATTATTGAGTAATTTCTAAGTTTAAGAATGATTAAAATTCAAGCACAACCACATAATTGAAACAAAAATTATGGCACTTCAAGTTATGTATTACCGAACTGCGCACGGAATCGTCTTTCGTCAAGCAATGGTTTATCGTTGCTTACATATATAAATGAATTAACCTTTTGCATCCTACCTTCCCAACTTCTCACCTACAATAGTGGCTATTCCCATCCTCAGTTTCAGCTCTTTTTAATCTTCCTTCCATTCCTCTATACTTCACGGTTCTGACCTATTTCCTTCTGTTCCTGTACTTCTACTGCTTTCATATCTCTATCCAATTGACGCTAGGTTTTTTCTTTCTGCAACTATTCATTACCCTTCCATCTCCATTAATTTATCGTAGTATCACAAAATGATACACATATTAAAGAATACTTATGAAAGATATTCCATATCCTGTTATTAAATATTAAAATTCCGCGAATTTTCAAGTAACTTCATGAAATATTCTCTCCAACTTTTAGAGTTATTTTTCGGTCCCATAAAAATTACCCACCCTGTATCCATAATTGATTTTAATGTTGTATTAAACTATTGGAATCAATAAAATCATTTCCTAGCACCATTTCCATCCTAGACCATTTCTTTCCAATATTCTTGTAATATTCTATTTAAGAATCTTTGTATCGTATTTTTGCAATTTATATATTCTTCTTCGTATATCTCTTTGGTACTTTGATCTCCCATCATCGAATACTTCTCCCAAGCTAATTTCCCCTTTTTAACGACTTCCAAACATAATTTATTACACCATTTGCTTTTTTTTTTTTTTTAAGATGCTAATTTATAGTTCTGCTATTTCCTTAATGAGTTAGCTAGCTTGTTCGAACGCGAATACATATCTTATTTATTGATATTTTTGATGCTTGTCACAATTTTTTGTTGGGCCTCTACATTAAGATTTGTTATCGTTGGGAATTGTAAATTAATCGTTTTTACTTTAGTAAATAATAATTTTGAGTAAATTATACGTATCATAACGAGTTAGTATTATATATAAAATGATTAAACCGAAATGTTCAATAAATATAAAAATATAAACCTCAAGGTTTAATTATACTGTGTAAAAAATGTCTAACGATTAAGGATAGGATAATAAATTAGTGAAAGGCACTTATTACATACAGTTTCCAAAGTCAATAGTTATGTACAAACAAAATGATGACGTGTTAAGGAAGTCAATTCGCATAAATGACAATACGAAAATTGATAACATTTTTATCTATTGCGAGGAATGGATACCAGACAAAAGGAAATAAAAAATTATCTATAGCGGTAATTGTAAGACTATTTATAGACTCGGTGATGTTTACCGAGTTGAACTAAAACACTTATGTCGTAAACATGAACAATTTACAAGTCTCAACCTAATAGAAAAATTAAAATATGTAGCCCAAGGGTTACGTGAAAAATAATTTGTCAAACGGAAATTATCAAGTCGACGATTATGATTTATTAATATATTTAGTGGACAAAATATAATATTAATTAAAATGTATTATAATCGTTGACGTTACGCTAAAATTGCAAGTGGATAATGAATCAATTCAAAATATTCATTGAACCGTTTTTAATTTATTAAAATGTGGATCAAAATAATAATTATCGTTTCTAGCCTTCATGTTACTTACATCATACTTATTGGGAAAACGCGATGCATAAAAAAATGTAATCTTTGAGATTTTAACTGCCTGTAAATTGCTGACAATTATATTGATTTACTTATTGTGGTTAAAATTCAATATATTATTATTATTGCCATTACTGGCCTAGTAATGCATTAAATTATAATTATATGTGAATAATGAAAAATACACTGGCAAAAAGATAACAATATGTATTATTTTTCAATAATTCAAAATAGTAATTTTTTTAAATATTAAAAAAAAATTGTATCTATAATTCTTTAATTACGCCGTACCTATAAGTACAAATTCAATTATATATCTACATAATAATATTCAAGTACTTATTTATCTTCTCTTAGTTTTAAACATAGTAAATGAAAAATAAACTCGGACGATTTAAAAATGTAATATAAAGGGGACTAAAGTAAATAAATTACATAAGTTAAAAGAAATAATTTTTAACTTGGATTTGCCAGTTGTTTTTTTACTGAATATCTATACAGTATATTAAACCAGCGAGTATTAAAAAAAAATTTTAAATAATTTTTTATATTAACTATACAATGTGTTTCACTTCAATATTTGAATTATTCAGCCGAATTTAGATCGAAATATGGTTTTTTAATACTATATATTTTTATAAAAGAACTGTAATCAATGGATTTTTTCTACTTATCTTAGCAATTACATGAGATAAAATTGATTTAAAAAGCATGATTTTTTCTAAATATTTCAAAAAATGTAATACACATGTTATTACACATGTGAAATTTTACAATTATTATCATTAATTATTATTACTTTCTATAAGAAATTAGTAAATGTATCTTAATAAGAATTAACATTTTTAAAATTGTTTCAAAACTAATTTTGGTACCTCCTAAAAAAAAAACACCATTACAATCTAATTCCATCCGGCTGAAAAATGTCGTATGATCATTCAATTAAATCACGCTGAACGAGAGCCGCTGAAAAAAAAGACAACACGAATGAATAACAGAGGCTTAGGTAAGGTAAAATAACACCTATACTATTGTTAATATTTGAGTTTTGATTGGTAATAAATGAACTAATCAATTCAAATAAACAATAGAGTCCAATATCCGATTAAAAATATCTGAATGAGATTCCTGTTTTATTGACATAAAATATAATATATTGTACATTTTAATTGAATGTACCATAATAATATTATATTAGGTATTAATTCAAAATAAGTTTCAGCATTTTTGGTTTTATTATTATTGTATAAATTCTCGCGGATGCATATGCCTGTTGATTTGTGAGATTGCCGTTAAAGGGAACGTTGACGTATAGACGTGTCCAATATGCGCTCTTTGAATTATTTGATAATAATACGGATTATACAGATGAAAAACCAATACGAATCAAAATTTTGAAACATATTTCAACGTATTTTTTCGACAATTTAATAACAATGATCATTGTGTTTTATTGTTACGAGTGATCGTATAAATTTTAAAAATCGTTTCACCCAGATGTTACATACATAAGACATCAAATTTTTATCCAATATTGCAACAAAGAATAAATAACCATGCCTTTGCTTTTAAAGTCATTTCTATTATATAAGTGAATTAATAACTAGGTAATTCAAAAAAACAGTAAGTAACGAATTAAATATAATATTCAATTATTTTAATCATATCGATAAGAATTTGCCCATCTCAATTTTCTCGACTGTGATCATTGTCCAAGCAGGGTTTCTATGCCAAATAGTTTTTTGATGTTTTTTTTTTTTTTTAAGAGAGTAAAATTAACACGATAAAATTGACTATGATAAAATTCAAGTAAGTAAAAGACAAGATGTATTGTGTTAGAAATTATGTAATAATTTCTTAAAACAGATTTCAGTCATACACATTTTTAAGTAGATATACTATAATAATATAATATACCTATTTCGGTAAAACTGATTACAGTTTATGTATTTAATTTAACTTTAAGTTTGACAAATAACGGTAATTAAGCTATTTTTAAGTACCCTTAATAACATAATCAATAGTTATGATTATTATTCTTATTTACGCATTGCAATTACATCGATGGTTTATTTTGAATCATTAAGACGTATAAAATAATAATATATCCAGACCCCGTGTTATATAAATACATTTATTATTCTTAAGCTGTATATACACTTAGTCTAAACAATTTTCCAACGTCTAGGTCATTCGATTAACAAAAATTTACCAATTCGCTTTAAGTTATATAGCGGGATAACTGTTAGAAAAAAGTTTAAAACACACACACACACACATCTTTTAAATTTAATTTACCTTCTACAACAATTATTTTTGGAGTATTCATTAGTTATTTATAATAACTTATTGCTGATTTTCCGTCTTACACATATAATTTGATTTTTAAAATAAAAATAAATACGTACGATATACATCAAAGTATACTAATTAAAATAACTTTTAATTTCATTAAAAAAAAAATACAAATTAAAAATTATAAAAGTATACTACGTATCCATACATTTTAGCTAGAGTGAAGAAGCTGCCAGAGTCGAGCTACCGGGTCAATAAAAATAATATTAAAAGCAGGATCAAAAGACTGGGTTGTCCTGCAACCGTCTCGCTCCGTTCACCTCGAAACAATCCAATGTTACTATATTATTTTAAATCTAAAAGCAACAATAAATTATCACATCCTAAAACCAGTAAAACCTAACCCCGAATAATAGAACTTATTTCACAACCTTTACTGTTCATATAATATTTCTTTCTTTTTTTTATAATAATAATTTAATTCGTTCATAAAACGCAATAAATAATATAATTATAAAAATGTTCGATATTTTGTTATTAAATCAAACTTTAGATAATTTATTATTGTAATTTCAGTCTATAGGTACCACTCATACGAGGAATAACGTAGGATAAAATCTTTGGGTTATATTCAAATTCAATAAATCATCTTCGATGACTTGCGATTTAATTAAACATATACGTTTTCATATAGATACTGAATGAAAACTGTAAATCTTGTGGATCATGCAAAAAAAATTAATGTTTACTCAGAGTAAAAAGTTGTTATACTGCGATACACGAGAAACCGTAAATGGATAAATTTCGTTTAAACTAATCGATATTCAGAGTTTTATTCGTAATCGTCCACACATTTTTTGAATTTGTCTATTATTTCTTATACACTAAAAATACCGACAAATTGTAAGTCATCGGTTTGTACAGTCAAAAGAAAATCAAAAATGTATTATAGATGAAGTTAACAATACTCAACAATACTACTTGTATATTATGTATGAATCTTTTTGATCCACCCTACTGGATACAATATGCACGTCTTCAAGTCAATTCTACAGGGAGGGTGGGCAAAATAAACAATCTTATATGAGTGTCTTAACCGACGGTTAGTGGGTTACGGAGCTTAGTCTTGCAAAATCATCCAAATTTTCCTGAAATGTGTGTTTTATATAATAAGCCAGTCTTAAGAGTATTGAAGCCGGCTTTATTAATATTTTACATTCGTGTAAAATTTTAATATTATCGGTAACATTTTTATTAATCACCTTAAAGATACGACTTTTCAAACTAAATTACTGCCTACTAAATTTTAAAAAACAATTTTTTTTTTTTTTGTTTTACGAACTATAAAATTAATTTATGAGGAAAATGTTCTCACCTCGTAAAACTCCTCAATTTTTTTTTATTTTTTTTTAATACTTGAAAGAGCAAAACTTTTTATAGGTCATATTGAACTTCGACTTTTGATTAATTTGTATGTGATATCAGAAAAAAAATGATGGACTAATTGGAATGTTTTAGACGTGTATTATAGTATCAAGATTCTGTAGATTTTTAAAGTTTGAGTTCAATGTGACCTATAAAAATCTTTCTCTTTCAAATAAAAAAATGAATTTCTGTATGAGACGATAAAACATTGTTACTGAAGTACAATTACAAAATTGGGTTATATCTTATACATGTTTTAAAATCTCATGATTTCACAACTTTTGTCAAAATTTGAACTCAAAACATATAAAAAAAAAAATATATATGTTAATTTATTTTTTTTTATGCTAAGTAAAACACATGATCAAACAATTTTATCAGTGTAAAACAAAAAAAAATTTAAAATATCAAATACCTATAATAGCTCAATATTAACTAGAATATTTTGTTAATTTAACAATTCTAGAAGAGGTTAATATTTTGTATTGGCAGAAAATATTTAAATATTTTTATATAACAAAAAAAAAACAAATAAAAAATGGTGAAACTGTTGGGTAAGTAATTTTTCTCGTTTTTCTTCGGGTTTCCTTAATTGTTAATAAAACTAGATGGAAAAATGACATTACAGTGCAGTGACTAAATTAAATTTACTTTCGGAAAAGATTCTATACTAGAAATTCGGAGTATGATTTCTAGTATAAAAACCAACTAAGAATCTATGTTACGAAGTGTTAGAATTTTTCTCGTGGGGTAAATTCTTTTAAAAAATATTAGGCGACTTATTATTTTAACTCCCTCCAAAAAATATCAAATCTCAACCTTTTTGTTTTGTTTACATAAAAATTGTTTTGTAAACTAATTTTTTTTTCTTAAGTAAGGCTAAAGAATTATTATAGGTATGTTGTGAAACATGTATGGCAAAAATATTATACATTTTACTTATAGCGATTATATTGAATATATTATATTGTATTGGAGCGTTTAAATTCGAAACGTTTTGAAACAGCGCGTAATAATTGTGGTGTTCAAATTCGAAATAATAACACACACGCTATACTATTATGTTGTTATGTGCCAAAACCGAGCAACAATGCAAGACGAGTGTTCGACATGAAATAACATCACTATAAACTTGAAAAATTGCAACATGGTAACCGAAACATATTTTGATCGTAACGATTTTTTCTATAAATTACTCTCGATTTTTTTATTGATTTTTTTTTTAGATTATTTCAAGTGATTTGTTATTATATTATAACCTCGTCAAAGTACCTTTCGTGTAAACTTTCCAATCGCAATGGAGAGGACGTATAAAATGATGCCTGAAGCCCTTTTATTACCTCACACAAAGGATTTCCCGATAAAAATAAAAGTAAATTTTTCAAAAGCTAATAACTTTATCGTTGTCCATTCAAAATTGACAAAATCTAAAATATTAAAGTGATCAGTGGGGCAGAATTGTTTTTTTTCTGGGGAGGGGAAAGCTGAAAAAAATGTAACAAACAATATTTTTTGAACTTTGTGTGTATTAAATCATACATTAAACATTTACAACTATTTTACAGCTCTAATTATATAAAAGTTGAAATATTTATCTTTTTTAAAAATTATAAATGTATATTCATTTTTCGTTTTAATGTTTTAGCAAGTTAATCTATAACATCATTGATATTCACGTTGATATCGCGATGAATATATTTTAGTAAGGCTAAACCATTTAAACGTATTTGTCCCGAAGAATTTGTTAAATATGTTTTCAAACAATGGAGTGTTGAAAACGGTTGTTCTCCCGTTGCAGTTGACACTGGAAGTGTTATGAATATTTGAAGAAGTTTAGATATTACTGAATAAACATCTGAACTAGTTTGGAAGTATACTTCAATAGTATTTTTTTCTTGAGTTCGGAAGGTGTTAAATTTGAATATTTAGAGTACCACAAATCTAATTCTCCGTTTAATGTATGATCATTTAAATTCGAATCGTTACATTCATCAATTATATCTTGATATGTTTCTACTAATTATTTTAATTTACCTTTAATATCTTCAAATATTTTCATTTCTATCTTATATAAAATACAATCAAAATATAATCATATATTATTTATTTGTATTATCTGTTAATAATAAAATGTATAAACACTATATTATTTTTTTAAACTATAAGTATTTTTTTTTTTATTTTGAAGTAATAAAGGGGGAGATACAATTCCCTAACCCCCCTTTTATACGCCATTGAAAGTGATAGTAAATAGTTTTTTTTTTCTTTTTTAATCTAAATAATTTAAATTAGGTATACGTATAAGAAACATCAACTGTTTTTTGTTTTTTTTTTCTAAATGCTTTTCACTAAAATTGTTTTAATATTATAATTTCTTTAAACATTATTATATTTTTAATACTTATTTCGATACTTAGGTTTACCCATTAGATATCACTTAGTTACATTAACTATTAGGCATTACAAATTAAATATCAACTTACTATTTGTAGTTGTTAACTATAGATTGCGATATGTAAATTTGTTTGGCAAAACTATCTGCATATTCAAATTTTAATTTCCATAGAAATACATATAATTTAATAAATTATATTCAATGTTTAAATACATGCAGTAAGGACTCGCCTCACAATTTTATTATACTTATTACCGTACATACCTTTAAACAAAAAGTTTTATATTTAAATACAAAAATTAATTTTAAAATATAGACAATAAAGACAGTACTTACATTGATGAAATTCATAATTATTATAAGTTATAAGTAATCGATAAATTAAACAAGTGTTATCTCTGCTTTGGTCGATGGCCGACATGTACCTACCATGGATAGTAAAATTACAATATCTTTAGTACCTAAACATGTATATTATTTAGCTTAAATCGTATAATGATTTTATCAACATGTGTATCATATGGCATGACTACATTTAATGAAAATGATTTTTAGTATAATAACACATTTGAACCACAATAATAATGAATTGTATTTAAAATTATAAAAATAAATTAAATTATTTAAATAGCTTACGGTAAATGTTTCATTCTGGTTTAATATCCAGAACGCCAAAACAGCGAACATGTCTAATAACATTTTTCCATCGCGAAATTCGGTTCATAAACATTTCAAGCGTAATTATTGAAAAAAAAACTATAATAATTTCTATCCAAATAATATTTTGTATAGTACTAGTACGTGAAGTAGTTAATTAATTACATTACGCTCCTATAGAATAGATTCCATTTTCTTCGACAAACTGTAAAGACCACGTTATCATATTACCGAAAGCTAAACCATTCAAAAACAAAAAAAATAAGAGCTCTTTTTTTTCCCCATTCGAAACTCATATACTATATACCATAATATTATCGAAAACGTAATACAGATGTTATGAAATAATGATTGATTCGGGTAAAATCGGTTTCCATTTTGGCGTGCCGAAAGACACGAAACGATTCGTACCTTTCAAAACGTTCTTCCTCGACATCTGGCAGATGGATTTGTCGAAATTGGTTTTGATAAACGAGGTGAAATTTGTTTTTACAAGTGTACATATATCGCTATAACAGTCGTACACGTTTTTCTACGTGTGGTCGTGTTCAAAACATTTTTTTGAAGGTAAATCGATATATAACTGGTAGTGGTGACGGTGGGAGTGGTGGTATCAATGCGCTGTATTATATTTGTGCTCCTGTCCACTGAACCATAAATTAACGTTGCCCAGCATGGTCATTGTATAGCAGTTTTTTTTTTTTTTATTATTATTTTAAATTACCTCGGAACGGAGGGATAAGAGAAACTATGAGGGTTACGAAAAAAAAAGTACAAAATGGGTTGCATGACACACGGGAAGTGTGCGCGCAGTAATTTTAATTCTATTGTGTTTGTGATTTGAATACGGAGATTTGTTTGAGTTTCACACTGGTGATGATTGCAATCGAAAACTTCCCTAATCAACTAAAAGCACGGATTTCTGCTGGTACCGCGGTGGTTTTCAAGAATTAACATCAGTGCGTCTTTAATATTATTGCAGTCAACGATGAAAAAAGAAAACTAAAATAGTATACAACGCTATCGGTAATTTATATATTTTCAATTATTCCTGATAATATTCTAATTAAATTAATTTGTATCTGTATACATCGAATGTATGCTGATTGTAATAATTTATACCCAAAACCTAAACTGAAATCAATTTGAAGAACATAATATAATTATGAAAATTACTTCACTATAAATTCAAATAAGACTGATGATGAATTATAGTATGTAACTAAATTAACCTTAACAGATATGAGCATTTTGTTGCTATGGTAACAACTAAACAAGATAAGTATATGGTATCCAATAAAATTATATTCCTGCAAATCCTTAATTATCGAGGTGAAATATACGCAATAGTCGTTACTATACAACATGTGGTAAAACTTTTTTCGGTAGAGATCTACTTAGTATACGGTTTTTGTTTGACGATAGAAATCCATCAAAAATGTTATAATTATAAAGTATTTAATTGAATATCTAGTTAAAGTGATGACCTTTATTTTTTCTGTCTATCGGCTTTTTTAGCATAAAATTTTATTTTTTTTTTTTTTTTGAAGTGCTCTCTATGCGGTAAGACCTCTCATATCATTATAAATTGTGATTTATCTACTTACAGTAAAAAAAAAAAGTTCTAATAAAGGGAGGTCGACATGGTTATCATCCGCGATCTATTAGCCGATTATGTGTCTTTTATAATATTATATGATCATTAAGAGTTCTCTTCATAAAATTTAATAACATGTGTTTTCTATTAAATAATATGTATAATTAAAATCGTTCTTTGTTTATCAAAATGCAAATAAAAAATAGGAATAAAACCTATTAGGAAAAATTAGAAATAATATTATTACATAAAAACAATAAAATTCAAAAAAATCTAACCAAAACTACAGCACGATATGAGGTGCATAAATAAAAAAGTATACTTATGCATTAATTGTAAAACTTAATATTTAATTAAATTGTATCCTACTATATGGAAGCAAATTCTAAAAATAATCATTTAAAACGATCTTTTATAATGCAACTAAAAAGAAAAAAGAGGAACTGAAAAATTAATGTGATGATATAATTAGATATAAATCAATAATCATAGTAGTGCATAGTTGAATTTCACCAAATTGAAATTAAAATTTAAATGCAATTACGTAATTAATCAATGAACAATTGACTTGGTATCCGTAATTACTTAAATGCACAGAGTACTATATTTTGTTCGATTTACCAATATATTATATTTACAACTATGAAATTAGAAACGAAAATTGCATAATTATTTTTATACAAAATATGCAATACAAATACAACAAAGTGCGCGATTGTGCCACGTTTAAGATACTAAAAATATGTTAAAGCTCGCAAAACACTTCGTATAATACAAATAATGACGAGTGTTTATATGATTTAAATTATATCGGTTTGCTAAAGTTAAACATAATATAATCAAACTATAAATAAAGTAAACAAATTGAATAATCCTTGAAAATGTCAAAGTTTTTTCGATTTTATTTTCTTCACTCTTACGTTCTTAATGAAACCAAATAATTTGTTCGAAATTGAACTAACTATTTATTAATAATGAATGATAATATTTTTTACAAAAATATATTATCTAAAATAATTTTAGATACAGAGGATTGAGAGGTACATATATTATTGAATTTGGTATTTTTGTTGTTATTTGTGTTTGACGAAAAAGAAAGATTCATTCAAGTTTACTCATATTCTTGTTACAAATATATTATAACACAATTTTTACTGCAGAGAAGTTATTTTGATTTTCCGAACAGTTTCTCTATAGGCGTATGTATCAAAAAACTACCGAAAAATTGTTTAAAAAAACAAAACAAAACAGTGTAGTTTAAAAATACATTTTTATTTTTAACGAAATGATATTTTAGAAAACGTATAAATGTGAGTTAATTTTGAATCAATTCGTATTCAATGGTTTAGTAAAATGAAGGATTCACTTTAATATAAGTAAATTATAGCCTATATATATTATATTATAGAATATAGATTAGTACCTAATATTTTAATTTCAATCCATAAATCCCGTAGTAATTTTAACTGAATAATTATTTCCATTTTACTAAAATGGATATTTTGAATCATATTTAAACATACTATTCCCAATTTCCCAGTTGTTGAACTGAATCGTAGGTACCCACTAATATTATTATATTTTTACGATTTTCGCATAGTTTGAACTTAAAACGTATACAAAAAATCTACTACATTACGTTAAACTATTTATTGTTTTTTACCACCGAATGGCTAATATAACCTATGATGAACCTTGTGTTGAATTGTTAAGAACATCAGTTAGACCAAAACAATTTTTTCCACATAAAATCAATAATGCTTATAAATAGTTCAATAATCGTCAATATTTTACCACGTCTACCTATTACCTATTACCTAATGCTACCTATTAAAAATAATGAGAAACGTTCTCTGGCAAGTACATTGTCCTATTTTTCCTTAGTTTTTTTCAATTATTAAGAATATTATTAGAAGAATAACGGCTCAAATACACCAACTTGAACAAATTTGCTTTGATAAAATGTGCTACACTTTATAATCTGGGCAAGATATCTAGTAGGCCGAACAATTATTGTTAATAGATTCAACAAAAAAAAAAAATAATCTAAAACCGGTTCACTCTTCGCTGTGCTCAGAATCTAGAAAAAATAAACCATCAAATACGAACACCAATGAACACAGAAGTACAGAATATAGAGATAAAATGAAATACAAAATACATTTCATGTACATATATAATTTCGTTTAATTTATGGATAATCACGAGTATGGTAATTTTGTTTGTATAAAACACTAACTTTTAAGGTCTATAGATTTAGTAAGTCAGCTGAACGTGGATGAAATTTTGATAATATAATAAGTTTGAGTTCAAAATTTCGTAGTGTGTACAATATTGGATATTTATTTTTGATTTACATATTCATTTATCATATTAATGGATTGTGAAAAACAATTAATAATACCCACCTACCAATTATTAAGAAAAATCATTCAAACTTTTGTATGTGTGTACTATATCGGTGTTTTAATTCCAAATAAGGACATTTTTAAATTTAAATTAAAACAAATTTAGTTATATTAAAGCAATCTGTACACGAATAGATATTATTGATCGATATTCACAAAATTCTAGATTTCCCGACAAGAATCAACTCGTTCAACCTATTTAATAGCTTTGATGTAGGTAATCATCTAAATCTATGGCATGTAATTTCAAATCTCTAAAACCCACAAGTTAAGTCTATAATGACTTCAGATACAGGTTTGTAATTAAACAACATTTTTGATTTACGAAGGTAGTATTAAAAACTATGTATTTTGCATCAAATGTGATTTTTCAATATTATATGCGGTTTATTTCCTCTCTATAGTTCGGTGATCTTCAACATTTCATGACTTTCAGCCCATTTTCTCGTGATCGTAATTATTTGTTGGCCCTTTTGTTTCAGAAAAAGGTAATTTTCTAGTAGATTGATAAATTATTTTTTAATATTAATTATACAATTGATATACTAGTCTTTATAATTTTTAATACCTAAATATTATTTTTTGAAAATTTAAAAGTACAAAATTTCGTTGTATTAGGAATTAAAAAAAAAAAAAATGGATTTTTCAGAATCAAGAATACCATTAGTATAGTTTATAGTTGATTATTTAATATTATAGTAACATACTAACAGTTAAAAAATTATCTATAATAGTAAACGCATTAATAATATTGAATAGGTGATTTATTTCAATACCGAACCATTAAAAAATGTACATAATTAATTTTAAAAGAAATTGAAAAAATTTGTAAAGTATGAGAAACGTATTAGTTTCTAACATTGTTTAATTTATCAATATCGTAGTTGTATTAACACTGGTGATCTCAATTATGATGGAACGGGTGTTTATTGACAAATCGTTTTTCATCGATTTTTTCCCCATTTTATAACTGAGAAACAGTAACAGTAGCAAAGCAACTATTATTGAATTCGTACTATATAATATAATACTTTACGCGATCGGCTATTAAAATAACATTACAGATGAATCGAAAAACAAAAGGTTATATTTATTTAATATGTATACATTTGTTAATCAATTCAAATATTATTTGATAAGTTATTTTATAATAAACTTGTATTTAACAAATATAATCCATTCTCTAAAAAAACAAACCTACATAATTGCTATATAAAAATCATCTACTGACTGCGCATATTTATGATTATTTTTATATTAAATATGTATTTGTATTTGAATAGGCACTATAATATTGTTTTAAGTATAGTTGTACCTACTAATATTTAAATTTGAAACTAATATATTAATATTATTTATCTTTTTCAATTACTGTATTAATATTGTTTTAAAACAATTGACATGTTTGTAATAATAAGAAATGATGTAATGTATTCACATCCACTAAAAAAAAAAATAATAATTTAAAAAGTTTAGTTATTTGTCCATACTTAGCTTAAAGCTAAAATGTTATCGCTTTAACTCGTATATATTTTTTAAAAGGTTTTTTCTTGGCAACCTTATTATCACCTAAACTTTTAATCAAATAATCCTGCTATTATCTAATTTATTTGAATAGTGAACGAATTTTAAAATTTAATTTAAATAATAAATTTGTGTTTTTATCTACAAAATATTCGTTTCATTAAATAAAAGTAATTTCTATAGAATATTAATACGATTATATTTTGTAAAAACATTCCAACTAAAATAAAGAAAACAAATTCTAGACTAATTGCATTGCTCAACGGTGACATTATTCCTAATACACAATATTAAATGCGAATTAAAAATCAAATAGCTGAGCTTTTCTACGTAAAACCACAGAAAATTATTATTTGTTAACAGTGAATTTTCGACACAACATTCAATAAATCAAATATAATATTTCAATCGTCATTTTAACGTCATGTTACGTTATATTTATATTTTGTTTTCATTATTAAAAGTCTGATAAAGATTTAATATTTTAATGGATATTTACATGATCTATATTTTTTAGCAAAACTTTCATCATTGCACTCTCGTTCCAAATGGATTATGACCATTCAACTTCGAAATACCGGATATTCTCTTGTCATTTACATTAGGATTTAAATTATAAAAAAACAAAATCTAAAATTAACTACCAAAATATTATTATAGTCTATCAAATATGCATCCAACGAAGTATTATAGAATTTAGTTTCGAGATTGTATTATTCGGAACACAAAATGTAGTGATCATAAAAGATACGAAAGATTCAGTTAACTACTACAGTAGATATGACAATTTTGTATACGTTTCAATGCAGGTTTTATTTGGTATTTTATTGGGTTTATTTTACATAAAAAGTTCATTTTTTATCAGAAGCATTCGTATTTTAGATTATCCGGCTTATATCGTTATTATAGAAACGACAGGTTGTGGTAGAGGGGGATATCAACATTTTTATAATAGCGGTTGGAAACGCTCTGTCAAACGTTTTTCAATATTTTTAAAAACGTAATTCTAATATTTTATCGTTGCACATTTGATTACTATCATTATCAACACACTTTCATTATATTACACGGATATATTAGCTATTTAAGTATTAATATTATTTTGTAATATTCTTATAGTATTAATATGTGTATGAAACAAGAAATACTTTAATAGATTTTGTCTATTAATAAATATTAAATTGTAATTTAATATAAATCGATAAAATACCTTTTTTTTTTTTTTTAAATTTAGCTTGAAGTTTTATTTAGCGCTTACTTAATACAAAATATAATCACACTCCACTGGGTTTAAAAGTTTATTCTAAAAAAATCTGTATTAGGCTAATGGGAACGGGTGCAGCCACTGTTGTAGGTGAGAAGTTGGGAAGGTAGAATATAGAGGGGACATTTATTTGTATATGTAAGCAACGATTAACCTTTGCTTACAAAAAAACGATTCTGAACGGAGTTCGGTTGATAGTGATTGTTGAAAAACAATATATATTTCATATTATGATAAAATAATTAAATAGGCATTATATATTTTCTTTTATAATATTTGTTTAATATTGTATTGATTTTCCCATTTTTCCTACGGTTTTTCCATGTTTTTTCCCGGGTTTTCACATTTGTTGAAAAAACTCTTGGGAAAATTGAAAAATGACCTTAAAGTACCTTCCTTTCAAAAAAGGTGCTACACTTAGAAATCGGAGCCAGATCTCTGGTTAAAACATTTTCTAAAGAAAAAAAAAATAAGCATCTTTGTAAAACCATAAGCTTCTTCGCTCCACTCAGAATCTAAAAAAAGGGTTTTTCTTTCGTATTCTAATACTACATTTATAATTTATTTTACACGAACATATTTTGTATAGCGCGATTAATTAGTGTCAGTATTAAATATTGAAAATGCAGCTGTCAATCTAATGATCGCCTTATAATATTATATTACCTACACATCCATGAAATACCTACCTAAAATTTTAAAAATTTGTATAAAATCATGTGGGTAGCCAGGTAGGTAACTAAATTGATAAGTTATCATTTTAATTGATTTTATTTCATTTTTATTCGAATGTGTAGTCTAAATGATTGACTTTACATTGTAATCACTTGAAAACATATTTCTAATAGTGGCAATACCATTAAAGTATAAAACACCGTATGTAATAATAATAACCAAATCCCAGATAAGTGGGAATTTCTAACGTAAGATACATTTGTTTTTTTATTTTTTAAGTTTACTATAATAGGCTGATACTTGATACAATTATGTTAAGAGTGCACAATACAAACCCACACACAACAGAATTACCTATTCTAAAATAAATACAGTTTATATTAAAATAAACTATAACTGTATAAATAACTATTTAAAATACACAATTTACTCCAAACGTTATTAAATTAAATTAAATTTTCACAGTAGCCAATTTCTATGTTTATTTTTTCAATTTCAAAAATTGTAACATATAAACGCAAACCTATTTTAAAATATGATGGATAAAAATTAAGTGCAAGTGTATATGAATTACGAATATATGATTTAAAAATTTAAATAATAATTCTAAAATAACAAATTAAATAAATTCAAAATGAGATTATAAATAATAAAAGTTTTTCGCCTTCCAAAATGATTAATAATACCTATTTAAAGTATTTACCACTTGGATTCTGAATACGAATAAAAGGGTTTGATGGCGAAACGAAAGTTTATACAAAGTCGTTGGATTCAATGAAAGACAAGGTAAATGTCTAAACTTAAAAAAATACAAGTACATTAAAACTATTTATTTTACAGCTTATCATTATTCTACACAACTATAATTTTATTTCTCCGAGTACCTATAATAAGTTAATGTAATAAAAAATGTATTTACCTTCTTTTAAGTTGTTTTAGTGCATTCGTGCAGTTACAGTTCTTTTTAGATGACAAATTCTTAAATGAATGGGTTTTTTTATATTATCAATAATACATTTTTGTTTTTTCTCTGAAAATAATAACAGTTATTTATTTTGGTTTTATTTGTGACTTTGAAGGTAGGTATATGTAATTATGTATAAAGAAAATCCCTTATAAATGCGAGAATAAATTTAGTTTAAATAAATAAACTAAATTCAGCCAAATAAAATATAAAAGAACTTAGAAAGGAGTTAAAACAGCAGTCATAAAACGTACAGTCTTTTTTCTACGTTGAATTTTCTAAACTATTAACCGTATTTAATTCAAATTATTAAACTGCATCTAATATTATTCAAATCGGTCCCCAAAAGCCCGAATTAAAATGTACTAATAAAATCGTAAGTTTTCTTTTTCTTTAAATTATTTATTTTTCATAAAATTTTATTATACCCAATTTAAATATTATTTTTAAAGTCATTAACTAAGTATTATACAAATTAGATGGTGAATAGTACGGTGAGTAGTTCACCCGTCGTCCGTCACACCAACAGTACTTATACCATCGCCTCTTATTTACAATATATAATTTATTAATAAAAATCAACATGATTTAAATTCTCTAATATTATCTATATTATATTTTTATTAATTTATTCGATAATTTCCCTCTTAAATACTTTGATCTACGCATATTATATCACCGATAAATAAGTTTTACAGTAATAAATCGAACGCCACTCAAAAATTTCTACTCTAAAGTCGAATAATAAATTATAACTGCTTTAAATTAATTTACAAGTATAAAATTCAGCACTGACATTCATCCGGATAAAAACAACAATACAACACAAAAATACCCCGATTGAACCTTTGTTTCTGTTGTACCTTTTTTTTTTAAATATTAATTGATGTGACGACGGTTTTTTAAGTTTCATCGAATTGCAGAATGGGTTTGCGTAAAAATGCAAAAAAGAATAGGTAGGTGAGAAAACTACCTAACATAACAATGTATGAGAAATTTCTAATGCAAAACGAACAATGACTCGAATAAGTCTAAAGAATAGAAAATATTAATGTTTACGGACTTTATTATTGTATATAAAACGTGGTTTTAAATTCTAACTTTTAAAAGTCCCTAACGTAAAAAAAACGGTTTTTAAGTATATTCACCGTAGTTCCGGTCCGAAAACGTTTGAACATCTCTAAAGGGCGTGGTTTATGTTTTCAAGTGCTAGCGAACACTTTTTTATTCTGTTTCAAATTTAATTCGAAAAAAGAAATAATACAAAGTACTAATGTAATAATGCATACCCAGTACTAAATTTAAAATTATTTATTTTTCGCGCCTATGCTTTGGTATAAAACTCAATATTTCTTTCGCTCTGTTATTACAATTAATTTTAAGTAGGTCCATCGACTTCTGAATAGAACCTGTTCTACTTTGTATAATATTACGGAAATCATTATTGATAGTCCAGAACGAGTCCGCAAATCGTAATTTTGATCTTTGATCGTATTTATTATCCGAACGACTATTTTTTCTTATGTATATACCAATGCATACGATCAAACATTACTGATGTGAACGAATCTGGTTTCAATGGAAATAGCGAACGTTCCGTCCTTCGTTTTCCCCGGCACGCCAACACCTTGCCACTTTACACACGTCTGGCAAAATAAACGATAAACAGATATACTACATCAAAAAGGTAATACGAGTACACAATATACATTATACATTCACGCTGAGTATTGCATACCTTATCTTACCCTACCTAACGTGATAACTTGTGTGGCACAGCTGATGTCACTGTTTGTTATATGTAGATGATTCTGTAAAATCTGTGTACATTTTGACATAGATACCTACACGTTATTATGCGTACGAATATAATATAGAGACCTACAAAAAAATATAAAACCACATTAAATATTTAGCCCGAAAGAATAGGAAAAGATATTATCGTCTAAAAATGGGTAATGTGCAATTTATCACCATTTATTACTCCTTTGACCTAATTTTTTAGCAATTAATTTTGTTCTATAACTCATAAAACGGTTTGTTGGCAAATTTTGTAATACGACTGTTTGTCGGTCGTCCTGCGCATGCGAACTGAAAGGACAGTATACAAGGCACACACACGTATAAGAGTAGACTCACATAAAAAACATAATATTATTTATAAATAAATAATTTATACGTAGAAAAATAAATAAATGCATCGCCTGGAGTATTAAGTTTTTAGGTTTTAGAAGTTTCTAGAAACTTCACAAAAATTCCCCTTTCTTTTGAAAATGCTAGTATATATAAACTTAAATGTAACTGTAATAAATTTTATAAAGGTAAGACAATTAGAAATTTTAAAATAATATATAAAGAACACATTTCTGAAATAAAATTAAAAAATACTGCCCCTAATTCAAATTTCGCTAAACATATTTTAGAAAGTAACCATAATATAAGTTTTGATATCAATACACACTTAAAAATATTAACTACCCAAAATAACATTTACATTAATTCAGTTTTAGAAGAATAACACAATAAAATAAAGAAAAATAATTTTAATAATATTTTAAATGTACAAACCAATTTTAAAAATAATATCTTATACCAATACATTTTAGATAATAAATAATAACTAAATAATTTATATTTTTTAACATATCTATGTCTAATAATAATTAATATTAAATAATCTATCTTATTAAGAAAATTTATTTCTATGTAAAATGACCAATTTGTATAATTTTTCTTCTATGTATTCCTTCATTTATTTTTTCATATTCAGCAGAGCGTTTTACTTTTTGACTTTGTGATTTGCCTGATGATGGATTTTTAATTCGAATCCGGTTCTACAATACACTAATTTTAATAGTCCAGGCGACGCATTAATTAATTAATTAATATTATTTCTACATATAAATTATTTATTTATATATTTATTTACAAATATTAACCATTTAAAAATTTTGATTTTACTTTATTATTTTATTGTATATAATATAAAATATTTGTATTTTTTTTTAGATACGTTTTTTTATAATTTATATAAGCTTTGTTAACTTTGTAACTCATGAGTCTTACAAGTGGTGAATTAAATTACAAAAGGAAGGGATTTTAATATACATGAAGAGACAAACATTTATATATATATACTATTAGAAACAAAAAATGAGAGCTGTTATAACCTATAATTAATTAGTATTTGTTGGTTATAGGCTTCAACTATCAGTAATTTATTTTAAAATTTAAAAGTAAAGTTAAACTAAAGGGAACTGACAATTCCACCTTAATAAGAAGGAGGAATCCGTCTCCCTTCATTTCTCCTCTTTGATCACTATCATTGTGGATGAGAAGTTGGAAGCTAGAATAAATTAAGTTATTTATGTGCGTAATGATAAATTATTGTTAATGAAATACGATTCTAAGCGAAGTTTGAACAAATGTATTTTGAATGCTGTAATTTTATGATATTCGTCAAAATTTAAATTCAAAACTCTTAAATAAAAAAAGTCTTTTCCACATAAGACCAAGTTAAAACTAAAAAAAAAAGTCAAATGCCAATAAACCAGAATGTTTCGATGATTTTACCACACCTATAAAAGGCGAATTATAAGTATTTTGTGAACGGTCCAGGTGTTTCTGATTATTTTTAACCGAATTACAACAAACAAACGGACTGGATGAAATAATGCTCTATTTCTCTCTCGTGTTGCATTATTATGACGTTATATGATTCCGGTTCACAATGATAACGGCTTTATATTGTTCCGAGGCAATTTACGACGATAATATACGAGCTTTTTAAACGACAACAGCACTTGAGTATCCACACACACATGTAGCCACGTGTGCACGTGTGTTTTTGTGTACGCACTCATATATACAATATAACGCACGAACACACTAAAACTCGCCCTCGGGCCCGTGGTCAAAAGTTACCAGCTAAGGTAATAACGGCATATAACTGTTGCCAAACTGTCGCCGGGATCCCTCCGTTCGCCATCATTTCACATTATACCTTTAAGTTATCGGGAAGTAAGTTTTCCTCCACGACCTATTACAATGTAGAGGTTCCGTTGAAAACTTTCCGACGACAACGACGACGACGACGATGCGACGGTGGCGACAACGCTCGGCGACGGTAGTTAATCTTCGTGTTTGAGACAAAACAAAAGTCCGAGATTTCGGTCCCGTAAACATAACGCGGTCGGTGAAAAATATTTGCCTACACGATTTACGGAAATAAATAAAAAGATTCGAAGCCTTGGCATAAAATTATTAATGGGATGCAATGTTTTTTAAAAATCCCGGCCATAATTTATAAAGGCCTATCCACACTGTGGTTTTTCGCTGCATGGGGCGAACAATTTTATTTCGATGATTTCACGGCGAAACACACATGTTTAAATAATATGTAGCGTGCAACACACAATTGTTTCACTATATGCCTGAGACCATATCTGTCTATAATCCCACCTCATCTCCGCTAATACTACTGTCGTGGTCAATGGAAATTTCGTCCTGGCTATCATTTTATATAGTTAAATACTAAAATTATCTCAATTTCGATATAAGTATAAGTTCAAAATAAATCTATTCAAAATCTATTTAAAAATATATCGATGTAATGATTATGTTATACTCTTCTCTATCACGAGTAGGATGTACAGATTATTATTGTTATAATCACCAGTTGCGGGACGAAGAAAATCGTTAAATATTTATCATAAAAAAAAATCCGACTAAGATTATACTTAGCTCGTGGATTGTATAGATTATAGTTGACCTACTAATTTCAAATGCATTTAAAATGTGCAACTAATTTATTTTTGTGTTTTTTTCATGAATAAAATAAAAATTATTATGAATAGGTACCTAACTTACCTACAGTAACTTTTTGCACTTGTATTTTAGTTGTTATATTGTGATAAAATTCTATTACAAAAAAATGAATAAAGCTTATATACTTTTACTAAGGTAATTAAAATTAGAATGGTATTATTAAAATATAGGTACTTACACTAAAGCCGGCTTAAGATTATAGACTAGGTGGTTAACTAAAATGACATTATTAATTATATCTAAATATGTATGATTAAAACTTGTAAAATACAGCCTTACATATATTATCAGTATAAAAAGTTACTAAAATCATATCCAATTTGTAGAGACTATGAAGAAATGAGAGTAAGAAAAACCCTTCTTGTAAAATCAATATTATAAAAAATAATACCAGAAAATCCATTTAGGTGGATACACTCGTTATCTCGGAAAGTATTAAATTGTTTGGAATTTGTTTTCTAGAACATGTAAGAAACAAGCAGCTCTACAATTTTATGTCAATGTTATTTTTTGTCACCCTTATTTTTGGGGGTAAAATCACTACCTACTTTTAATTTTCAAATGGCAACCTACATTAAAATTCTATAAATATATGGAGGTTAGATTAAAATACATTTTAACATTGAAATTTTTGATTTATGTCAAGCCATTAACGAGATATTTCACTTTTAAGTTTAGGTTGAAGGAGAGCAGTGCATTATTAACACGTCGCGTACCGTACCGTCACACAAATGATACTCCACTACTCTCCTCCAATCCAAACTTAAAAGTGGTATATCCCGTCAACGAATAGACGGAAATCAAAAATGTAAACACTAAAATTTATTTTAACAAATACTCCATCTATTTATGGACTTTTTAATATAGGTTGTCATTTTAAAATCAAAGGAGGTAATGGTTTCACTCCAAAAAATAACATTAATATACAATTTTAAAGCTATTTGTTTCTTAAATGTTATAGAAAACAAATTTTGGAAAAAGTTAATACTTTCCAATGTTCCAACTCGTTCAATGTTCAACAAATTTGAAAAGATTTCACTATTATATTACAGTAGAATATTTATTCAGGTATATTTTAAGATAACATCAGCATCAAGTAATTCTTAATGAATTAAATATTAGGTGCAAGCTAAAAATTATCACAAGTTTAATGGATACATAAAATGTTTGAAGATACCTACAGTAAGTGTAATTCAAATTCAATTGAAGTTATTTACTAATAATTTATGATTACTGTAAATACAAGTGTACTGACTGATTATTTTTAAAATCCAAATGTTAAATATTATATGTTATATTTTATCATATTCAATTTTAAAGTAAAATACAATCCTATAGTAATTAAAATATTGTAAACCCAATAATATATTACATTCCGGCTATTTTACGGTCCGGAATTTCTTTTTCCAGATTAATACAGTGCGGAGATTTTTTCACCGAAATTTTATAAGCGTCTACGCTCATTACTAACCTAACATAACCATGCATTTGTAGACATTTCTGCAGAACCAAAATTCGTTTAAAACTTAGTGTATTACCATATTTAAAATTTATATTCAAAGCCATATTATTACAGAACAGTAAGTATATCTCAATCCATTAATGACAACCTTAGGTTTTAAATTATGAATATAGTTTCGTAATTAAGGTACCTGCATGCAATTAACAAACTAAAATCGTGAGTGAAAATATTCAAACTTTAAACAAAATACTGCTATAAAACTCTTTTGCACGAGTCAGACGGCGTGCCCCATCCCCGAATACGACCCTGACGTTCTAATTGGTTACTATTATTCTTAAAACATAATCGCACTACTTATAATTTATATTATCTCATACCATTATTATCATAATCAACATTTGATTAATTCGTTTACAAAATATTATTACAATCGATGGAATAATATTGCAATTTTAAACATCGATTGTGGAAGAACTATAATGAAAATGTGGTTTTTCGAGTTTATATGATAATAAAACTATTATTATTAGTAGGTATTTTAAATAACGAAAATGAAGTTGATTCGTACAAAGGCAACTACATAATATACTACAGTTTAAAGGATTCAAAAATTAAAATTTTACAAAATAGTAGTACACTGAATTTAGTAGAGATAATTAGGTACCTCCTATTTGTTTGACTATAATTTGTACAGAATATATTGTTCTAGATACATTTGTATTATATTTTATACATTTACATGAATTAATCCAATTTCGATTATGATAAGAATTTTATGCAATAATATGATGAGCACAATTCTTTATATCTGTATTAATAATGAATCATTATTAATGTTAAATAATGAAAACGTTGCATTCGACTTCGGCACTACAGTGTCTAGCAATTTGGATAGGTGTATCTAAAATTATATGTAGGTATATGGAAATTATCGGCACGAAAATTAAATGACAAAAATGTTAACTTACATCATGAATACGTGCGTTTAAGTGCACCTCTCATCAATTAGATTTAACTTAGTGTATATTTAATTTACACAAAATTTGTAATCGTATAATGTAAACGCATTTTTAATTCGTATTTACTTAATATAGTTCTACATTATATAGTTATTGCATTTGTCAAATTGAATTATATCTAACTTCGGAGATGAAAATATAAACTGAACATCCACACCTTAACTCGCATTTACTAAATATGTAGATAACATATATCTAATATCTAACTAACCTTGAGTTAATCATAATTAATGAATCCCCAAATAAATACACAATATTATATAAAATAAAACAAATGTACATACACTTTTAAATTTAAATGCAACTTCGACGCGTATTTCGTTTGTATATAGAATTATATTTTTTTCACAATAAAATCGTTTTATCGTATAAAATTTAATAATTTAAATAGTAACTAACTGAAATACGTTCAGCTCCATCGTTTCCTAAAATTAACCCAAATAAATAAGAACACAATTATGATATTCGATCTAATAAAGAGACCAAAGTTATTTTAACTAAACTGAACCTTATTTCCTATACTGGCCTATATGTTTCCAATGCTATATTAATATGGTATAACAATATAATAATCCCTTAATAAATTCAAACAAACAAATTATTCGCATAAAATTAGAAATAAAAAAAAATCAAGTTACTCATAAAATATTACCGTTATTGTCACGCAGTAAAACAAATATAAAACAACCTGTAATTTTATTACGTACAAGATGCGTCTCCGGCTTTGTCCGTGTGATAAAAAAAAAATTTTAAATAAAGTTAATACATATAAATTATCATTATATACTATTACCATATATACCTTCACAGCACAGAGATTGCATTACAAAAATTAATAATAATTTTTTTTTCTCATCCGTGCTACCAAAGTAACTCATAAATCAACAAAAATAATTAGTTTTTTATATTAAAAATACCTAAAAACTGAATTTTGGGGAATGTTATTCAATAGGAGGTGGATTTCAAGAGCTATAAACCTTCTTCGGAGAACATGGAATAACTTCCTAGAGTTTCACGGCGATAGGATAAATGGTATAGTAATGCATAAAGAACAAAAAGAAACAAATATAACTAACATAGAACGTAACGTATAGTAGATAATGAAAAAAAAAGTTTTTAAATTTTTTCGAGATATTTATAAAAAATATATTTATATTTTTTATTATAATTGATACGTCAAAATGGTAATTAAAAACTATAGGTATTTTGAATTCGCCGGAAACAATCATAAACGGGTAGTTCCAATAAATTGTGCATTTTAATTCAACTGTGAATATGTCATCATAATTCCTAAATTATTATATTTTAGGAAATTATACATTTACTGTAAGGTGCGGTTTATCGCATACGTTTGACCAGATCTGCCGGCCATAGTAATATTATGAATTATTATTTTGTTACATTATTTACACATATGTCGGACCTCTGATGCCGCCCGTTCCGGCAGACTTACTTTAGGTATATCGTATACCATTAATATTATGTTGCGTGCCGATTTTAGTAACACGAAACAATTAATTTCATTAGAAATTTGGTTTATAGTTCAAGAGTAGATAATTTTATTACAATTTACTGAAATCCAACTCAATATAACTAGAAATTGCGTTTAAGTCCCACATTAATGCGAGTGGTGTTTACGTCCAGCGTGTAGGTGACTGCTTAGGGTGACCGCAAACTGGAAAAGCAAAATTTACTGAAGGCATCTGTGGGTCTTGTTTTAGTTATTTTGCTATTAGTCATAATAAAGCATTATGATCGCGCATTAGGTAATCAAATCAAAGTCAGCCAAACCAAATAAAAAAATATCATTGAAAAATAGCGATTCTATTATTATATTAAATAATGTCATAGCTACAAATATCTTGTAAAATAAAAACGACATTTTTATACAAAAAATCTTAAAAGTTATATATTATCAGTAAATTAACGGAAAAATGTGATAAATACGGGACAAACTTGAAATAACGGGACAAAATGTGTTTTTGAAATGCGACTTTTGTCGAGACGATGAGTCACTAAGTTGAAATATGGGGCTATAGTATGGTCACCCTACCATATAGACATATAAAGTTTATTTTCTAGCTAGAAAGAAGCGCAGTATACCTATTTAAGGTTTATAATAAACTAATAACGCAGACATCAACAACCAAAAAAATCCATTCAATTCGTGATAATGTACACGCATAGATGTTATCTCATATTTTAGACAGTCTAACATAAATAAATAATTTTTATCATAGTTTTGATAAAGGTAATCATCTAGCGACTACCTGATTATTATTGTATTGAAATAAAGCAATAGTATTAGCCCAAACTGATGACGAAAGTGTTTTATTTTGACTACACTTTATCAGTATGCATGTTTTCCATAAAATATAAATGTTTTATTTTTCATGAGTCTCAATATAAAGCGATTTTAGTCGCTTTAAAGCAGTTTTGCTTTAGCTACGGTCACCCTAGGTTAGACACGTCTACCGAAGGCCGGTTCCAGGTCGCCTTTTACATGGCTTGTCCATGGCGCACATGATCGACTGACTTTGAGTGACTTTATAATTTATCGGATTTACCTAGAATTAGGTTTATCATCCGGGTCATCATCGCGTGATCATCCACGCGTGCACTTTTTTAATAATGCTTACGCCCGCGTTTATCGACGCTATTATAATTCCATAATATTATATAAAATTATATTAATAATATCGATTTATAATGTTACTATCGGTAGGTATCCGGCACCTATAAGTACACGTGTAAAATACATGTGTAGGTACTGTAGGTATATCATAGGTAAGAATATGCACCGCACGTGACAACAAAATATAAGGACTATACACAAGGCCGTATTAGCACATAGGCACTATGGACACTGTCCCTAGGGCCTGCGAAAATGTGTGACTACGATTTCTTTATAGTATTTTATATATTTTAGATTTTGAGTGGAGCGAAGAATGTATTGATCTTACAAAGATGTTTATTATTTTAATTTTATTTTGTTATTAAAATTAACTAGGGTCGTTCAAGGTAAATATACTTCGAGTTGCCACTGGTGAGGAGTCATAAAGAAATATGCAAAGTGGTATAAAAGAAGTTATTTTTTTTTTTTGGTTTTTGACAATTTAATTCTTTATATTTTAGAGTAAAATTAATTGTTTTTTAAAATTTGTTAAAATTATTATTGTATAAAAAGTTAAAAGAGTTAGCTATAGGCAGCCTAGGGCCTACATCAAAAATGCTGATACCTTTTTTTTTATTAAAATCTAACAATTTACTGTTAACCTTTTCTTTGCTTATTAGTGCCTATAATGCCTACAATGGTATTAATCCGGGCTTAACTATGCAATCCAACTAAATCATGACATTTCCGCATTATAATAGTAAATCGAGGAAAACATTATCCATGACAAAACGTTGTTTTTTTTTTAAAAAACTTGACTTTATTTTATTTTATAAGCATTTCAACCCATCAAACACATCATTTAACATATCGAATCATGAAAGTTTAAAATTTAGTAACTTCTTTCATCGAAAATTTAGAAATACTTGAAATAAATTAAGTAACCTAAATTCCATTAATGTAAAATTGTGATGACTTTAAATTAAAGGCATTTACTTAATAAAATTGACATGCAATAACTAAACATTTTCAAAAGAAATTCGGTATCCATAATTTTAAAGCAAAAATGGCAACAATAAGCCATTACTATTGAAATTGCAATGAAAAAAATCATTACTATTGACATTTTCTCCCTTTGTCGTAATCTAAATCTAAAATTATTTGTTTGATTGTTTTAGGTAATGTTCGGGATCATACGAAGGTATGCCTCATGGTTGCCCGTGGATACTACCACTATTTAGATGGGCCTTATTGTCTGGTTGCATGGCCAGACCGTTGAGTTCCGATACCAAAACGACCGAGGTTTTCGCACGTAACATGACAGAAGGTAAAGAAAAAAAAAGTTTTGTTTAAAAATAGCATAAATACATTTTTTATACGTCTACTTATGGAAAATGGCAGTTTTTATACTCAAATAGACATTATAGGATAGTTAATCCAGGAATGCCACAATAAACTAATGAAAATGTACAATTCACATATTTTAATGAAAAATGTAAATAGAAATGTTTTTCAAAATTCAATTATTTTTGTCTTTTTTATTTCGATCACAAATGATATAATTGTTTTGTATTGACTATTTTCAATAATTTAAAACACAAGCAACTCTATTACATACAATACCATTATTTTTGTGACCCATATTTTTGGAGTAAAATGGCTACTTTATTCTTCTTCTTCGCTTTTATTCCAACTATGTGGGGTCGGCCAAAAACTTTCAGTTGACCACCATATTTTCCACCTCATTCACTCCAACTGTTCTCATATGATTCTTAATCACACCCAACCACTTTTTTTCGATCTTTTTCTCCCCTTTTTTCATTCTACGTTTATTTTCATTACAACTCTGAATGCTTCAGATTCCTCTCTCCTTGTGACATGCTCAAACCATCTCAGTGAATTTTCTCTAACTTTTTCCACTATCGAAACCACGTCTAAACTATCTTCTGTGTACTCATCCTTTATCGTATATTCTCTCGTCACTCCACTCAACCACCTAAGCATTCTCATCTCTACTACATTCATTCTCTGTTCTATGTTTCTGTTTATCGCACAACACTTTGAACCCCACAACATAGTCAGCCTCACCACAATTTTGTTGAACTTAACTTAAATTTGAAATCTCATTGGAATTCCATGAGACTTCAAAGAGAAACTCCTTTTCTTAATCTTATGTTTCATATTCTCCTGATAGCCACCGTTCTTTTGTTCAAAAAATCCAAGTGAGTGAGGTGATCACTATTAAGTGACCTTTTTTTGTTGACCAAATTGTATTTTAAGACATAATTAACGGACATTTAATTATTAAAAATTGCTTATAAAAACACTAAATATGTATTAAAATATTTGCAAATCGGTAATATGTCCTGTGCAATTTAATTATTATTGCTAACCGTGGACTATAACAAAGTCTATACAAATAATAGTGTTTGGACAAAATATTTATACAATATGATGGTCCATATCCATTGATAAAATATCTAATGACCACTCTCTGATTATCGGCTCACTAGACCATATCATTACGCTCATGAAGTTAGCCCCCCCCCCAATCATGACAGAATTCTTCCAAATAAATTGTTAATTATAGTCCTTTAATTGCTAATAAATGTATGTTCTATCATGGAATTTGTAAGCTGACCGTATATCCATGAGGAATTTTTATTCCTTTTGGTAGAACCGATTGTGTCGTATAATTGTATGCGCTGTACTGTAGTAAACAAAAATATAGAACAGAGAATAAGTGTATCAAAGATGAAAATGCTTAAGTGGATGAGTGGAGTGACGAGAGAAGATAGAATAAGGAATGAGTACTTAAGGGGTAGCTTAAGTGTGACTTCAGTAGTAGACATAATTAGAGAAAATACTCCAAAATAGTTTGGACATGTCAAACTGTTTTCGAGAGGGGAAAAAAATCTGCAGTAAGAGTTATAATGAAAATAAACATAGAATGAAAGAGGGGGGGAGGAAGACCAAAAAATAGTGGTTGCGTGTGATAAAAAAATGATATGAGCACAACCGGGTGCATACTAGTCGCCTCCCGAGATTAAAAAGTCGATAATTTTAATATGAATTGCCTCTCGCGTTTATACGAGTCGTCTTCAACGTACCCTAAACTTTATCATAAACGAAAAAGGTCTACTACTAATTTCCTCCCAATAAGCGGGTATCGCATGTATAAATGGTTCATAAACGATTCAAAAATGTTCAAACAGTGTGCATAAATTTATAAATTTGTTTAAATCTTTTATCACGAAATAATATTATGTTGGTTGTTACATATTAATAACCTATTAGCCAGCATTAGATTTTGGATTTATACGTTTAAAGTCGCAATCTGTAACTTTTGTGCGTTGATAAGATTGTACGACTATTATTAAACATTACATCTTTTATGTAATGATTATTGACATTAGCTAAGCTTCAACGCTCGTCGTACGATTTTATTTTTACAAGTAGTTATTAAGTGATTTTAAATTTTCTAATATTTTTAGAATGGATCAAATTGAAATGCAGGAAATGATCAGTGAAAAGAGCAAACGTGTTAAAATAATTAATAGCTTTAAATTTAGTTTTCAAAATAAGTTAGCCTACCATAAAGAATTGTGGAATTGCACGACAAAAATATGCAAAACTTTTTTTAAAAGTAGATGATAGTTATTAAGTCATATTGAACGAAAATAATTTGAATCATAATAGACATTATCTGAACAAGTACATGTACATGATTTTTTTATTGGCCAAATATATTATTATTTTTTAATAAAATTATAAATATTATATTAAATTCAGTTAAGTTTATAAACCACAACTTTATTCATTATTGGAGGTAACTAGTGCGAACATTTTTGGGAGGCGACTCGTATATAATTATGAACTACCTAATCGTCGGAGGCAACTAGTGTATATTAATCTTTTTATTTACGAAAATGATGAGAGTTAACTCGTACATTTTGGGAAGCAACTCGTATGCACAGGCACAGCCGATGCATACAAGGTGGGAGATCAGGTAAAGTGGAAATTAAAGACAAAGGAGACTGACCTCAAATAGTTGGAATGAAGATGAAGGAAAAGAAGAAGATTGTATTTAGGTTTGAAATAGTGGATTTATAAATGCATTAAATTTACTATGAATATTTTGGTTAATGATTGTTTTAATAATGTTTACAGAAAATTTAACTTGTTACACTTGCATAAACGTGTCAGACAATTTAACATGTAATCAATATGCCATAGACAGACCATGTGCTCGAGGTATATGTATATTAATTTAAATCATTAATATAATTGTTTATAATTCATATATCCACAGACCTAGACTACTGCCAGACGTTACACATAATGGATTCGACAGGATCCAGTGTAGTAGTGAACAAAAAATGTGCTAATCGAACGGAATGCCATCCGTCCACTGTTGGATGTTTAAGCATTGACAGACAGACGGTGAGGAATATTACTAAACTATTAAATTAAACTAAATTATTAGCCATTGGGTCTGATGACATGTACGTATACTTAAACATTTCAAAATTTATTTATTCGTATTGTGCTTGAAGCACAAACAAAATTTTTTAAAAATATACATTAAACCTACTCGTATGTTCATTATTTAGAAAAAAAATATAGAAGGTTAGCTTTACATAAAAGGGAGTTCTGGAACCCCAGCCCTAAGCCAGATCCTGAGCCTAAGCCTCATAGACGCAAATAATGTTTGAGAATCGGGAGGGGGTGGGCTGAAGCCCTAGCTACTCAATGAAGCAATTGTGGAAGTAATAAACATTTAAATAAAATTGCAGAAGAGGCAATTTCCCCCCCCCCCTTGTCATTAGCGGCCGTTGTCAGACCGAGTATGGGCTAATGACGGGTTAGTTTTGGGCTGCAAGCCCACAAACATCATTCATGTCATTATGTTTTATGATTGTATTAGACATTTTATAGTATAAGATTTATACTCCATACAATAGGAAAATAGGCAAAAATAGGACGAAAATTGGGGTAAAATTCCACTCAAACTATAAATCTTCATATATTAGCTAATAGGTAATATATTTAGATATTCCTCTACATAATAAATATGTATTATTTAGCCATTGTTGTCCCTCAAAAAAAAATTACTTATTTAAGTTATTTATGCGTATAAGTATTTTAACGACAGTATCTTTAATATTATCAATAAATGCACAGCCCACTCTACACTCTACTGCGGTGAAACCCATTATTGAGGCACGCAACCTATTTATAGTACCTATGTTATATTATATGAGCAACAAAGTACAATATACAATATTACAATAATATTATAATTTATAAATAACATCATTATACAAAAACAAATGCACAGAATGACTATTGTTTTCAATTTCAATTTTCATCAATCAATTTTCACAAATGTAAAATTATTGGTTATAACAAACAAATGTTTTTACAAATCTTCATAAACTATTGAAACGTTCAATAAGAAGAAAAAAACTTGGACCTTCCCAGTTTTATTAAGAAGGCTATTCAAATTTTTTAGGAACTTAACTCCTGAAGCCCCCCCTTATTTGTCAACAGTTTTTATGATAATCACAAGGACATTAAAAAAATAGCATATCTGTACACAATTTTCTTTCAGATTAGATTATAATATTATATTACATTATCATTCGTTTTAGTCATCCTTATATCGTCGAGATAACAAAAAAATAAAAAATTGTGTTCATTGCCTATCACAAAAAAAGTCCTGAATGATAGTAAAAATGTAGATTTGATACACATCTATAGATTTCGCATAAAATGTTTATGATTTATGTAACAAAATTATTTATTTATTAATCCATGTAAATTAAATATTTTATTTCTTATTTCTAACAAATATATATAAATTAAGATTTATCTAGATGATTCGATTATTTATCTTAGATAATGACTCAGACAACTCAGTTTTTGATAATCTAGATACGTACGATAAAAACAACAAATAAAAATAGGAAAAAAAAATACGTCCTAGTTTAATGGGGGCGGGTGCAGCCACTTTTTAAGGTAATTTAATGTATACCAGTAAGTAACGATAAACCATTGCTAACGAAAAAACGATCCTGAGCGAAGTTCAGTTGATAGTGATGCTTTGTCAACAATATATATATATATGTCATTTTGTAGTAAAACCATTAAATAGGCTTTATATATTTTCTTAGATAATATTTTTTTAATATTGTACCGATTTTCTAGTTTTTCCCGGCTTCCTCGTGTTTTTTCCCGGTTTTTCACATTTGATGAAAAACTCTTGATAAAATCGAAAAATGATCTTAAAGTACCTCCCTACACTGATTTCTTTTCAGAAAAGGTGCTACGCTTAAAAATCGGTGCAAGATCTCTGGTAAAAAAGTTGTCCTCAAAAAAAAAAAAAAAATTATAGTTTATAATATAAACATTGATGTAAAACCATAAACTTCTTCGCTCCACTCAGAATCTAATATACCTATCCCTATCTAGATAAAACACAGCACCGTATAAAATACTATATAGGTAAGTAGTTTGTAAATTTTCAAATATATTTTTATCATCGAGAAAGAAAAACGAATACACCTATAGAGATGGTCGTGCGTTGACAAGACTGTATACACGGTCTGGACTTGGTGTGGGTGGCGTGATGAATAGAAACAGAGGAAATGAAAAAACTGAGTGTGATGCATGTGATTTAAATGGACAAAAATAATAATAAATCGATGTAATGTCAAGAGATAAAATAAAATAGAAAGGTAAGATATTGTGGATAGGATGGGATTTATGCATCAGAAATTTTGATGGCTGGAAGAAAAACAAACAACTCCATTGTGATTTTTGTCCATTGTTCGTTTTAATCCATCACTATACCCTTCTTAAGGTCCACTATCAGATTCATTTCTAGTATACTATTGCTATTTACCTAATGCAATTCGACTAAAAAAACTTTTATAAATTAGTTGCCTTCTATATTTGTGACTTGTCCCTCTATAATAAACGTATTAAAATACTATAATGCGAACCGACAAAACTGTTATTAAAACAGTTTTGTTTTTCTTTTAAAAACCTACAATATTGTAAAAGCTCCGCTATTAAAATGTTGACGACTACTCCATTAGCATTTAAAAACTTATAGTTAACAAAATAAAAAAATATATTGTTTATTTTTTTACGATTTTCTCAAAAAACAATTAGGTATAATATTGTTCAACGAGTTTAATTAGAAAATTCTGTAACCGTCGTACATTTCTTGTCTGTCACATATTATAATACCTACCTACTGATAACGGAATAATCTTTAATGCATGCAGTAATTTAACAGAAATACCAGGGAAAGATACGTACCATCAGATTAATATTATTTTTTTTTTTTTTAATTACCTTCCTACCTAACACACACTTTATACATAGACTGTATTATATATTATTGGAGTATAAGACGAATGACATGAATTTAATATAACACCCATCACGTGAAATTAGATCCCTACAGTGGTCTTTTAATATTTCTTTTTATGGATGACTTGAGCTACGGAACCCCACTTGAAAGTATTTTCAGGAAAATTAAACATGCAATGCATGTACTTATTATAGATATCTAATATTTCATCGATTAATCACTATTTGACTAAAATGTACGCATATAATACTTATCTATAAGTGTCTATAATATAAGTACCTAAGCACTTATACGATAGGCACCTATAGGACCTAGGTATATCATTGACATATTTTCAGTAAGTAATGCGATTTTATGTAGAGATCCTATTTTGTATTATTATTAGTTATTTATTTTTATTCAGAAATTTATTATTTGAAATACCTGCGTATCCCGTTCAATTATTCGTATTATAGGTACCAATTCAAATATCGGGTCCTGGCGCAACATTTAGCACTAAAATAAACTCCCGAGTTTATGGGGGTCGTTCGAACTTTTTTTTTTTTATATATACTCGTATAATTATTGTATAATTTTTGTATTATACAAAACTCTCATTTCAGTTAATAAGACACAATTTAATAAAACCGTGTTATGTAAGCGCCTACATTTAACACACAATATTTATATTAATAATTGTTCCATTTCTGAATGAGCTTTGCTAAAAAAACGTATAGGTCTAATGAAAATAATTTGATTCGTTTTAATTCTAATTAACCTAAACGTACTAAACCCACTTAAAAAGGTAAATGTGCTTCAGTAAAACGTTCAACTCTTTCAAACGATGTTCAATAATATTGTTTATCGTTTGATTACAATATGTGAATGCAATTTTTGGTATTTTTTTGATTTGACCCTTACTTTTTCGATAGCTCAATTGACGATAAGTCAATAAAATTATGGTTTTGACATTTTTTCGATTTGAATACTCTTTACCCTTCTTGGCACTCCTCGGCTCTCGAGACAGCTATACTTGTAGTAATAATCTAAATCTAGCAATAATCCATTTTGAGGTTTTGTTCGTAACCGTCCATTTACGCATAGATTCACATCGATTCAATCGGAATTAAATTCTGTATAGTAATCATCCTAGTTCTATTTTCACTGAAAAATGGCGGAATGCGTATATAGCACATTACAATATAAATTGTAATCGACCGAATAACAGTAAGTAATAATCTTTATTACATGGAAAATTAATGTAATGCAAATGATCTAACTCATCTAAATACCTACATACAGGTTACTCGTATAGTTATATAACTAGGTAATTGTAATCTGCTGTAGGTATTTTTTATTTTTCCATTGATCGATATATTATGACTAAATACATTGTGTATATAAGATTTTTTTCGTTATCGATAATTTACCTATGTGAGTATGTGTGAATACGTACGAGTGTATGATAAAAGTAAAACAGACGAAGAAGAGGCAATCTAAATATCCATTCAATTTAAGCCAACTAAAGTATCTATAGTACCAAACAGTGTAGTCAACATAGATTAAAGCTAAATAAAGTTTTGCTGTAATTATTTTTGTAGGACATCCATAAAAATCCATGGGTGAGTCCTATTTTTTTTGTTTTTCCTCAAGTATGAAAAATGTTCTGCACGCCACTGGAACCAAAATCTTATTTTGATTTTTTTATTTTTCCATATTGAACCGACAACAAGTGGTGGATCTGTTTTCACAATACTTCCCCGCTTCCGTCATCGTTTGTTGTTTAATAAAACTAAAATGTACTATCCTATCAACCCCCCCCCTCCCCCTTCCGGGGCAAGCTCACATATCTCGGCTAATAACTTATAAACTACCTATATAACACGAATACCAATAGGTACCTAAGCAACTGATCCTATGAAAGCTTAACCGAAGTTACCCGTGATCCGAGTCTTCGCGATCCTCCGGCTAGGAGACACGCCCTGTCCTTATCAGAACCTTATTTATACTGCTACTGCATTACACTACAATATCATAAACTATATTACAGTATTCCACCTGCGCATACATGATACACTGTAACAACGTAATAATATTGTCGAACGTTTTAACCATTACACATTGTATCTTATTATAACATTATACCCTATAATCGAATTACTATGGCGTTGCGTTTACAGGTGTGCGTGTCCTGCTGCGATGGCATGTACTGCAACATGACCGTGCCGACAAACCAGACGAACGCAGTAGTAACAAATACGCGCAAAAGTCACATGAACCCTACCAAAGAGCCAAAGACAAAATCGGCCGGTGACGTACCGTGCACTCTACGATCGCCATATGCGTTACTTTTTCTGCTGTTGTTGATCGTTTTTCAATGTTAGATCGTTATATATTTGTATGAATTATTACTATCCAAACCGATACCTCAATAATAATACTTATATTATTAAATATCTAACCTAGTTGCGAGTTTAGATTTAGCTGGCATAGGTTATATATGGCACGAAACAAATTACCTATCTACATTGCGTTTATTAAAGTACATCGAACGCATATTATAGCCTATTGACAGTTGATCGCCTACAAATAATAATAATCAGTTGAACGGATATGAAAACATTATAAACGTAGGTGGACAGAGCATAGCCGACCGACGGGTACAAAATTATTTAATTTAAAATCAAAACAACAAAATGTACCTATTTATTTAAAACCGTCTACCAGAACAAATCACATGTACTACTTTTGAGTTTTAAGGTTTAATAATTTTGAGAAATCAAATGAATAATATTACATATAATTGTAGGTATATTACATTTAGTAGGTACTTATCTACCTATATTATACCTAACTTACATATATGGAAGTATTTTGTTTTTTCCCCCCCGTGAAAAACGATAAGTACCAAATCGATAATATTGACGTACCTATATTAAATTATTTACTATAGAGTATCGATAAAAAATGAATGAAGATTATACATGTTTCATAAAGTTTTTGATTTAAAAGAAAAAATCTTCCACGTAAGGCTTATTATTATTGCTCTGTCCATATGTATTCACTATTCAGTATGAACATGAGTTTACTGTTTTGTTTGAAAATTACAATGTTTATAATCAAACTAAGTTTTGTGTTTGTTTTTTAAACCTTCTTGTTATAATAAAAAATAAATACCCACTAAAAAAATTTTATTTTGTTGTCTTTTTATTATCAATAAAATGTGAATAACACATGAAATTAATCGAAAAAAATGGTAAGTAAGTAATACTAATATATTGTTATAAACCTGTTGAATAGGGGAAAAGTGGCTTAAGTAAAGTGGTAATATATAAATTATTTTACTTTTCTAAGTACCTAATATCAATCACATTTTGATACAGCATTCATAGAGTTATGATAACCAAGTACTCAATAGGCACTCTCTAACTTTATACGATCTACAGAATTTTTTTTTTTTTTATCAGGATCCATAAATTATCTAAGAATTGAATAAAAATGATTTTGATTCTGTTAATAACTATTTTGTAATTATTTAATACTTGTTTTATATTTTCAAAATGTTACCTTTATTCCATAACCCATCAACTGTTTATTTTCAAATAGCAACCCCCTCCCTTCAACACAAATCTGAAAAAATAATGTATTTCTAACAAATTTGAAATATATATCATAATATTAGCTACAAAATGTGTGTTATTACAGTTTAAAATATGTACTGGAGAAATAGGCATGATTATATATAATAGAATTCAATGTCTCATTATTAAAAATCAATGATAAATCATCAAATTCAAAAAAAAATATGTTATTATGTTATATTTAAGTGTTGGTAACAAAGTAATCACAAATTATCAACAGTTCAATACTCATTAGACATTAATAATTCAAATCTGTGATTTGCACCTATGATTATTCCCATTCTAACTGAAATTGTTAAATTTTCATGTATAAATTAAAACGCGTGGGTTTTTATTAATAATTATCTGTACAGATTTGTCATGTGGTTTTTATATAAATAATTTTAAATAATTCACAATAGAATGTTAAAAAAAAAAAAATAATAATAACAATAATATTTTTATCATAATATGTATATCAAAAACAAAAAAAAATAAAAAAACATACATTTTAATAATTCATATGCCATTCAAAAAAATTTCAAAGAATTATAAAAATGTATAAAATGGTAGAGGAATAGATACACTGGTACAATAATGGTTTATACATAATAGTATGGTAATTACATAAAAAAATTATATATTCAATGCAACCTTTTATTTGCGCGTGAATAATAAAAAATATAACTAGCTAATCTTTGGTTTACATAAAATAGTTGATAAATATCAGCCAAAATATCCAGTATCCATCCCTGAATATTAAAAGTCGCACCTTAAGTAAATAAAATATCTATTTTTTTTTCTCAATAAATTATTTTAGTACAATAAAAGAATAAAAAATATTGACTTCAATGGAATAGTGTTTTTTCTTTCAATAGTCTTAAGCAAGATCTTCCCTCCTAGCAGCATCCTCTTCACGTGCTATCGCTATCATACGTAGCATGAGTACTGAGAGCACTTTATCTAATGGGTCCATAAACCCTCTTTGCATCCATTTTGGTATGGTTGTTCGAGCATGTGAGAATCCAAGCTTTTGTAATATATAATCCACACCATAAGGTTCAATACTTTTGCCTCCCCATGATAATAACCTAAAACAGATACAGATTAATAAGTCTTTATTAAAATATATTTAAATAATTTATACAGTTTGTATAATTTCCTTACCTGACAGTTGGCTCTAAATGCCAAGTAGTACAACTATAATCCCTCCAATCATTAGTGAATGACTGAGGAGATTCTGTAGTAGGTGGATTGGTATTGCTGGTGTTTGACGCATCTGGACTCTGAGGTCGATTTGTCATTGAAGACTATAACAGGAGATAAAATAAATTAACAAAACGCCATAACAGTGCAATCTATAAACTGTAACTTACAACTTTATCTTTTTCTAAAATATAGGATGTAATGAGATCATGAAGGAAGAAAAAAGCTTCTGCATCTACAGTAACAAATATATGGTCCTCGAACTCGGTGATAAAACTACATTCAACCATCGGTTTAATATCACAGGGCGAAGGTAACTTAACAGGTTGCGTGTGGTTAGTCTTGATATTTAATTGCAGTGTAGGTAATGCAAATATGACTTCTCGTGTATGAGTGAGATTATCTTGAGGTTTTGGAGTACGCGAACGCGGGGCTGATTCTGCCATATCTTGTTTCTCACGCTCCAAAACCGGAAAACGATCTACTTCTGAAATTTAAAAATAAATAAATAATAAATACTTGAAATATTAACTAATAATAATTTACCATCTAATTCACTCATTGCAAAGGCATAATTGAACCATTCTTGAATAGTTTTAAATTGAGGCGGAAATAGGACATTACGGCTAAATTTACATACTGTTGCCATACTGTGTTGAGGTCGTACAGTGCCCTCCATGCCCAAACTAAATGTGAGATTTTGAACAATATGAACGTCTAAATCATCTCTACACAATGGCCCAGAATCTTTTAAAATCAAAACAATAAATAAAAATAAATTGTATTTATGTATTAATTAAATGACAGAAATCACTATAAGATGTGTATGTAGTCTGAACACCATGTGGCATTACCTTCAAAGTTAAATACTTCATGAGCTTCAGTGGCAAATGATATACATGGTTCCTTCAAGGAGAAAAGTGCCCAAGACTTAGATTTAAAATTAATACCATGGAAACACGCTAAAGATATATTAACACCATGAAGATCCATTTTTCCACCTAAAACAGTACCCCAATGTGGCAAAGGGTATTTTAATGTGGATAATCTTAGTCCCGACACTGCTTCTAACGCACGTTGCCAATGCCGATGATGATGTTTGCATTCATCTGGACTTAAATCTAAAATTAAAACAAATGTAGTAATTCAAATCAATTAATAATTTGAAACACATACTATCTGGACTTGAAGTTGAACTCAATATACGCCTTCTAACTGGTCTTTTTTTGAAACTTTTCTCAGTTCCACTAATAGATTCTCTGGGATCTTGTAGACTTGAGAAAACACGTTTGCTAGATTTAAACTGCTGTGAGAAGAATTCCTCCAGTTTAGAGTACATTTTCAAAATATCCGAAGATGTACTTTTGGATATCATCAACTGTAATTGGTCCCAACCAAGATCACCATGCATGAACACAATACCTGGTCGTTTATTGGATTCATGTACACCGTCGATTGTCATTGCTTTACTCAATACTTTCCATTCATCTTTCAAGAGTACTTCTAGTAAGCTTACTCGAGACATTAGTACTGCAGTACCCATATAATCTAAACGAAGTTCAAGTGCATATAATTTTAAACCAACGGTATGACGAGGTTCTGATCCAGGATCTTCTCTGATCAGCACTAAAAAAAAAAAAAAAACATAATAAAATATATTAACATGATTTTAAAAAACAAGAACTCGTCAAATATACCATAGGTATTAATTTTGTTCAACTCAATTGTGCCACCCACAATACCGCCTTTAGCATCTAGTCCTGAACCACCAAGACCTAATCCAATATGCATATTTTTATGGCCTGTACTACCAATAGATAATCGACCTTCCGAATGAAATTGTTTTGATAACCACCTAAACAAAAATAATTGGAATAGAATAATGTATACATATAAATTCAGTATACTTACGTTACATTACCCATAACATTGCCCATATTCATGTGTACATTAAGTCTTTTAAAATTCACTGCAAATATCACCAATGTTTCCCATGCAGCTGCACCAACACTACTAGATTTCTGATCTGGGCTCGAATCATGACTTGAATTGTTTTTTTTCTTTTCTAAGGGAAATTGTTTATCTCCTTTAATGTTCAAATGAAGTTTTTCACGGTTAGGTTTCACTTTGACATCAGTTACAAAATTTCCATATCTATAAAGCAAAAGGTAAATTGAAAAAGTTAAAGGTCAAAATCAATTATGATTTTACTAACGAGTCTTCTGGGTCTACGTTGTTACTATGGTCACTATAAACACTGCTTGGTACAGTTCTGGTAAGATCACCTAAGAAAAGTCTGCGCACTATACTACGTCTATACCAAGCACGAGGAAATGCTAATATTTCAGTCAAACGCCTCATATCATACTTAAAAGAAGCAGATCCAATATCAACAATGGCTAAAGAAATAAAAACAATTTTGGTTATCCAATTTAATAAAAACAATAATCAATATAAAATATTAAAATTAAATATATTTACTAGAAAATCGAATAGTGGCGTGACTTTGATCAGATGTGGTCTTAGGCCCAGGAACAGATTCAAAATTTAATTTTCGACTTCTGGATAAATTAAATTTAATAAATTCAACATTAACACTTAAAGAATCTTTACGTTCACCATCAGCTAATGGAGACCATATATTTGCATTAGATTCTTTGAGATTGGCAGCTATTTAAAATAAATATATTAAATTAATTTATGTATTTATTTTAATGTAATAAATAATTAGTTTACAAGATTTTTTTCCTCCATACGGGTGAAAAATATACATGGAAAAATCTGCCATTACTCCAGTGATACTCAAACCTCCAACTGCAACTGGTAAGCTATTGGTGTCTTCATAGTAATCTTCAAGTCTATTTATCACAAATATATACAAAACAAACAAAATTACTAGAAATTGTTTTTATTAATTTTTCATTTAAACCTTACTCATTAGAAGAATCTGTCCTCTTGGAAGAAAATACAATATCCAATGATGGTAATTTTAACATACACTCAACTCTCGATACTGGCAAACATGAAAATCGGAATGTCGAAGTTTGAACATGAAGATAAACAATTACATCCACAGGGAAAGAAGTATAAGCATATTGTCCAGGTGTCAAATATGGTGCAAACAAATCATCATCATTGTCTATGGCAAACATTGTGTCAAAGGTACCTATAAAATACAATAACAAATTAGTTAAATAACAAGTGATTAAATGCAATGATGAAAATATAATTAATATACCAGTATCTGCAAATTGTTGTGCTGGTATAGGTGCCAAAGTCTGCTCAAGGAACTCAAGTATATGTGGTGATATAATAGTCTCTTCTGGTATGCTCTGAAGAGTAGCCCAACAATAAAGGCTAGCTTTTTTCGTACTAGTTTTTCTACTGATTACTCCACTCGAGTCAATTGAATACATAAGAGACTGACCTTCATCAGACACCATTTTTGATTCATAATGTACTTTAAAATCTAGACCAGGAATATGAAATATTGTCAATTCTGATAATTGAGATAGTGTATTAGTGACTGTTTGATGGTGTCTCAATCTAGAGCTTGATGTACTATTTGCACCCAATTTATCTTTATAAGAACGTCTTGGTAAATTTGGACTACCAGGTACATATTCAAATACACCACCAGAACAACTACGCTCTTTTTTCATTCTTGTCATTCTAAAAATGTAATTAAAATTTGAATTACACATCTTTCAATTTCATAAAAATTACGCACGAAATAAGAACTCACAATTTGATGTCATCATCTTTAGCTGAATCTTTAGTGTGCAACACACACTTCCCACTATTAATGAATACTTTTACATCTAGCTCAAAATCTATATTAGGCTCTTGTGGTTTTTGAGTAGCACCAGGTAGAAACAGTGGATTGAGTAAAAAGTCATCTCTGCCAAAATAGTTTTTAAAATAATATAAATAAATAGATATTATTGGAAAATAAATTTACCTTGGATCCATTTGCCTGACATAATCTGTATTTGGCCAACTATCATCACCCTCTGTAACTAAACTTTGTTCAGAACTAGCACTAGGCAATGAACTTTGTCGAAATATTTCTTTAGTATTACTAAACGTTACATGGCCAGGATGTGTGGTTCTAAATGATGTTGAACGTTGTGGTCCAGCTTGAGGAGAATGTTCTACACTACTTAAACTATTCATTTCATCAGGACTAAACATATTTTTTAGGTTAATTAGAATGATTAGTTAAGTAGAATTCTAAATGTTTATATTACCTTTGAGTTCCTTTGAATTCTGTTGCTACTTCTTGTGTAGGTGAAACAATAAATGACTTTGATCTATATGTAGAACTCTTGTTGCTTAGTCCAAATTTGCCCTTTAAGCTTGATTTACCTTTTACACTCTGCCGTCTTAATTTCTGTATCATATCTCTAAAAATGCGCTTATTTAGTATTAAAAAACAATTATTTATTTATATTCATATCGCACCTCCTGAAACCTTTGAAAACCATTGCTTCTAATTCGCGTAGTCGTTTTATTTCATGTTCAATAGTACCTTGAGATGCTCCCAATGAACGTAAATCATTTATAGCTTTTGCTTGCTCGTACATTTCTTTCTCAATGATTTTTGATCTAGTTTTAGAACTCATATTAGGATCGATAGCTAATGATGCTAAAATATCTCCTTCCATATTCGATTTGTGTCTAATTATATCACTGTCTTGTGATATAGGGTCACTGTCTGATAATGGATCATCACTATCTTGTACTCCAGTTAAAGCAGTTAATGTGTGTCCCAACGCACTAAGTTGTTTGCCTATATTTACGTCTAAATGCATATCTACACCTTCCATTTGCCATTTCACATTTAAGAACCATTTAGCATTTTCTATAACATAGAAAAAAAATGAAACTAATATTAAAAATAAATTACATATAAAGATTTTTAAAGATTTTTCGTTATTATTAGCTATTATGTAGCTGAATAACAGTTACAAAAAAACATGAAAATTATATTGTATAACTATAATATACATTTCTAAAATAATATTATGACATATTATTATAATACCAGCAATGCTCTACTTCAAATAATAATCAATACTTTTCAACATGAAGTTACAATATTTCCTCACAGTGAGATTTCCTTAAACATTTTTTTGTAGCTATGACATTTCTATAATATCGACTAGGAAAAAATTCACATTTTTTCAGATTTAAAACTAGCCATAAAATAAATTAGAATGGGATTTTATACCCATCTTTCATTTTTCCCAAATAATTGTGGTTGAAGTTATTTTTTCCTTGCCAAAACATTTAAATAGATGTTTAACTTTTTAAAAAGACACTGGTTTTTACGGTTAGCTTTATTATAATTAACTAAACTAATAAAAGTCTTAAGAGGTGAAACGAGTTTCATAGGTCTAGCTGATTTTGATTTTACCATTTATATTGTAGGTGTGTACTTCTGATTACTGCATTTTACTCCAGTAAATACTTGGGAGGTTTATTGTATACCAAATTATTAATGTTACCTGAAAAAAGATCTCTTTACATAAAAAAAAAACCTTTAAATGTGATTTGAACATAATAATAAGCACTAGCTGTGATTACCATTAGTACTATACAAAACTATAATACATTTGATTATTTTCAGTGCATCATCATCTCCAATAAAATGTGTAAATTTCTAATTTTTTTTTTTTTTTTCTAATATAGAGAACCTTTTAGCTAAAATTATAATAATTATTAAAGAACATTATAAAAAAACAAGTGTCTTTTTAAGAACTTAAATTAACTTTTAAAATGTTGTAGCTAGAAAAAAAAGCTTTATAGCCACTCACAAAGGAATATTGCTAGGGAAAAATTTCACACAGATATTGCGTCATGGAAAAATGGTAATTCAACATGGGGAGTGTAATTTATCATGCCACATTACCCCTTATATCTTATTAAATACGATGTACATACCTGTAATGGAATCTAATTTCTGTGAAGTTGTTCGACTACATACTTCATATGTTCCTTCTGACACAATACACAAATTCATAGCAGTTGATACAAGTTCATTGGTTATATCAGGTTTCCAATCATCCAAAGATGAATCAAAATCGTCAGCAAATCTCAAACATAAGCCAATGAAGCGACCCTTGCTAACCAAAGACCCTGAACTACACGCTGATATACTAGTTGATTCTAATGTAACTACTACTGCTGAACATGACTCGAAATCCGTAAAAATTGAACGGTTTAAACCCCATGTGGTCTTTAAATCAGATAAATAATTATATTTACTTAAGTTTAGAATTCTTATAATAAGACAAAAATATAATAATTTACCTGGGGGAGTGGATTCAAAGGTACACAGATACCCATATCCTCCACAGTCAGTTGTAAGAAAATGGTCCCCAAATTTGGTGATACTGGTATTTTATCAGATGGTAATTTTTCTGAAGATGGCTGTGTAGCTGTCAAAACCTCTTTATTTAAACTTGCTCTTTGTTCATTCCAATATTCATATGCATTTTTATAATTTAACCATACTAATATTGCCTTATCCACGGCCATAGGTTGTATATAAATCAAAGGTCTACGCAGTGTGATTAAAATGACTTCTTTGTCTTCACCTTCACCGACCATTTCTCCTTGAAAAGCATTTCGCAACTCTAAAAATAAATACAATTTAATTTTAAGAACTTTATTTAAATTTTTATCTAGATTACCAATTCTAGTTTTGAAAAAAGCAAAACTTTGAAATTCAGGATCAGCCTCTTCAAATAATGGGTTTCGTATCACTTGTCCAAGAGATAAATTTACATCAATATGAGCTTTAACAAATATTTTAACTTGTTCAGTTGTCTGATAAGATGAACCTGATACATTTTGTACCCGATTTGATAGTTGAAAGTCAGCAGAACCTGTCTCCAAACGAACAGCACAATTTGTTGGGGTTGTAGCTGTCAGTTCTATGCGCTAAAATCATAATACAAAATATGTTTTTAATTAATTTTATGTTAACAATTTTAGTTTACTTACTCTCATTTTCACAGTCAATGAAAATAAAATCCTTTTCACTGGAGCAGAACGATCGGTATCATTATCCTCTAACCATATAGGTACTGGCTTTTCACCACCATAAACTTTTTGAACTACTTCATTGACTTCCTAGAAATTTTAGTTTAATTGTGTAATATATTAGAATATGAAACTAAATTAAGAAATAACATACTTTCATGAACACTTTTTGAACAAAAACTAAATGATTTAATAAATCTGTGGTGAGTGACTGTTCAAATACCCCAATATCAGCGACAGCGCTTAAATAATTTCCTTGACGTAACACAGCACCATCTAAGCAACATAAAAGTTATATACAAATATAAATATCAGCTATAAGTATTAATAAATGTTTACCAGTTCCAGAAAATTGATTTTCTCCTGTTTTTAAACCTCCATCGAGTATATATTCAGCTGAAACGTGCACTTTTGGAAGTTCTAAACTAGCCTCTGATGGTAAATTTGTCTCAGTCACCTAAAAATACACAAATATATTAAAATAAATATTTAAATAAAATATTAATTTAAAAACCAAACCGGGATTTTAGTTGAAAATGATAAAGTGTGTTGAGGCAAATCAATTATAAACTTTGCTTTATAGCCTGTATATCCAGTGCTAGTCACTTGGTCCATTTTGTATTGTGCACGTAAAGAAGGCAATAAAGCTGCAGTAACAGTTAAACACTAGAAATAAAATGTTAGTATTAAAAAAAAAAGTTCAATAATTCATAAATTACTTATATTACTTGAATGACGGCGGTGAAATGCATAACTAATGGTTGAAGCAAAACATTGGGTTCAGGAACTAGCACTTTGTTTACTTCTTCTTTGTGAACTCTTTGCACCATTGGACTTTGTTGAGCACCCATACTTGATGGGCCTACAGATCCTTGCACATCACTTTCATCAATGGTTGGAACACGACCCATTCGACTCGAAGTGCGTGCAACTCTAAGTTCCTACAAAATATTATAAATGTGTTAATTTAAATATAGTATTTACAACAATTTTAATTTACTTGTAAAGTGGACGAAAGCTGCTTGCTTCCTCTTGTCATCATTCCATGGAGGGCAACAGGATGCTGAGGGATATCAATATTAACAACTCCAATTGTTAGTAGACCAGAATTTTGATCTTTTGTCCGACGACTCATACTTGAATATAGTGTCTGTGATTTTCCCACAGTAACTTTTACAACAGTTTGCTGATTGGGTGCAACACCTTCTAAGAGTACTATCATAGTACGACCAATATGGCCAGTCAAGGAACATTCTAAACTTGGAGGCCGAGTTTTTTTACGAAATGTTGAACTGGTATGTAGATTAGTAATTTCTGCTTCTAATTTCAATCCACTCAAAGTGGCCAAAAGTCTAGTTCGGTGAATTCGAACTACAACAAACACCATCAGCCTTGTACGTTCTTCTTTTGTTACTCCTAAATACATTTTTAAAAAATAGAATGACTGAATTTATTCTTAAAAAAAAAGAAAAACAGCAACCAATAATTTAATAAAATTATAACAATTTACTTGTGTTTAGCTGTGAAATTGGTGGTACTGGAGTACTTATTGATCCATCTTTATCAATATCATCACAAGATTTGGTCTCTGGTAATATATCATATTTTCTAGTACCTTTATATCCCTCAGATACATCAACACCCAATGATATTCTTTGGGTTACAGTTTTAGTTTCAGGCATCGTAGCATATAACTCTAACAAATGATAAACAGTTTTCCAACACCTAGGTGTCATTGACACAATATTGGAATCAACTTCATCGATTGGTTTCATAGGTGTAATACGCTCAAATTCTGATAAACTTGGAGTTAAACATTCATTAGCCACTTGAGTTTCGCTCAAATTCATGTAGCCTTTAACACTTTTACCAGTAGATCTTATTTTTTGTGCTAATGTTTGATGTTTTGAACGTATTGATGGAGAAGGTGATACTATTGGTTTCAATTCACTAGCTGAACGTGGTAAGAAACGTTTTATGGGTGGTGGAGTTGGAACTGGTACCTCTGATTGGTCTAAAATTATTTACATTCAAATTTATTGTACATTAAGAAAAATAATAATTTACCTGATTGTGATGTTGGAGGCTTGGCATTAGTACGTGACAAATATGGATGAGGCTGTTGTTCACGAAGCTCAGTTTGTGTATCTTTCACATTTTGATACATATTGGTTATTTGATTAAGAAGTCTTAATAGAGGCATGTTAACCTACAATTTATTAAGTATTTAATTGTCAACAAAAATAATATAGTAAAAATAACCTTATTCAAAATATTACATTTATTTACAGTTCATACAGTGATTTTTTTTTAATCATGAACTAGCAATTATCTCAAAGGATTTGATTTCTGTTTTTTTTTTTTTTTTAATCATTATGGAATCAGTTAAGCTTTAACCATTTTTAATTTTTACTCTTACTCTATACACTATATAGTTTCTCAAATATGAACCTTTCCTCTCTTTTATTTAAATACAGATTTGAAGAGAGAATATTTATCAATTATTGATTGCATAGCATAACATGAAAAATCAGATTTACCATTTACGAGTTATAACTAGGAAACTTGATGCATTTGCATCCTTTTATCTAATGCTTGTATTCAAGGCCCATTTTTATAGAAATTTGACTTGTCGTGCAAAATATAATGGTACAAATTTTACTTTGCATTTTTTCAGTAATTCTCAGTTGTAAGGTCATTTTGTTTAGCAATTTTAGGTATCATTTTACCACTTTTTTAAAGATTTTTAAGTCATCAAATTCTGGGTCCTAGTTATAACTGTTTAAAATTTAGACCGAAAGAGTAAGGAAGAGTTATCTATTTACCATTAAGGTTATGTTAGGTTAGGTTATGTTAGGTTAAGTACTCATAAATGGTAAATGGTAAATCTGATCTTAATGTTCATAGTTTTTAGATAAACCTTCTTTATTTAACTTTGTGTTCAAAAAGCGGATTCTTATTTTTATAACAATAATATATACTTATTCAAAGTATATAAAAAAGGGGAAAAATTAAAAATGGTTTTAAAATAAAGATAACTGATTCCATAATGATTGAAAAAAAACCAAATCAAATTCATTTAAAATTTTCCAAAATAATTGTTGACTCACTATAATAAAATCACAATGTATACCTATTTTTTTTCTATAATATTATTACTTTTATATTTATTAAATTTACCTGTTGTGATATATATCTAATAGAAACACAAATATTGAATGATGTGTTTGAATGTTTCTTTAATTGGCCTCGCGATAAATACAACATATTACGTCTCTGTCTTCGAATGTCATCTACAACCGTCATATCAGCAGAACGCCGTACGTCACACTCAATACTAACACGATCACATAAAAATGCAGGTACTTCAGGTAATAAATCTAACCACGGAGTTTCTAAAATATATATATTATTAGTTACAAAAATACATATTTAAAATTCTTGTGTATCATACCAGTTTTTGATTTGTTTTTAAATAATAATTTTGTTTTCTTTGCAGTTTCTGGAAGTTTTCCATATTCACTAACAACAATATCTATACTTTCAAGACTACCAACAAGCGATAAATTGGATCCCCATGAGTCAAGAGCAGCTATACCATTGTTACCTAAATTTAAAATTATATACATTAATTACCACTTATATAAGAATACAAATCTTCAATAAAATTTAAATTTAATAAACATAACTACAAACATGTATTTATAAAACAAAATAACTACCTGAATTTGGATTAACCATTTGTTGAGGCATTACTCCAAGACTGGATAGTAAAGGTTCAAATATAAGATGAGCATCTAATAATCTTAAAGAATCATACTTCGGAAATATATTGAAGCGTAATGAATCAGACTCTGCAAAATCAGCTGAGGATTGATTATCAGATGTAACAGGTACATGCTTTGTGTCATACACACGTCTTTTACGTAATCTCTGAATAATTAAAAATACAACAAACAGTATAATAAAAATAGTTTGATATTTAAAATAAAATAAAATAAAGTTTATTCAATTATACTAACCCAATTTCTTAATTTTTTGGCTTTAACCAACCTATTGGATACCTGTGGCTCATGATTAATGAATTCTTGTTTCGCCATCCAAGTGTAAAGATCTTCATTTCGGTCTGATTTTTGTGGAGAAAAATGGACACCTTCCATGCTTCCTGTTGAATTTTCTCCTTCTACTGGAGCATGATAAGAATTATCACCCAATGGAACTTCAACAATATTTTTGTATGTATGCTGAACTGTATCATCCATTATTGGAAACATAACACTAGCTCTGGAAGAAGCTGGCATTTGTGTAGGTAATAGTGATTTGTTGTTCTTAGGTTGATCACAAGATGAAGCATGTGAACTTATCCCAACACTATCATTCGGATGATCTGTCATACTAGTAGGAGAGAATGGATCATAATAATGAGACTCGTTGCCATAATTCCCTTTTGTCCCTATTAATTAATTAATAAAAGTTATGAATTTTTCTAAAAAAATATTAATAAATAAATATTATACAAATTTTTATTAACCAAAACCTTTAAATGTATTATTTAATATTAAAGAAAAACATTAGTAAATAAAATTAATCAGTGATTTAAAAGACAATGATATACTTGTATAATGTATACAATTTCTTTTAAAATTGCAAATATATTTCAAATGTTACAAAAACATAAGCATACTTTATGAAAACCTCTTTGAAAACACATAATTTAAAACTTGATTATAAATTGATATTAGTTAATAACTAATTAGTACATCAAGAATTTAAATCAAATTAAAACATAAGACAAATATAAGCGGTTTTATACATTTCTAGTTTAGGTACTAAAAAAAATCACTACAATGTAACACATTATTAATTCTAATTGTATGTTATTCTAATATCTAAGATAACTACCAATATATTTTGATTAAGAACAAAACTAATATAATACAATGAATATTGTTATGTGAAATGTATTAGTTTTACTTTGTAATTTTTCTTATCTGTTAACAACTTGTTTACCAGAAATCTTCCTTTAGTAGGCTTGTAGTTTTCTTAATAATGGGGAAAATGTTAGAAATAACATTTTGTGTTATTTTAATGTAATTCAGTTAGAAAAAATCTTTGAAATTCTCACAAAATACTAGCTTATATATTTATATTATTCTTTTTTAGAACTAGTAAAATTTTAAAAACATTCCAATGAATTTTTAGCTATTTATGGTCAATTGAAATTTTTGAAAATTTACATTCATTATAAAGTTGTTAAAAAAAAAAGTTTAGCATAAAGTAATATTTATATTATTTTTTTTTTTTTAGAGTTTCCAAGTTCAAATTTTAATGAAAATCGTAAAATTGACAGTATCTCACAACACATTTAACTGTACTTCACTTAGAATTACTTTTTGTTAACAATGATTTATTGCTGAGTTTAGGTATAAATTTAACTACTATATACTGTTACTATATATCCTAACTTCCTTACTTCCCACCAACAATGGTACATTTATCAGCAATATCAGTTTTTTTTACTTATTATAATTTAAAATTTTATTTTAGATTCTGAGCAGAATGAGGAATGTATTAGTTTTACAGTGATTTTTTTTTATGTAAACACCGTTTCTACCAAAAAGAAGTTTACTCCGATTATCAAGTATAGCACCTTTTCTGAAAGGAAATGTTCTCTGGGTGTACCTTGAAAAGGTCATTTTTTGAAATTCTCATTAATATTCGAGATAATAAGGAAAACCTGGTTCTTAAGGTTTAAATAGATTGAAAGGTTAAAAAACGTTTGTCATTGGCAACCGTTTTTATTTATGTTTTGTTATTATTAAGCTTTTAATATTTGAATACTTTTTAAACAATCATTGTTGTCATGGAAACACATGTTGTAATCATTATACCATAATATGACATATATATTGTTGACAAAGCAACACTATCAACTGAACTCCGCTCAGAATCACAATGGTTTATCATTGCTTACAGATATACATTAAATTTCCATCTGTATCCTACCTTTCCAACTACAACAGTGGCTACCCATGTGCGAAATAGGTCTGTCTTTTTTTTTTAATAAAGTTTAAAACTATAAAATTAATTTTGTATAAATGTTTGCTTTTGTAAAAATATATTCCTAATATGTAAAAAAAAAGTTTAATAACACTCAGTAGTGTTGTATTATTTATTCAAAATGTATACACTTAAAATATATATCTATACTCTAGCCCATGAAAGATCAATACCTTCACGCACATGCAGAATAACCAACAGTGACAGTTTGGAGCTCCATTTCACACTGTGGGTTGGTTGATGAGTGGGGGATGCACAGAATTGGACAAGTTTTGGTCGAATAGAGGTACTGATCTTTAGTGGGCCAGAGTATAGTAGTTACATATTCACACAAATAAACATAGAACATACATTATAATAAAACAAAGCTGCATGCAGGAGTATAAATTAATTTATAAGCATTGACATGTCGTACCACATTTACTTGTATGCGTTTTGAGAACCCGTTGTAATGTAGAAACGTGCGAATGACGTTCGCTGGTCAGCAGCATTGCACATTCGTCGGTTATTCCTTCTCCGCCTTCTTCCCCAGAAACCTCCCCATCCTTTAGCATATGACCAAAAAATATATATTTACAAATGATACCCATGAGATATGATTAAAGTGACTCAAAATAAATGTGATTTTTTTTCCATAAAATATACATAGTACATATTATTGAAGTATATATTATATTCTATACTTCTATACGATATTATTACACATATTATTACTATAACTATTATTAATATTAGTGACCCATTAAGCACCTTTCAAATAACACTCATAGTGACAATGAATATATTTATTACACAATGAAACACCCAATGACCTTTGTGAAAGCATTACACCAAATGATTTAACATTAGATAAAACAATGATACACAAATATTTGGATACTATTGTTTTGCTTACATATAAATAAATCGGGATTGTGTGATGTATTTGCACTTCGGTGTGGATTTAAATAGCCACAATCATAAAACACCTGTTTTAGAAAAGGACACTAATATTGTTTCAAAATAGTAAATTTTCCCAAATATTTGAATTAAATTTGTTTTTAATTTTTGCAAGTTTATTTTGAACATTTATATTCAAATTTACTTAACAAATAGCATACCTCTTCAGCGTCTGAAACAGCAAATGTTACATTTAATGGTTTTAAGTTGTGATGACGGCTTTTGAAGTTATGTTCAAGCAATAATGGAGTATACAGAATGTTCTTCCACTGACGACTTAAAACAATAACACCCTAAAAATTATCATGATAAATTATTAACTTTTTTTAAATATTTCATACACAAATAACAGTATATTATATACAATATAAAATACTTACTTGTCTTAAAATTGATAAGTTAGGTAAAAATGGATCTTTTAGTTTAGCATCAATAGCTACATCGCTCTGAAGAAGATATTTTTGTAATATATTACACAATTGACAAGAAGGATCTTCTTGCAAAGTTTTAGCCAGAGGTGTGGTATGTCTATACCGACTCTATAAAAATATAAATAATTATTTAACCTATTTTATTTATTATTTATAATTATACAACTGTTAGTATAATAAATTAATATTTGATTTAAAAAAAAATATTATACACTAATGCGCAAAGTAAATACAACAAATTAATTAGCTATTTGATAAACAAATCTAAATGCAGTTTTTACACAATTGAAAAAATAGAAAAAGTTGATTTAACTAAATAATTAAGTCTAATTAATTTAGCTAAAATGTGTGTAATCCAAGTAAGTACATTTAACTTGTACAAGATAACACACTACTTTTTTTTTAAGATAAACTGGTGCCATGAGCAAAGTTGATGTAGTTAGTACAGCTGTATATTCTATTGGACTTAGTAAAAATGTATAAAACTTGTATACCTATAAAATAGTATGTAATGGAAATACATTTACCTTGAGGGGTATATGAAGACTTTGTAAATCTAGAGCTTCAGCCATTAAACAAGTGACAACAGCTGTACATCGTCGATATCTAGTACGCAGCATATGCACAAGACGCATTGCAAAACGATTACTAGGATTCATCCATGCATTAATAGCTGGCGATGCTGTACTCAATAAATTCCAGTCATGTCTACACATATGACAAAGTTAAATACATATTACCCATTTATTATGAATCACAACTATACCTTGTATAATCTATTTTACGAGTAATTGGTGTTAATGGAGGTGCAGCAAAATTAAACCAAACTTGACATACTTCCATAACACATGATGATGCATTTTTATCAATTCCCACTTTTGCTACAGTACTCTCACTATAAAATAAATTTAAAATTTAAATGTTATACATCTACTAAATCAAATAGAAATAAAAACTTACGCTGTATCTTCATTATTAATGTTAGTTTCTGGCGGAGTTTTAACTTGCTTAGGTGTAGTCATTGGTGTAGAACCACCACCAATATCTTGTTTGCTAGAACCTAAAAACAATTTTTGCATTTAAACATAAATATAGCATAACTTGATAAAATGTAATTATCAAAGACATTTAGACATATTTAATTTATTTTATATATTTTTCAGTTGCTTTCTAAAATGTATGTAATTCTAAAATCTAAATGTTAATTTAAATTATAAAATATAATATTCAAAATATACAGCACGTTTTATATACTCAATTTCAAACAGATATTTATTTCATATTAATTTACAATTACAATTTTTAATATTCATTATAATTCTATATATAAATATATGTGTAAATAAACACTAAGTAGTAAATAATAAAATAGATATCAAATTAAAAATTTGTAATTTATTCCTTTGATATTATTTATTTATTATTATATTAATAATCAGCCGACCCCAAATAGTTGGAATGGAGGCAAAGAAGAAGAAGAAGATTATATCAATAATCATTGAAAGGGTTCATAAATGTAAAACTTACTAGTTGCTTTACTTTCTACATTATCTTCATTTTTAGAACGAATTTCAGAATGTAAAACTTTGCCAACTATAGACTCAGGTACTGGTGATGGTGATGGCACATCTCTGATTTCTCGGTCATTTTCTTTTTCAAAATTTGATCTTTTAACAACCTAATAACAAAATCAAAATAATAATTATAAATAGATTAAATACTTAATTAATTTTATAAATACAGACTTTAAATGAAATTCCTTCAAAACCACATTCCATCATAATGAATCCCAATTTTTCATCTGAAATATTTGTCAGTACCATTTCATCAATGTCACTATTTAAATTGTTCTGGGGTTCAGTAGATTTTACTTTAGAACATGTTTTAAACATAACTTTTGAGCAATGACTAGGTATAGCTGTTATTACTGCATCTTTCAATATTGAACACTCATTATGCAATCTGCGTAATTGAGCATGTGCTCTATCTATAAATAAACAATTATAATTATTATTATATTTAATATATTACAGTATATTTCAGAGGATTTCAGTATATTATCTATTTTATAATTTGTATAAAACTAAGAGAATTATGATTAAATTTATGTTGACCAATTACAAATAGTCTATATTAAACACCTATAATGATAATGTTAATCATTGTATTCCAAAATCCAAATATTAGACAAAATAAAATACACACAGAATATTGTACATTGTTAAATTTTATACTTTAGATAATATTAACTATTAATGATACGTTGAAAATATGTGAATTTATTATATTATTATAATAAAAATTAATAATTACCTATGTGTAATGTGATAACAGTTTCTTCTTGTTGTTTTTCAGATGTCTCAATGTAAACAGGTTCACCGTGTGTGCTTTCAGGATCAACTTCAGATGTAGTATTTAAACCAAGTAAAAATGCTTTCCCGGCAGCTCTACTTAAAACACCTTTTTTTTGACCACTAGGTGCTACAGCGGGTGGGTGATATGTTTGCACGATTTCTCTTGCCTTAAAATTATAACATAAATAGTTTATTGCCTACATTAAGAAAAATATAAATTGATTTTAACGATTAAATAATACTATTCTTAATTTTAAGCGTGTGAGTATTTTTACATATTTAATTAACAAAATAAAAATATAGTTCACAATTAAAACTAGAAAAATATCTAATCCTTCAAATCCTGAATTAATATTTGTTTCTTTTTTTTTATGCCACATTGGTATTACAATTTTAGAATCTGTGTATAGTGAGGAAAGTTTTGTTTAAAATGTGCTCTTTTTTAGTATATGAAACAACTTCTCTACTAAAAATCTTACTCCAGCCAAAATCTTTATAAAGACTTTCTTGTAGCGTTTTTTATTTAGTTGGTGCATAGAGATCATTTTTTGATTTTCCATGTCATTTCTAAATAAATTAAAAATCTAGAAATTCTTAGCATAATTTTTGTTGATTTCTGAATTACCTTGATAAAATGGGAAATTTCAGGACTAATAATAATATGCTCAAAATTGTTTTTCTTGTTGACAATGGTTTATTATTGCTTTCTAATACATGAAAAGTATGTCTTTTGAATTTAAAATTGAAATGTTTAAATATTTCAATTTATTCAATATCTTTTAACAATACATTTTCTTAAATTTTACAAATTTTAAATATATATTTTTAAAAATTATGTAAAAAGTTACAGCTGAAAATCTAAAATATATTAATTAGTAATGTACTAAAAAAAGCATATAAAAGTCAAAATAGCAAAAAAAAAAATTATAGATTTTTACTTTTTATTAAAAAAAAAAAATGTAATGCGGTGTAAGATATTAAAATGAATTAAATTCTAAAACATGTATTTAATAAGTACAAACCTGTTTGCTAAAATGAAACTTAGTAGTAAGTTCTTCAAGGCATATGGCTAATAATGATACACATGTCAAATCTCTGATATTATCTAATGCTGAAAATGATATAACTTCTTCAACAATAGATGCTTGGAGTACACAAATGTTGATCTGAAATTATTATTAATTATATTATTGAATTATGTAACTACATATATAAATATTTAATGTACAATTATGTGACTGCATTTTCCATACATAAAATTGGAATAATTTAGTATTTAATAAAAGATGTTAATATGTAAACTACAATTCTAATTAATTCTCCTCCTTCGCCTTCATCCCAATTTTTTTATGTTGACCACCCTAGTCCTAAACTTTCATATAACCTGATCCCCTGCATCATCCTCGCATACACCCACCATCCTGATTATCGAATATAACCTAACCTGATATAATTACCTGGTTATATCCTAACCTAATATAATTCTTAATCACACCAAAACACCTATTTTTCAGTTTTTCTCTCCTCACTTTCCATATACATATATATTAATTAAAATGCTTACAATTAATATCAGTAAGTTAATGTTGATAAGGTTTTTAACTTATTAATAGTATCAGGGTTTTGCCACCAATGTGTTTTATTTAAAATAGTGAATCAAGTAACTAAAATTTATGAAAAAAATTACCAAAAAGAGACTTACATATACATCAAAAAAACGAGATATATAAGATTTAGCTTAATTTATAAATATGTTATTATAATTTTGCATAAGATGCATTGTATAATTTGTATTGGCATTACAAGGGACATAACTATGAAATTTTATTAAGATGAAAACATATCCTTTTTTAAAAGTAGGTAGAATTGATAGATACTTATAATTATTAAATAACAAATAGGTACAATGAACCAACTCAAAAAAATTGTTTATTTTTCATTTTGGCAAAATTAAAAAAAATGGATTGAAAAATACAAATTTCTATAGAAACTTTTTATTAATTCTTGGTAACATAATGTATTAACAAAATATATTGATTATTTAAATAACAAAAAAAACCAAAAATCTATGAAAAATTCAAAATGAAAAGGGTTACTATTAGTGACTTGCAAAAAAAATGAAATTTAATTGAAAAGTGACCAAGTGGAAACCATGTAGTATAACAAAACAATTTAAAACATACCTTTGGTAAAATTACAGTTCCTTGGACTTGTGAAGCAATAAATTCTTCATAAATACGGTTTGGTTGTTGAACATCAGATTGAGTATCTTTATTCAAATTTGGTTTTACTCTTTCCACAGTACTCCTTTTACTTCCCCCACCTTGCATTTGACTTAAATATTTATCACGTTTAAGTATATTGGCAGCTTCAACACGACTAATGCAACTGGAATGTAAGTGGTTTAAGACAGTAAGTGGGTGAAGATTACTAAATGTTGGAGTTAAACTATCCACAAATCTGAAAAATTAACAAGAATTAAAAATAAGTATTTAAATCCTTTAAAAAAATATATATAACTAATGTAATATATACTTTTGAAGTGATTCTAAGGCTAATGGAGTGACCATTAAATCAATATCTCCTTTAAGTTTAATAACAACAGTTGTTCTTGTACCAGTTTCACTTCGTAAAGACACCATTTCCTCTTCACAATCTGAAAATGTATTTTTATTATAAGAATTATTTATTATGTATTTTGAATAAAATAACAACATTTTTACTTTAATAAATGTATAAATATACCAATTTCAAATGTTTCTTTCGCATTCTGAGTAAAATCAAATTGTGATTGATCCCATGTATATTTTTTTGTGGATTGTGTTTGTGCAGTAAGTGGACTAGGCTCTTTTTCTTTGATATCAGTTCTCGGTACCATTTTTATACTTGTAAACCCTTCAGCTGTAGTTTCAAACTTGGGTAAAAATCTACTACCTATAATATTATATTTAAAAATAAATTATTATTAATTGTGTCAAAATATGAAAAAAAAATTTAATATAGGCCACTAAAATCATTAAAGTTTAAAAAGGTTTACCAATAAATACAAGACGATCATCTACTGTATGCTGATAAATTGGAACAGTAAACACATCAGATCCTGCTGGTAATGATGTTTGAGACCAATTAATACAATTTTTTTGTGACAAATGATTTGTGTAAGTAGTAAGTAACAATGGAGAATCTACTATAGGCTTATTGATATGCATGTGCAAATTTACAAGTGCTAAATCTTCTTGAGATGATACTGCCGACATAAATGATGTACTAGAGATCGATCGTGAATCTGATGAATCTATAACTCCAGTACCTTCCAGATCCTACAAATGTAAGATAATGCAAAAGTAATAATAATGTATCAGAAATTATAATATAATACATATTAATATGAACTTACATTATCAAGTAAATGGTGTTTAGCTTTTGGATTTTGAACTACATCTCTGCTCATGTCTACAGCAAGTAATGTTTTTTCATCATCAGCTAATTCAAACTATAAACAAACATTGTAGATTAAATAAAAAAAAAATTCAACATTAAATTAATATAATCATTACCTCTACTGAAGTGTCTGCATTTATTATTGTATGATCTTGAAGATCAACAGATGGATCATCAGAACTAGTGATATTGCTCAATACAGCTGGACTGCTTGGTATGATTGTAGTCTCACTACCAAAATGATTTCTAGACAAACCATAATATATGAAAATATTAAATCTACAAAAAAAAAAACAACCAATCACTAACTTAATAAAAGATTCATTTTGAACAATTCCACTATTATTCAGAGAGCTCTTTAATGACGAACACCTGGCTGATCCTAATGGAACACGGTCATTACTTTTGAGACTACCAGTTAAAGTTAGATCTTCTTCAGCCGAGAAGAATACTTCTGATGGATTATCACTGGTTATTGATATTGTTCGTGAATATGGATGTTTTGAACTTGTCTGTTGCAAGGAATGTATAGAGTCAGTATTTCCTGCAGTACTCTACAAATAAAATATTTAAAAAAAATATATAAAAAAGTAAAAAAGCTCAAAATGATAATTTAAAAATACCGGTCACTCTCGCCAGCTATTTGGGACAAATAAAAATACGTACTGAATTATTCTGGGCACTCGTAATAAGTGCATTATACTGTAGGGCTGTTGAATTAAAATAGTCAACAGCGAGTCTAGAATCTGAAACACTATACTTTGGACAGGTACCATTGTCTACAGCTAATGTGTTTTCGGGTACACTCAAAATAGACCTAGTAGTATTAAATCTGTGAGGTGACGGTGGTCGTGAATCCATTTTAAGTACAGGGGTTGGACTGGCATCAATTAGACGCGAATATGGCACTTCGCGATTTATTGTTTGTATTCCACTTAGTCTAGAAAATGTGTATTATACGATATTTGTTTGTCTGATAGTGCTAAAAAAAAAGTTCCAAACAAACCTGCTGGCAGCAGATGAATATGAGAAACGTCTAGATAACGGATGTGTAGGTAAAGGAGAAGGTATATCTTCACTGTCTAGTGTATATGGTAAATGTGTTGGGATGTTAGTACTGATCTTGCTTCCCTCAGACTGATCTTGGTACACCTATCAGTAATTGATTATACATTTTAAATAAAAAGTATATACAGATAAGTTTTAATTGGCAATGTTAGTTAACTAAACGATTATTTTTTTGTTATTAAGAAGTAGATACATTTAAACAACATGGTTTTTAAAAGCAGAAAATGCAGGGACATTTTGAGTCCCAAACAGCTGGATTTACACAAATTATAAAGCAAGCAATTAAATTAAGAAAAAGTGTGTATAAAATTATTTAATTTGTAATAAAATAACTAGAGCAAACTAAATAATACACTGAATAAATGATATGTTATACGATGAAAATAATTTATCATCAGACATTGAAAATATTTAACATTTTTGCTTGTAACAATCAAGTTTCCAGATTCCATTTTTTACAATATTTCCGATCATTTATACTAAGGAAGTCTTGGAAATTGTTGCATAAAAAAAGTTAATTTTTGTGCTTTAATTTAATATGTACTTAAAATACCAAAATATGCTAACAATTAGAACAATGCAAAATAAAATGATTGACAATTTTTTTTTTTAATGATTTAATTTTTAGATTGTTTTAAATTTAATTTTAAACACTGTGTTCCACATAAATCCTAGTCATAATAGCAGTAATAATAGTAGTAATAGTTTATTTTGTTTGTTCAATTCTTATACGGTTGTTTGGTCCAAAATTTTTTTTTAAAGTTTGCAGTAAGTGCTATTTATATTAGTCCTATTTTACTTTTTTCAACAATATGTATTTATTTAGTAATCTATAAATATATATATATATAGATAGCACTTAAAATTCTAAATTAGCAAAATAACTTCAAGTCATAAATATTCAAAAATTGGCAAAAAAGATGTGTAAATAACATCAATGAAGTATGAAAGAAATTTTTTCTTATTAAGAATGTTCTAAATATGACCAAAAAGAATATGCATATATTTAATATAGTAAAACCTCATCATAACAAAATCGCTTGGTACCAACTGATCGTTTCGTTATTAAGGAGTTTCCATTATAATGAGACTAAAATATACAGATATAGGTTATTCAAAACTGTTGTTTTCCATTTTAAGGAGATTTCCGCCATATAGGGGGTCTGTTAAAAGGAGATTTTACTGTACTTCTGAGTTTTGCTTATAAACCTTAATATGTTCAGTTTTCATTTATTAAGGCTGTAAACTCAATACATGATTATGGATGAATTGACATGGTTAAAATGAAATCATTTTAGTTATAATTATGTGATCACATAACTTAGTTCCTTTTTTACTTACTTTAATACTACTACCATGTCACTTGATTATATAACTTAGATAACACTTATTGAATTAATTATTATAGTAAAAATACATAATTAATAAGATATTGATAAGATATTCCAAGCAATTTACAGTTTACCAAGCAATTAATATACAGAGTCATTGAAATATTATTGAAAACACTTTTGTACTTATTAACTTAATGGAAGAATGTAAAATAATTAAATTATGAAAAAAATTATCTTTGATTTGTTTCTACTTATTCTTTCACTAATCTTGTTACTTTAGAATAAGTATTGGAGCAAGGACTTATCTCTAGTGCTTTAAATATGAATAAAAATTAAAAGTTAACTTTTTTGTACCTTATTTATATGGCGAATATTTGGCCATTGTGGTGCTGGATAATCATGTATGACGACACCACTACCAATATTGTATGGTGGTGTATGAAATATTAATTGACAATCATGCAAAATACTTTGACCAAAACCTGGATCTTTTCCACTTTCATTCACTCTGCAAAATAAATTAAAAATATATGAATATATTATGTTAAAATTTGTCATAATCTTTTAATGAACCTTAAAGCTGCAATATTGATGCCATCTTGAATATCATTTCTAGAAGGTTTAAAAAAACGTTGGCCATTTTGATTATGGCCAAAAAATTCACAACCGCCAACACAACCACATTTTCCAGTTATAAGACGCCCACTATCACTTGGCCATAAAAACCACAATCTTTTGTATCGGTCATCATGAAGCTTAAGATATCTGCAACATATTGTTTAGTGTTTTAAAATCAAAAAGTAAAAAAGATTAGAAAAAAAAATAATACTTGTGTTGAACTAGATGTAGATTTTTATCAGAATCAGATAAAGAAGAAGCCAATTCAAGAATAAAAGGTCCCAAAGATGCAGAACCTATTTCTAGCCACATTTCTTGATTTTCAGTAGAAGAACCACTCATATTACTAGAAATAAAAATTATTAAGTATTTAGTAAATAAACACGAAATTAAAAGTAAATTTACACGTACCAATACTGAGATCGGTTGCTTCCAGTAGTATTAGTATTACTATTAATTCCAGGAGTATTTTGTATACCAGCACAAATAAATTGTTTCAATTTAACAGCTGGAATTACTAAAGTAATACCAGACTTAATATGATTACTATGTAAATTACAATGTGAAAGTCGTAATGGAGAAGCCTGAAAAAAAAATTGTTTGGTTTTATTATTGAACTTGGTAATTTTAAATAAAGTATTAAGATTTTTTTTTTTCTGTGGACAACTTTTCTACCAGCAATTTTGTTCCAATTTACACTGAAAGAACTTTTTCTAAAAGGAAATCTGACTAAGGAAGTACTTAATTGATTTTCCCCAGGAGTTTTTCCAATAAGTGGAAAAAAACCAGAAAAATTATGGGAAAAACCAAGAAAAAACTTACAAATTCTGGGAATATAAATAAAAATTAAACAAATATTACTAAAGAAAATATTTAATACATATGTAATTGTTTTACCATAATATGACATAAATTGTTAACAAAGCAACACTATTAACGAAACTCTGCTTAGAATTTGTTTTCATTAGCAATAGTTAATCGTAGCGTATACAGATATACATTACATTTCTCCTCTATTACCTTCCCAACTTCTCACCTACAACAATGGCTGCACCCACATGCAAAATATGTCAGTCTTTTTTATTTTAAGTTCCCTAACTAAAAAAATAATGTTTAATATATTAACTGTAGCACAAAGGTATATTCATTATTTTAAAAAATATTGAATAGAACAAAATTTATTTCAAATGTCAGATTATCATGGGACACCCTCTATGTGTGTGTGTGTGAAGAGTACTTTTTTTTTACTTTGTACACCCTCAGTGGTGTAGTGGAGGGAACCTGCAGGTACACTTTCTATTTTTCAAAACATACATGTACCCATAAAAAAAACGAAATCCTCAGGTACATGTTACGCTGACGTGTACCCACTTGTAACCAGATTCAAATCAAACAATTTATTGAAAAAATTAGTCACTTCATTAAAAAAATTAATATTGAATTATTATTTAAAGCTTATCATATTAACCTAGTAACCCCTGATGTTGTTGATATTTATAAATATAACGGATCACCACTAGCTGATCGGAACCCAGAACCATATGTAAAAGTTGGATACTGAATCACAGGACTGCAGACGATAATATATATCCAGGAAAATTAACTCTAATAATAATTCTTTATGTTTACTCAAAAAAACTTTCTGGAGTATACTTTAGTCCAGTATTTATTATATGTGTTTAAAGTTATTTTAAGTAAATACTACTTATTTTCAGAAACGAGTAGATTTTAATGTTAATAGAATAAATATTATTTTATTTCTATATTTCTATGTTCGTACTTCACTATTTTATTTAGTAAAATTAAGTTATAAAAAAAATATAATCATTTTTCAGGATTTAAAATAGATAAAATAAATATTTTATTAATGAGGAGAAATTGTAGCACTATAACTTATAATTAATTTGGATACTAATAACACTAAAAATATAAAAATATTAATATATGAAAAAACCAAAAATTTACTTAAAAAATTACCTAATATCAAAAGAAAAAAAATGCCTTAAATGAGTTCTCCTCAAAAAATATTTCCATTTAAAGCATTAAAAATATTCAATTAAGATTCAATTTTTGCATTTATGATAAGTTATTTTTACAATTAAAATTTTAATTACATTCTAAAATTAGTACAATCAGTATAAAATGTAATTATAGTGTTATTTAATAATATATTGTGTGTACAGATGCAGTAAAATAGTACAAAGTAGCGCAAATTATGGATGTTTTGTAAAACAAAAACAGAACATCACAAGACTTATGGGGAGGGATTACCCCTTGCTCCCCCTTCAAGGACGTGCCTGACATGCTTGTACCCAGTTTTTTTTTTAACGACTGCACCACTTATTATGGATCTCTCAAATAGATTCAAAAAAATGCAATTCTATAAATGGTAAACGTATTAAGGATGTACCTTTTGGTGTTTTCAACTTTCAACCCCCTCTACAATAATTTTCATGCTCAGGTGTCATGTTTTCAGAAGAAATACCAGGTTTATAAACCCTTAAAGACTAATTAAAGTAAGTAACTTGATTAAAATGTGTATAATATACACTGTATATATAAATAGAATTGTTATCAATGATGTGCTTTCAGAAGTTTAAACTTTTTACAACAGACCCCATACAATTTGTTTTTATTTGAACAAATATCTTAAGAACTATTTTACCTATTTTGATAAAACTATTTTTGTTCAATACCTGATTATTACAAAAAAAAAAAAAAAAATAACATTTTGTTAGAGCAACAAATCAGCTGGTAGGAAATTTTACTCCCGTGACAGAACTCAGTATTGATTATTACTCAATTTCTAAAATAATAGTATGATATATTTTAAATGTACCTTGGACATTCGCCCGTGATGTAAATAAATAAATAAATAAATAAATGAAACGCATTTTTGAAAATATCTTAAAATTATACAAATTATACTGTTCTCCTAAAAGAATTCACTTATTTTAATTTAAAGTGATTAGAAACACAACCAGAATACAGATTATAGTCTTAACATGAGAAAATAAAAACACAAAATAAATACTTTACCCATAAGTTAATTGCTGTACCAGACTCGACCAAATACAAGTCCAAAGCATCAACAGCTACGCGTGTCATTCGATATTTTATCTCATCAGCAGTAGGACATCTATAGTGGGCTTGAGGATCATTATGAGGACATGTTGATGGAGGTGAACCATGATGGCATTCTAATGGTAAATGTGCTGGTTTGAGCTGATTTTCTGAATCGAACATTAGTAAAAACAGTGTCTCCAAACCAGTAACAACATGAAATAACTGTCAAAATTAATTATAATTTATAATTATAGTCATGTCATTATGCATCAACATTAACTACGTATATAACTATTAAGTCCAAACAATGAAAGGGGAAAATGAGTGCTCTAAAGTATTATAAGTCATTAAAAAATAAAAATATATATTTTTCTTTTTAAATTCTAATATGTTAACATCTAATTTTTTTATTATAATTCTAATTTAAATGTGTTTGTATGTATTTTTGACCAGCGGTTCTTAACCTTTGTGTGTTGGCAACCCAAGATATTTACACAATTTTTTATGTGACCTTTTTGAAAATAATTCTCAACAAAGGGCTACCCATCTTACCCAACCCACTTAATTGTTCAGTTACCATAACAAAAAAAAACTAATGCCTTTCAATTATTTTAAAATTTATATGCACGACTAAACGAGAAATGAGTACATTGTGAAGTTTACAACAATGATAATTAGTACAAAACAAATATACTAGTCAACGACTTACCAAATTTAAATATAAATGTAATCCAATAGAGTGTATTTATAGTATTAAAAGATTACAGTCCAAAATTATAAATGTATGCTTGTTTGTCAAGAAAAATAATTTATGAAAATAATTGTATTAATTATTTTTAAAACTATTTTATGTAAGCAATTTAAAATGAAATTATTATATTAACGTTTTGATTATTTAGCGACCTATTTAAAATTATCCACAACTCAAAATTGGGGGGGTGACCCTATGATTGAGAAACACTGTTTTATACCAGACATTTGTTTTCAATTTTGTAATCTCAAATACAAATGTATTAATATTAGTTATTGACTCTCAACTCTTCAGAGATCAAATGTATAACGAACTATTAAACATATTAATTCAAAATATGTTACAATAAAACAAGAATTAACATAAATAGATTAGGTATACATCAAATTATTTAATAATTTATAATAATAAAAATTCAAAATTACATTATATAATTGTCTACATAAATTAATTTCATGGTTGAGTGTAAGCACCTTCAAGATGACATCAACAACTTAATAATATAGTTAAATAGCATTAGCCTAACACAAAATTTCAGTAATTACCAAACTATAACTTTTTCTCGGCTTACTTTTAGCACTAACTTTAAATACTCTATCAACAGATCCTCCCTTGAATCAATATCCCTAAACAAAAACTTATATAAATTTATATTTTTACTTCCTTCTTTGATTTTCATTATCACAAAAACAATCAATGTTACAACACGCCAAAAACGGTCAGTTTTGTAAAGTAAATGAGTAAATGTATACTCTGATTAAGTTTATTTTTGAATATGTATCTAAAATGTAGGATACAAATTCCATCAAGAATACCATAGCTTTTAGTTCAAAAGAATATAAAGGACTTTTTAAGCTTTGCCAGTCATATTCCATAGCGTTTGTTATTGCTGTAGATTCCTTCTTCCCCAAGACTATGCTTCATTTTTCTACTAACAAAATCTTAATAGTTTAACTAACCAGAAGATTACAAATGTTTTCTTTTTAATCAAACTAATCTTTGGCACTATTGATGCTCCAGCTATCTTATGTAAAGATAACTATGAGTTTCTTCTCATATTTCTCATTCTATTCTATAATATCAACTATAGCAGTAATAATTAAATACATTGTATGAGGCACCCTACACATTCTAATTTTCAACTACCTCAACAATCACTTATTAACTATTATATTATTATACTTAAATTTTATTATGGTCTTATCTATTATGTATAAAACACGTGAATCTATTAGAAATGTGTACCTACCTTTAAGATATATATTTATATTATTGTACTATTATTTAAATAAAAATAATGAATGATCCACTAAAAACAATTTACTATATAAGGTGTAAAATATGAATGTCCCATGTAAAATATCTGAAAATATTTTTCTGAAAAACATTTTATCTGAACCATATTTCATGTGGAAAATTCCCATAACTTATTAAAGACGATAACTTTTAAATCAGTGTTGTACTAATTTATGATGAGCACTGTTTAGGGACTTCTACATGTAATTTATGTTCTGTCTACCTCTTACATAATATAGCAACATTACATATCACAGTACAACAATTACAACTCTAATTAAGTTTAGAGCAAAGGGACATATAATACAGTTTATAAAGAATAGTATTCACCATGCCTTGTCTAACAATTTCTTTTTTTAATGAATAATCAAATATTTTTCAGATTGAATGCTCTTTGTACATTTATTTTTGGATGCAATAAATAAGAATTTACATGAATACAACTAATATGAAATATATAAAAACTTACTTGAGGAGCAGTAGCTTTTCCACTAAGTTTTCCTAGTTGAATTTCTAATAACCAAGCATACTCTAAAGTATCTTGATTAAGATTTCTTTCAGAATCACTAAACATAGCATGGCCTCGGATCTTAATAAAAATATTTATTGAAACTCATGTTTTAAAATAGGTATTAAGTATTATATAAAATGCATACTTGCAAAGCAGAAAGCATTAAATGCCCTTGATTTAAATGATGATCTTTTGGTGATCGATTTCCTAATTTATCACTAGATATAAGTAAACTAGGGGATAACAGCAACTGTAACTGAGTGTCATTATAACATTTTTTCATTTCCAGTCCAAAGCGTTCTATTATTATAACTGGACATGGAGGGTCATTATCATTGCAGTTCTGAAATTATAAAAGTAGATGCAGTTATTTTAAATTAAAAATCAGGAATATTAACTTACTTTAATTAAATGGGCCTGTAAATCATGCATAGTAATAGAAATAACTACTTCCAATGGTCTGTATTCTCGAGGATCTACTTGAATTTTTACATCTGATAAAGAACTATTATCAGGTTCTGAAGCTTTATCAGTATTTGTACTTTTTGGATTTAATTTGTCATTCATATCTGTAAAAATTTGATCTTCACCAAATAGGCTTTCCTAAAAAGCAATATGCATTAAAATATAATTTTTGTTAATAATATATTATAAGTAAGTTACTTTCAAATGAAAAAAATGTCTAAGCCAGGATCCATATAAAAACATAACTGATGAACCTATTTCTAAATCTAAACTAACTTTATCAGCTGGTAAAGTAGTTGGATCAAATTTTTGACCCTCTTCCTGAAATATTAAATTAAGTATAAATAAGTAAATAAATTATTCAATAAATAAGTTTTATATTCTATTTATAACTAACCCGAGTCCAGTGGATAGGAACATTTTGAGTTTTATGATGTTGCATTCTCATTGGAGACAATAATTTTTCTTCTTTTTCTGGTGTTGTAATGTCAGCTTGCGGAGGTGGTCCATACATTGGCATTGGATGATAAATAAAATTAATTGACAAAGCAACAATTGGCATAGTCCAACAATCTACCCATCCAAGACTAAATAAAAAACTAAAATTAGCTAAAACAACAATTTTTAGAAGTTTTAAAATTACTTATACCCTTTTTGACAAACATTTCTCCATTTGCGTCCATTGTCATCTAATTTTGATCTAAATATTTTTCCATCACGTCCAAGTAATTTAGCATTTTGATTTAATGATAGTAAAACACTTCGGCTAGTATAAACTGCAGGTAAATACATGGATAAATCTATACTTTCACCTTGAATCCAAAATCGAAGAGGTAAAGTATCTGGCATAAACTCCGTGAATGGAAGATCAAATGAAAAATCAAATAAATCACCACTAGCCGCAATAAGAGCTAGATATGAAGCAAAATAAAAGATATTTAATTTATATAGCACTTTGATAATCATGAATAGGCTTAGGGACTTCTAACTCTAAACAAACAACCAAATATGGTCTAAAAATATATATTTTTTTTATTGAAATAGTATACTAAGAACTTAACTATTAGTGTTTCTTTCATTATTAATGAAATTTACAAAAAAAATTGACCGTTTGAAAAACATTTTTCAATGATTATTTATTACCTAAAGTAACTATTTTACAATAGTTTATTCAACTATGCTGTTGCGTATCAGTGTCTTTGAATTTGAACAATGAGAATTGAAAAAAATCATGTATAATACATAACATACAATAAAGTAAGATATGAGTGCATGTCCTTTTAAAGTACTTAAAATCTAAATACTGCTAAAATATGCTCTAAAAAATGCAAAAACAGTAAAATATGTAAATATATACAAAATAAAATGTAAGATTTAGATTTTTTACACAATAAACAATATATATGTTCAAATTTACTTTTATTTAATCTTTCAAAAATAATATAAAAATGCTAGTCCCAAGCTCTAATCATGAAATATCTAGATATTTTATTTTAAATCAAAGAGTTTACCATTTTCTTGATTTTGTGATGAACAATCAATCCAATTATATTCATTACTAATAGTTATTAATTCAAATTCTTTCATAAGAACTGAAAACTTCCATGTATATGGCACAAAATGTAAAATATCAGGCCTACTTTTGCTAGCCCAGTCATTTATCATTTCTATTTTAATAATTAATTAATTAATTATATACTTATTAATAATATTTAATATTTTGAACTTACCTTGGAAAAAACCCTTATGAGCATAGGTGAACCACCCTGTAGCTTTACAACCAGTTAAATTAAACAACCATTCTTGATGATCATTCCACTGAATTGGATAATGGCAATGAGCTGAAAATTCTAGTGTTTCACTCTCAAGTAAACTGCGAAACTTATAAACAAAATAACACGTTAGTAAAAAGTTTATTTAGTTTAAAGAATGTATGAAAATATTTTACTTGCAAGCTTGTAGTAGCTTCTAAATGAAGAAGTTGTCCAGTAATTTTGGTGGTATAACCATCATGTGCTACTAGCCATGGTAAAGTAATTTCCATGTATGATCCAGGTCCAACATTAATGTGAATTGCATTTGTTTCCTAAATGTATTTTTTAAGTTTAAAAAATATATAAACTTTTGTTTATAATTTAAAAAAAGCATACCTTATTTTTTGAAAATAAAATGTCGATTGTAGATTCATAAAGTGTATTCAGGCGAATATCAAATGCTTGAACTCGACGTTTTTCACCAGGTAAAGGTGGATCACTAACCTATATAATCAAAAGAAACTGTAGACCATGATAATAAAGAAAAATAATATATTAACCTTGAGTGGCTGATAATCTTGAGGAAAAAATAACTTAAATAAATGATCTCTCTGTCTGTCTGCCCATGGCCCATAACTAAAGTCTGTTCCTTTACCGCACTAGATATTAACAATTAATATATCAATATTATTTTTATTGTTCAATGTTAGATATAATATTTAAATTTTTAATTAATAATTTATCGCATATAATAATATTATACCTGTAAAGTTAAACTTTAAACGAGTATAATTTAATAATAAAGTTAAAGAATTCATTGAGTAAATATGGATCAAATTATACTAAACAATAATAATTGGGTTGAGATACACAGAATTCCCAAAAATATATATCCATTGCAAAATCTCAGAAAGTATTAACATCATTCGGAATTTTTGTTTGGATAATTTATAAAACAAGTAACTCTAAAATGTTATATTACCATTACTTTTGTAGGTGAAATCACTACTTACTTTTGATTTTAAATAGCAATTATGTAAAAAATTCCATTATAGATAATGTTTTGGTTAAAATACATTTTGGTGTTGACATTTTTAAATTCCATCAACCAGTTGACAATATATTCCACTTTTAAATTTCAGTAGAAGGAGAATAGTGGAGCACTATTAAAATGCAATAAAAATTAACACACAAAGAATACTTCACTACTCTCTCGCTACCCAAACTTAAAAATGGAATATCTCATCAACAGTTGAAAGGAAATTAAAATGTTCAACACTTCAATTTATTTTAATTAAAACATTATCTATTTGTGGACTTTTTAATAAATTTTGCCATTTAAAAATAAAGTCAGTAGTTTTTTCACAACTAAAAAAAAGGGGATAGTAAAAAAGTAACACTTTAAAGCTACTTGTTTTATAAATTAACAAAAAATGTTAAACCTTTATAAGATATTGCAACAGTTATATTTTTATGAGACACTTGTATAATTAAAACTTTAAAAACAAAAATATGTATCATATTCAAACTTGAATGAATCAATAAAATTATAAAAGAATAAGTATTGTTTTTAAAAACATAGTTCTTTATATATTTGTTTCCATAATAAAATAAATTATTAAATTCACTATTATTTCTGCACTTAAATAATAAATTTAAAGTTAATCTTCTTCTAGTTTTAATACCTTTATGTCTATTCCCCAAATGGGTGGTGCAGACTCTACTATATCTCCATTAGCTAATTGTAGCATTTCTGGTTCTTCAGGTACAACCCCTACAAAATAAATTAAATATTATAACTTGGGCCTAAATTTAAATACTTAGTTATGTAAAACATTATGGGAATTGTTTACCTGGTTCGTCCATGTAATAATAGAGTTCTATATTATTTGAAGAAAACACAACAAAACCAGCTCCCATGTATCGAGGTGGTTCATCTGCCATGCCAATGTATTTAGGACTAGGTGCTAATATCACCTATAAAAAATGAATAACAATTTAATACAAATCTAATATAACAATAAAAAAATGATTTTACTTTAAAATTCTCAGCTTTGCATTTAACAAAATGCATAAAATGATCCAACTTAGAAGCAGCCGGTTTAGTGGAATATACAAAATGGGCTTCTTCTACATTGACTAGTAAAGTAGTTGGTATAAGTCGATTACCAAATACCACTCGGCCCTATATTTTAAATTACAACAATAAGAAACATTTTTATTATATAAAAAATATATAATATAACTAACCGATGAAACTTCCATTTTTATCACAGGTATGAGATCTCTCCAACTTTTTCCAAGTACAGCTTCTTGTTTTTTATCTTTACTTTTTTTTGCTTCTTCTTCTTCTAAAAAGTATTAACGGTATATACTATTCATACCAAAATTATTTACCACTAACAACTAATACTACTTCTTCAATTTTTACTCACTTGTACTCAATTCATCCCAAGGAATAATTGACGGATCTAAATTAAATACTTTTTCTAAATTACTATACATTTTACAACGATTATAAACATGTAATTCAAATCCATTTAACATAACAGACAACCTTGTATCAGAATGAGATAAATCTAAAAAAAATTCAACAAATATAATTAATATATACTTAAAAACTAAAGTTATAAATAAAATATTATAGGGAAATAAATTTGCTAACCTTCTGACACATTTTTAGGAACATATGATCTCCACCAACGGAATATCAACCAACCATCTTGAACTCTAATGGTATAATCTTCAGTAATATAAATTATATCTCTGAACATTATCTTACCAGAAAGAGCACAGACTGTAAAAGAACCTATAAAACATTTTGGTTCTTAGTGATTAAATAAAAGCTGCAATAAGAAACTCATGTATCAATTTAGACAAGTTTATTTTTAAATATTAAATCCTTAATAAAAGTAATTCAATGTATACTACACATCTCCTACTACATGTTCATAACACTACATAAATAAACAAATTAAATTTGATTATAAAATCTAAAAATATTTAAAAATAGCAAATCTGAATATACAAATTTATAATTTATAACTCATACACAGTGAATTATATTAACTTAAAAATTAAATTATAGAATAAAATACAAACTTTATTTCAAGAAGTTTAATTATAACATGACTTATTAAGAAATTAACATATTTCATTTCTAAGCATTTCTAAACACTTTATTTGTTTACAAATAGGAATTGATTTAAAGATTATCAAAACTTATCAATTCTAGATTTGACACTAATACTACAATGTCTACATTTTTCTTTGCTATTTGTAGAAATAATAAATAGCTAAGAGATGTGTAGTCAACAAACCAAATATATGTATATTTTTATTTAATTTAGACATATGTATTATACAATTTTTGTAATCCTTAGAGTGCATTCAATTAATATAATAATACAAACTTACCAATACTAAGATATCCCTTTGTAGCATAGAATCTTGTTAACAATCTAGTGACAATGTACGCCGTTACTCTAGAATTGTAGTAAGTAATATATATTACCCACACCATTCCTGATATCAGTGAAAATAACAGCTTTGCAAAATTGCTATCCATTGTAAGGCCATCTAGGTCTACATTAGTCAAGTTGGACACCCACCGAGATTCCTCCATACTGACTGTCTCATACATTTGTGTCGTCTCCATTACCATCTTAAAGTCCTTTAGACAAAATATAAATGTAAAATTAATAAATGTATTAAAAATAACAAAAACATTATGTGTTTAATTTACAATGACATTACAATAATTTTATCATCCAATTGGCACCAAAATTATTGGGCAATTAGTAAAACAAAAAATAAATTTTTAAATAATACCTTTTTTTACAATTGTTCAAAATAAAATATTTAAATGGGATATACATATGCATTTTTTTTAAAATAACATACAAATTTTTACTTTTAAAAAAATCTATAGTCATGAAATTATTTAGCAAAATATTATATACATATTACCACTTATGTTTAACCTTCACACATTTATTACAATTTTATGATAAAATAATTTTAAGTAGCATACAGTTATAAAGAATATAATAGACAAGTGCCTAATATACACAATTATCAAAATTGAATGTAAAAATTAAATTAATCATAAACATGATTATTTATATTTCTTAAATGTTTTATTTTTTTTATGATTGAATTTTAAAAATAGTTAACTGTTCCAATTAAAATGATAAATAATACTGTAAATAAATTACAATATATAAATATATATAATCTGTTGTGAATCGAAAAGTCACTATTATGTCATTATACTAATCTAATATAAATAATAAATTATAATAATCATTAAGATATTCATCATTAAAAATATGTTCAATGTGTACAACCATATAATTTCAAATACTAAATTTATTACGAAGACAATTTTTTTTTTCTACATCAAATTAAATTAGTTAAGAAGAACAATGTACGAACCTTTAACAAATATTACAAAACAAAAAAAATCATATCATCCATATTATTAATAATTTAAAAACACAATAAAATGTATTTTAAAATCTATTTTATTTCTAATATAAAAGTACTAAATAATTAAACAATAGATTAATTTATTTCCACGTCTCTTAAGTAGATGAATTATTAATTCCAAAATCATTACAACAATATGAAAAAATATAAACAACATTTTTGTTTAAACCATTATCCATATACCTAAGTGGTAGTTGCCAATAGATTTTTTAAATAATAAAATAAAACAAAATAAATACGAAAAATTTAATAATATAAGTCAAACCAACTCATTTAAAAAAAAATTTTTTTTGAAAATACAATGTTTTCTAGTTTTATGGGATATTTTCCAAAATAAAAAGGTGACAATTTTTTTAAATACTTCAATTAAATTCCTTGAAACACACATTTAGAAAAAAATAAAATCTTAATACTAATATGGGAGCCAAACTGCATTTGCATTATTAAGAAAGGGTAATTAATTCCATATCTATGTACAAATAACCCAACCTGATACCTCTAGCATAAACTTCATACTGTTATAACTCAAAAACTGTACATCCAAAATTACTATTATGCATATCAACATTTTTCATGAATCAAGAATTTTGTTTTTTAATTTTATCTATTGTATGAGTATCTTTTAAATCAGTATTTAATTGCATGGATTATTATTTAAAAATAATTGATCTGACTTGTTCATAGTAATATTATGAAATAAAGGTAATATTTTAAAATTATTATGAATACAATTTTAACAATTATATATTGTCTGAAAAAAATCAAAATCGCATTTACCTAGATACATCATAAATTCTCTGTAGATTATTCCTGGTATATGATAAAAGAATCGCCTGTATACACAATTCACACATATACTTGTATTTTTTATATTTTAGATAATTAAAATAAAACCTTATAATTAGTACTTCTCGATAATAAGAAACAAAACCAATTGTTTGATTAAAATATTGTTTGAAAACAATCACATACCTATAGTTTTAATAAATATTTTATAAATGACTTTGGCACATACATACAAATGTTCCAATAACATGTTGTCCTTAAAATGTAACCAGTATAAGTAGTTACTAGTTAATAGAAAGTCGAAGGAAAAACTACATTATACAATTGTGTGACAACTTGCTAGACAACTGTTGAGTCACTAGGTATATTTTAAATACAACATAATATTTTATGGCAAACATCTACACCAATAACTGTTATTAAATTATTACAGTGCATTCTTCCTATTAATCCAATAAGTTTAACGTTGAGTTTTAAATGTTAAAATAATTTTAGAAATATCTATAGATATTTTTTGTGCAAAATAGGTAAGTACATTGGGAACATGTTTTTAAAAAATGAACACAAGAATAGTGTTTCAGATTATTTTACTTACTTAATTTTTCATCGTTTTCATTTACTTTTAGGTTGATTTTAGAATGTACGCTATTGACACCTTGATAATATAAAAACCCATAAGTATTTACAAACACCAAATTTTAATTTACTTAATTAATTCTAAATTTTGTTTTTTGCTAGACCAAACAAAATGTGGTACAAATGTTCACATAGTTCTGTACCTAATACATTTAATACAAAATTTAATTTAATTATGTTAAGTAATATACTATGTTTTAACATTATATTCATACTACCTATTTTAATTCTCATATGTGTAGGTAGTATAAATATTATGAACCTATTACAAGTCTGTTCAAATGGAATTAACTAATTTAAAATATCCGTTAGTCTGATAAACATGAGAGAAATAACACCAATACACTTGGACACTTTTAATCAGCTATACTCCAAAGTGACTGAAAGTCAACTGATATGGTTTATACAATAATTTAGGAGAAAAAAGGAAATTATGTGGAAACCAAACCAGACTTTTCACCAAATCTAGACAAACTAAACCGGAATTCTTTAGAGGAAATCTAAATTTTAATGTCCTGTAGCAAAACAGTAGCATAGAATATTAATTACTATTACCATACCCTATGGTAATAATAGTGGATAATAATCAGTATATGTTACTCTAGTGATCACGATATGCGATCGTTAATTAATATTTAATATGTCATAAAGAACGAACCTTCTAAAATATCAAACTTTTGTCACCGGGCAGACGATTCAGTGGTGCAGACTCGGACGTACCCGGCGGGTAGTTTCATGATAGACAATAATAGCACTAAGGTTACATTATAATATTTACAATAAATAATTGACACACGTTATACGACAACAATGAGGACATAAAAGTAACACTTGACGACGGCGAAACGACCATTATTGTTGATGGAACAGTCCATCGAAAAGTATTATTCTAAACTTCAAGTCGTCGTCAATGTTTTGAACGAGATTAGTAAATAGTGATTATAACAAGACACGCCTATCAGTCGATAACACTGAATCAACTATCAGAACTTGTGTACAATGACTCCCAAAATGCCAATGCCATCGACATCGTTTTGGCACGTCATAAGCATAATAATTAACAATTATAATATTATATTATTATTAAAATAATTGTATCACGATTCACGATGTGAATTGTATATTTATATCATTCTATTAAATATGATTAAACAGGCTTCTATTTCATTAGCCCGGTCACATTACAAATCTGTGAACTAAGCACTATGCCAGTGGTTCCCAACCTATAGCCCGCGACCTATCGAACAATCAAACCATGTTAAAGTGCAGATTAGTTAACTCAGAGTTACCGTCGAACTGATTTTTATTATGCATGCACGTGAGGACTCTGTACACGACTTTATCATGTATTCGCCAACCGCAGTGACACCGTATCTCATTCACCAAAAATAATGCCATTTTTCAGAATTACATTATTATTCACAACTTCAAAAGAATTCGTGACGTTTTCCCGAGTTTTAAATTAGTTTTTCTTGTTCATGGTAAATTTGTTTTGGTGTTTTATTAATTTGTAAATCACGGTACCTTGTTACAAAGTAATAAAAGCTACCTGTATTAAAAATTAACACCGATAATATAAACACATTTTTGTTTAATGCATATATTATTTTTGTTAATTTTCACAAAAACAAAAAATATTTAACAATAATATAGTTTCTACTTCAAATAATTTACTTTTTACCTATATGCCCATGAATATTGTTATATTCAAAATTTTAAATCCAAGTATATTTTGCGTTTTGTTATCCTTATCACAGAACAACATTAAACAAGTGATATAAATTGCGCGTACTCCATAGATAAAGGAAGTACTTCAGAGTTCAGCAATGCTGCTATGGTCAGATTATACTGTAATACTCTATGGCAGTGGTCTTCAACCGATAGATCGCGTGTACTTTAAAATTGGGTCGTCATAAGTTTTCTTTTTAAAATAAAAATTAAGTTTATACAATTATATAAGGTATACAAATAATTGTTTAATTATTAAACTTCGAAAATTAATAAATGAAAATACGGTTAAAAATTATTGTAATATATTATATATCAACAATATTATAGAGTCTATGGGATACATATTTTACATTAGCCTAGGAGAATTATACCCCCGGTAAAATTGTCTGGGGAATTAGGATAATACTGGAACAATCATTCCTTTTCCTGGTTGGGTTATCCTGACAAAAATACATTTAAAATTGATAGACTTACAAACATAATATGATAATATAGAGCTAAAACTAGCACGACAGACGTAAATTATTAAATTATAATACATGTGTAATCTATTTTACACCAAGGCTACTATTGTATGTCGGGTAATATATAAATTAAGGTAGTGTCTCTCCCCCCCCCAGGGGTATAAAATATGGGGTTGATAATCACAAATGGGTGTAAATCGAATTCCAATACATTTATAATTTTTTTCACATCATTGATAGACCACTATTGTAAGTGGGAATTCCGAAAATATATAAATTAAGGTACTCCTCGATAAAATAACAAGCTGTAAGTTAAAAGTGTTAGGGTTATTTTTTGTAAATTCAAAACCCTAAATTCCTGTTTGTTTATTGCCAAATAAGTACTATGCGTATGGTTTACGGTGCTCTTACACAGTCAATATATTCATAAAGGATGTCTGCCTGGAGACATATATGATTATCATTTAAAAATACTTAATACTACTTACTGTGAATAGTCTACTAAGAAATGTTAAAAACAAAACCGTTTCAAACAAGTAGGTACTAAAGATTTCTATAATGAATATAACTTATTTTTTAAATTTAAAATAATTGCATATAAAAGAGATCTTATTAAATTTATATTATATCAATTTAAATGAAGTAAGCATTAATCACAATTACAATATATGAAAAACCAACAGAAATATATTTAAAATTATAAGTTCAAAACTGAATTTGGTAAGAGAAACTCATTAAATATTTGTATTAGCTTATGTTATTAAATAATATTTAGTATTAAGATTTACTAATTTGAGTTTATTTTTGAATACCTAATGTTTAGTATAAGAAATGTTATGCAATAAAAAAAATATATTAATTTTTCAATTTATATAATTTTTATTTTAATATAAATTCTGTGATACATACTTGACCTACAACTAAATTAATATCTATATTAGAATTAGTGCATTTTCACTATATATTGAACTCTTATAGTTACCTATTTAAGAAATAGCTAAAACATTATATATAGAAAGAGAGATTTACTTAAATTAGAACTCTTGTTTCCTGCTCAAACTTGCTTTTGGAGAAAAAACTGAACAATTATTTTATATTTCATTTACATGTATTTGTATGATAACTTGAGAAATAATAATACATACTACTACTACTATATGTAACATTGACACAAATAAATAAGTATTTTTGTTTTCAAAAATAAGATTTGCTTATAAGTAAGTACTTACTTTAATTGATATTTTAGGTAATTACCCAATAGCCAATTCATTGGTGTTATTGAAGATAAATATATTTATAATGGATTTTAAAATATAAATTGCAAAATATTATATACTTTATACAAAAATAATTTGATCGGTATAATATAGGTATTTATGTATTAGGTTCCTACCTACACTATCCTGTTGAATGCAAGTAGATGCACTGAAAAATGTATTATATACCCTTTATTTTTAATATAGTTAAGCAGGTAAACAAAATAAACACTAGGTACTTACTAATTAATAACAAAACAACATATTCACATTTTAATTAGGTACCTCATAATTGATACCTACTTGCACTTTTATTATTATTAACATTTTATGTAGGTAGTATTATACTATCTATGATAATAATAGAGGTAGGTACCTACCTACCTTCGTGTTTCATGTAAGTTAAGTAATTCAATGAATATTATAAAATTAAATACATAACATAGGTAATAATATGTACCTATATTAAAAATACTTTATAAATTCATAATTAAATACCTACATAATTAATATATATATATATATGTATAATTATAATTAATACATATACATAAAGTTAATTAAATAGCTTAAAATATATTATTTAATCTCCCTGAAACTACAACAAAATTATCTCAAGTTATAAGCAAGTTTCACCTTGTTTTTGTTTTTACGATTACTATTAAGATACTTAAAAAAAATCAAATCAAACATTTTTAAACATTTAAAATTGTCACTGTTATTTCAAATTATGTGGATAAAATTGTTTTGGATTTGTATAAGGGCTAAAAAATTAATATTATATAAGTTAACTCGTACATTTTTCTTGTAGGAAAAAAATTTATTAATTATAAAGTCCATAATCAAAATTGTTTTTAAATTGTAGTTTAGATTATGTAACTAAATTTATAAAAAATTATGAATATTTTATACAATTAGTGTAAGATTTTATGAATTTTATATGTACCTAATAATTACAAAATTATAATTTTTGTCCTTTAAACATTTAATAAGTTGTTAACAGCATAGTTAAATGTACTTATTTCAGTTGTTGATTTTGTGGTCCAAGACTATTTTCTTAAAATAAATTGTTTAAAATTGTATAGCCATTCAATGATTTGTTTATAAAAAACTAAGAATTCTAAGGAAACAGTGAAATTGTAAGTGAAAAGTAGTATTTAATCAATCGTTAATATTAAAATATACTAATATATAGATAAAAATTTGTTTTTTATTTCATCAGTCGAAATATTAAAAAGTCAGATATAATATTATTTGTTATTACGACAGACAGTACACTTTTGTTAATTGATATCATTTAGACATATAGGTGTGTTGCTCTGTAAAATTATTGAAACATATTCAACATAAAATATTATATACTATTAAATAAAATAAAAATATGATCTATAAGGATAAGGTTAATACAAATTTAATTATTGTTTAATGCCATCTTGTTTTTGCAAAAGGTTTTTCAGAATCATTTACTTAGTTAAAAATGAATAATTGATGCAAGTAAGTTGAACTCAAAATGTATATGCAATCAATGAGTTAATTTATGAAGTTTATTCATTAATAGTATTTTAGTAAGTATTATTGTGTTATTATACCTAATTTTAGTTAGGTTTACTTTTAAACAAACAATTGTAAACACAATATTCAAAATTATATGTACAAGTCTATATTTGAATAAACCAAACAGTAATAAGTGTTAAAATGCACAAATTGATACAAACTACAAAGGTACCAAATAAAATGTGGCAAGAAAATTAAGTTGTACATTTTTTACAAGTACTTAATTTTGGCCAACTTACTACACATTTAGTTATACAAAAAGAAAAATAATAAAAAATTGTAACAGTCCTAAATACTAGTGGTGTATATTTTCAAGTGTTTGCGCAGTTCTGGACATGTCGATGAGAATATTCTGTTTAGCCGTTATCACACTGTACAGAGTCACAGTTGCTGCTGTAAAATATACAGTTGCCATACCCACTATAACATATCAGGAACACAGCTACTAAGAACACTATGCTGCATATTGTGCACGGTTTCCGCTCCAAAAAGAAACCAGTCAAGTACAGTACCATGAACATGACGTGGGTCTGCAACAGTGCTGGATTCAATGGTTTCGGTATGAGTAAGACGGGTATTAGCCATTGTAGACAGTACATGCTGTGAATGTGCAGACTTAAAAACTATACTGAACTACGAACGTATTTTTTTTTTTATTATTATGGCGGATTTTAGTTTGAATAATTAGTTTGAACAATGAAATTAATACAATTTTAATTAAAATAAAAATGTGTACATTATGTTATGTACGTTCCGCTAGCAATATTTGATAAGAAAGCGCAGTGGTTCTCAAATTTGTATATAATGTTGCCTATTCAACTCCTATAAATGTACTTCTCTTATTTTAATAAGTTGCCTGCACAATTCTTAAAAATTAATCGTTTCACCCATTCTTAAAATTCTATTGCTAACGTTCAATTTTGTATCTATGTTGCCTACCAAGCTCCTGAAATTGTATAGTAATATTTCTCAGTTTGTCTATTTAATGCCTATCTAACTTTCAAAAATCTATTGCTATTGTTCAAAAAAATATTTCTATACCTGGGTACCTATCAAAATTTAATTTAATACAAAATATGTGTTTAATATTTTAAATATTCCCTAACTTATGAAATAGTCTCGAATATGCAAAAAATACTTTGTCCTGTGAACTCTTTATTGAATAAATCGTCCACAATTCTTACTCTCATGACTGCATATATGTAGGTAGGTAACAATATGAAAATCAATCAAATTCAAGAAAATAATAATGATAAAATTTAACCATTTCTTACAAAATTTTACATGGATTCTTAATTGCCTGAAATACTTGACCCAAGGTTTGATCGAGGACTACCACCAATTAGGCCGAGTATACTACAAAAGAAGTTGTAAATTCAAAAAATGCAAAACGTTGCATATTTTAACTTTTAATCTTATATTTTATATTAATTATGTAGATATAGATAAGAAAAAAATAATTATTTATTTATATTTAATTAGATTTTTCATATTAATAATACCGTAAACAGGTAGGTGAGTATAATAAGTGTAATCATTGGTATTTATAATCAATGCTATCGTTGGCGTAGAAAGACTCGGTAACGGCCTTGGCAAACTTAAAAAAAGCGCCTTTTTACTAATTAAACATTTTATGTAAATTGAGATTTTATTTTTTTTAACCTTTAATTTTAATAATTTTTTTTAAGAATACAATTTATATCTACTGGTTTTTATTACAGGGTAAAGTTTAAACTTTAAAAATTTGCTTTTCGTGCTACAAAGAAGGCTGTTTCGGCTGGTTACTGTGACGTTACGCTAATACTTACAAAATTATTTTTTTGTTCTTTTTATTGATATCACATTGTTCATTTTTGCAAATTTATTATTTATCTAACACCTCAAATTCAATTTTCACGCGTTTTGAGAGCCATTGGGCTCTCTTATCAAATATTGCTAGCGGAACATATTATAGTTATTAACAAAGAAACCAAGGTTTATAGATAATATTAGTATCTATAAACACAGTCTAAGAATATAAGGTCAGGCAAGTATCGATGGAACACACGCTTTTATTATGGAAAAAATTCGGAATGGGCGCAGTGCTGCGTTCCATTAGTTTAATAATTTTGATAATATCATGAAATCTATGACCCGAAACATAAATTAGAAATTTATTCATAAACAATATTATTATTCTAAGACAGTGCCATAGACATTAATTTCCTCATCCCTACTCACTCTATATCATATATAATTAATAATTCGAAATAAAACATAACATATAACTTGATAAGGACTCAATAGGAACACTAGTTTACCAAATATTGCATTTGTATCTTTTAAGTTTGAATATCGATACAAAATGCCCATATACTTTAACACGAACAAGAAAAAAAACTAGCAACATTTTGTACATAATTTGTATCAATATATTATTAGGAACTATCATCAAGCCATCGCAATTAGTGTACCTCCTATTATTTAATAATTTATATTTATTTACATTACAACACATTGTATACAATATTCTAATATTTTTATTAACTAATTAACATAAAATATTAACGATTAAAAATTTAAAAATCCTAAACTTAAATGTTGAGCATTGATAATAAATTGTTAAAATACGAAATATTATTTGGTTTTTATTTAAGCCGCTAGAGTGCAGCAAAACGCCTGTTCCAGTTTTGCTCCGTAATAAAAGCGTTTTTGTTTGTACGTATTTTCATGTGAGTTGCACCGTCCTGACTATAAACCTTGCGAAGGAACGAAGTCGAGATAATAATAATGATAAAAATATTGATTTTCTAGTGTTTCCTAAATTATTGAAGTGAAAATAATATGTAATTACTAATGTTCAGTTTTCGGTTTACACCATGAGAGAGAAGCACCTATTGATTCACATGATTTAAGTATCTATAGACAACCTACCTATACCTACTTTAAAAACAATAATATAACGTGGGTTGAAGACAAGGTTTAAATATTAAATTGTGCTTGTAGGACGTAGTTATTATAGTAGGAAATATAAAAAGATGTTTAAGATTATAGTATATGAAACATAGATTTGAGTAAGATACACAAACTAAGATATACTTGACCTTAGTTAATAGTGGGATATATCTTAATTCATGCTACGAATTGAATACCTATCAAAATATATCTGTGGCTCTGCTAGACAATTGTATACAATAATCAATAAAAAATGCATATATATCATATTTTGACACAATAAAATGTCGACTTTATTCTTCATATTTCACGAAATATCAACGTTAAAACCGGAGTTTACGGAATTGGTATTTATATCCACTCTTTCCGTACGTTTTTTTCTAATTATTGTGAAAACTGCTCGGAAAATTATACAAAAATGCTAAATTGTTGTTTTTTGATTAGAACGAGATATCTGGTAGAAAATAAGACCAAATAGACTTAGATGGTTTGAGCGTTGGGCGTGTCATGAGGACAGACGAATCACAAGTAATAATAATGGTATCTAAGGACAATAAACGTACCTAAATAGGAGGAAAGAGAGGAAGAGGTAGACTGAAAAAGAGTTGCTTTGAATGCGGTTGAGAATGACACTCAAGAATAGGCAATGTATATACGAGATAGAAGATCGGATTAAGTGGATATTTAGGACAAGAGTGGTCTAAATAGCTAGGATAAAGGGTAAGGAGAAGAAGGAGACACTTATTCACAATTAATTAATTGTGTTCAGTTTCCAGACAAAAACTGAACAGTGAAAATGAACACCGAAGAGGAACATGGTGCTCGATCATTTTCTTCTAAAACTATATTCAATGCAAAGAAGTTTGGTAAATGGCTCTGGGGGAAACTGGTAAAAAATGAAGACTTTCAAGAAGGTCCTATATATAATTACGAATCAGTTTTTCATCAGGCAGCCAACCGTTTCGCGACTCGATTTTGATTGGTTTTTGAACAACGTAAATACCATATCTACTCGTATCTTATTTATTTGCGTTCGTCCAGTTTTGGCCGCGGCCGTGATGCTTTATAATTTCGGCACGCAAACTAATTTCCAGTCTCCGTCGGTCGTGTCACCATAAGTGATAGTGTGTGTTTTTATTTATTTTCTAATTGTACGGTGCAATTATTGTGCAAGTGACAAGTATCAATATTAAAACTACGTTACGATGAAATTAATTAAGTGTCATAATGATCGACGGAACTAGTTTCCACCAAAATTAACCTTCACCTTTTCAACCATAATAAGTACACGTTTTTGTCAAATTATTTCCGTAATTTATTAATTGTTGCAAGTGTAGCCTCATTTTAGTTTAGAGTTGAAGTCTCTTGTCTATAAAACATAAAACACCTGATACTTCTTTGCACTTTAATCAACCATACGAAATTCTATGTTTCACATGCTCATAAAAGCCATCGTTCTTTTGGCTGCATCCGAATTATGTGTCAATAAAAAAATCGATGTTAGTCGATAACCGAGTTGCGTGGGATGAGTTATGATTATAGTCTATGGATAAGTAAACTTTATACCTACAGTTTAACGATTTATAACTTTTGATGATTAGTTAGTAGTTAAGTTAGACTTCAAACACTTGCGACAAAAACAAACAAATTATATAATTATACATCATTAATGTATCCACACATTTTAGAATAATAATACTGAAAGATACACAAAAATAATATGTAATCTTATTTACTTAAAAATGTAATCACCGGGGTCGAGTAAAAATTTAAGTTTTTCAAATTTTAAATTGTAAAATCAAAAAATAAGAGTATTTCGAGAAGAAAAGTTTTTCGCAGAATCAAAAATTTGAAAAAAAAATCGCACACTTAAATCAACTGAATCTCTAAAAAAAAAAACACGCACGCAACGCGGCCGACATTATATTTCTGCACGAAATTCGAAAACATCGGTTCTTTGGTACAAAAAAACTTTCAACCTCACCTAAAACTGCTTATTGTCGTTCGCTGTCTTGTGATGTTCCTTCAAACTTCTACTTATCTTTGGTCCCTTTGAGTACTAGGTACCTACTATCCATTTCTCTCATCTATTGTTTACTAATTCCAGAATTTTACCTATTATCAAAGTTATATCATCTGCAAAACAAAATACACCATGAAACCTCCCTCACCTATTGTAACCACGCACATCTAAAATTGAACAATCTACCAAAGTCTTATTTAGAATTTCTCATACTATTTGACGGAATTTTACACCAGTTGTTGACCTGGCGTTAGAGATCAGCACGGGCCGGGCCAACCCGACCCACACCGGGTTTAGTCCGGGCTGAGCCATAATTTAAATATTACAGGTTGGTTATAGGTAGGATCGTAATATTATTCATTGGGCCGAGTCAGTCAATAATAAAACTCATTAGTTTAATTTGTAACATTGTGTATATGTATTTTATATCTATAAATAATTTTATTACCAGACTGTATGATATTTATAAATAGATCACTAGTATAAACCAATAATATTTTACAGTTTTATCTTTATTAATGTGCGATTATGTTTTTCATTTAATCATTTTATTATTTCGTCGACTGGTAAGACATAACAATAAATTAATCCACTCTTCTCATAGTGGAAGGATGATTGCTTGCCAATAGACTCTTATGATAATTTTAACAATGAACTGAAAATTTATCAAATGGAATTATATAATCAAAATCGAGATATTTTACAATGGTGGAAGGAACACAGTGATAAACTGCCTCTAATGGCTAAACTTGCATCAAGAATTTTAGCATATTTTTCTTTGTAATATATTTATTGTCTTTATGAAATGTTTTTGTCTAATACGTCAATACTGAAAGAAAATAAAGTTGATGTATATTTGTATTTACAAACGGGCATGGTCGGGTTGGACTTTGAAAAAGTAATTACAAACGGGCCTCGTCGGGCTAGACTTAAAAAAAATAAAATATGGACCGGACCTGGACGACGACAGTTTATAAATTTAAGTTTTGGGTCGGATCGGGCCGATAAAAAACGGCCCGTGCTGATCTCTATCTGGTGTAACCCTAATACGTAATTATACGATTCCGTACGTTTGTACCTATTTGCCGTACTATTCCGTACGTCTGGGCAAAAGGTTCATTAGGCAACCTGAGTATCTGACCCTTAAATTAGTACGATTCCGTACGAAAATGAGTGCAACGTTGACAACGCGTACGAAGTCGGGTTCCACAACGTTTACTCACAAAACATGTTTACAATTTTTAATACCAATTACCGTCTAGGTATACAAGTCTTTCTACTGCACCCCGGAGCACTGTAAAATCGTACTAAACCACATAGTCTTATAATATAAACACGTATTAATAATAATACACAAATAAAATATAATGTTTTCAAGTGTAATTATAACATTACTTATTAGCCTACTAATTAGTCAGTACGAAAAAAAATGTATATACATCGAAGTAATAGTATTTATTGGCAACTAATTAATTTGCATAATATAATCAGTAAAAATAAATTTATAGGTTTAATCGTGTAAATGTGTAGAAAAAAATAACCTACATGTATGTAGAATAATAATATCTTTATTCTTCATGCTTAAAATATGTTATGCCGTAAACCACAGAGCGATCGTGATATTAAAGAACGAGCATACGATATTGTACTCTACAGCATGATAATTTAAATAGGTATGACAGCAAAAATTCTATATTCATCGTGTTCACGCATATTCCTTGCATCCGACTACCCTCCGTCTACATTTGTAACGTAAGCTTTTCGGCTCATCCTATTGGTTGTAATATTTCCATTTAAAGAATCGTGTAATACCTATAATACCACGTTAACCACGTTTTGCTTATAAGAGACGAATTAATATTGAATTTGAATTTCCGATTTATTAATTATACTGTTATATTATTTATTTATTGCAATTCTTTAGTACAATAGACACATATGTTTGTCATATTGACAAAAATGCTTGTGAATGTATTTAGGAATTGTTATAGTGGGAGTCAAAAAAAGGGAAAAGTCAAAGTTGTGTTCATTACATTACATAAATTTCCAAAAAATGAACGATTAAGGTATATTTGGTTACAAAAAATATACTATTAATTTTGAAACTGGTAAAAAACTTGTATTTTGTTGACATATTTACAACATACATACAACCTATTATACTTATACATTAACATTATAATTACCTACATTTGTTTATTATTCATGATGTTTATTACTAGCTATTCTGTTCTCTGCAAATAGTTATTGAACAAAATTACCGATTTTGTTTTAAATTTGAAGGTTCATTGGAAAGCAACTTTTCTATCATTCCAGAAAAGAATTTATATTCTTTATTTATATTCTTGAAATTACATAAATTATTAATTAGGAATCATGATCTCCAATACATCTCTGATTAATTTATTCAAAGAAGTAGGTGAATATGGAGTTTCTTACATCACAACTAGGAAACTAAATCAAGATGTCGTGGAAAACCTATTTAGTTTTCTAAAAGGGATAAACGTTTCAGCAAGTAATTATATAACAGCACTTGATTTTATGTCTTGGTATGTTTAATATGAAAATATAATTATATATTTATTTTACCATTTTTATTGAATTTCCATATAAAATTGCCACTTTATATTAGTCTTAAGTGGTACATTTTAGGTAAAAATTTAAATGTCGTATTTATCGAAAATAGAAGTACAGAGAATGGAGTAAAGGAGAGTTTTCTTGATAGCTCTGAATGTTTAACTGGTGAAATCATAAAAAATGTATACCTTTTACCTAACACCTCATGTGAAGGACCAAAAATAGACTGTATCCAAGGTGAAGTTGAAACTGATTTGGGAACTGCAAGAGTTCAAATTTCCAATAATAGTATTGATTTACTGAAACAATTTGAATTTGAGGTAGGCACCAACAATAAAATAAAACTAACAATAAATTTTAATAAATAATATAAAGTTTGCGGCATTTAGGTTTTAAATTATAACAGAGTCCTTTCACAAAATATCTACTTATGTTGAACTTTTGTAGACGTCGTAAAATTTTCAAAACATTCCAGTTATTTTCAGGCTATTTATAGGTATTTTTTTCATATTTGTCTAGAAATTATCCACAACCCTCTCCGGGCCTCTCCCCAATTGAAAATTCTTAAGAACGCCACTGTACTTATTGTATGCATAATAGAAATGCGCGTATTTCGGCGCTTTTTATACGAATTAGATTATTAGTCTATTAGATTCCTTAGGTTTATAATACAATTTGTTAAAGTTCGTCAGGTTATGGCGGTTGTGTATACATTATGGTTTTAAAATTTGAATTGTATTTAATCAAATTAATGACAAAACAATTCCAAACCCGTCAACGTCATTCTTCTTTTTCTCCTTCGCCTTCATCCCATTCATCCCAGTTTTTTGGGGTCAGTCATCGCCATCTTAAATTTAATTTTACCCGATCTCCTACCTCGCGTACACTTTGATGTCCTGATATCAATCGCGCCTCATTTTTGGTCTTCATCTCCCTCTCTTTTCTTATCTTCTTTATACTTACTCGTACAATTTTAAACTGTTGAGTACAACTTATTATGAGTTTCATGTTAAATTTTCAAGCATTTCTGTTTGGTCAAACAATGACATTCACGTAGTACCTATCAAATAAAAACTACATAAAAAATTCACAAACATAAAATGCATATAAATAGCTCAAAAATCACTTAATTGTTTTTAAAAATTTTAAAAATCTAGAATAGTCAAATACAAGATATCTGTCAAAATGTGAAGTTCACAAATATTTTTAATTGAATAACAATAAAAAAATCACAATTGAAAATAATGAAACCATTATTTCTGTAAACTTTTCCGTTTTTCTACGTTTTTTACGGTTACTCAATTATCAAGAAAAATATACGGCAAACCAAAAAAAAACAGCTATCTTAAACACTGACTACTGGAAAAAACCTAGGAAAAAAGATAAGAAAATTGGAACGGGTACAGCCACTGGTATAGTAGGGAATTTGGGAAGGTAGGATACAGACGGGAATTAAATGTATATCAATAAGCAACAATAAACCATTGCTTACGAAAAAACGATTCTGAGCGGAGTTTAGTTGATAGAGATGCTTTGTCAACCATATATATGTCATATTATAGTAAAATAACTAAATAGATTCTATATATTTTCTTAAATAATATTTGTTTAATGTTGTACCAATTTGTCCAGTTTTCCTACGTTTTTCCCGGTTTTCCCGTATTTTATCCCGGTTTTTCACATTTGCTTGGAAAACTCTTGAGAAAATCAAAATATTACCACTTTGAAGTACCTCCCTAATGAAATTTCCTTTTAGAAACATCGCTATCATTAAAAGTTGGAGCAAAATTGTAGAAAAGTTGTTTACAAAAAAGAAGGCCGTGATATATTTTAATTAATTCCTACATTTCTTATATTTTTCCGTTTTTTTTTTTCGGTTTTTCTAATTTTATGAGAATTTTGAAAAATGACCCCCTCTATACCGATTTATTTTCAAAAAAAGTGCTATACTTAGAAATTTGAACGAATCTTCTAGTAGAAAAGTTGTTTATAGATAAAAAAAAAATAAATATCTTTGTAAAACCATAAGCTTCATCACTCCACTCAGAATCTAAAACTGAAAAGTTTATTGCATACAATGTTTCATTATTTTTTGTTGTAAATCGTTAAAAAATAATCGTCGAGAGCGTTTCACAGAATAATTTTATTAGTGTTTTCTAAAAATGATTAAATTTTTAAAACATTCTAGCGATTTTTGAGCTATTTATAGATATTATACGTGTTCTATATTTTAGTTTTTCTCCGGTAGGTATTATGTAGACACAATTTATACTTGGCCGATCAGAAATACTTACTTGAATATTTAATACGAGGTTCATCATAAATTTTTCTTAGTGGACAATACATTTTGAGAGTAATGACGTACCTGTAATGTATCTTATTTAAAAGCGCCTAATATCATATTTTAACAACAATCATCAAAATTATGGCATTTTAAAACATATTTAACCGAACTTTGCTCTGAATTGTAGCAATGATTTGTTTTTAACACATGTCTTTTTATATCAAATAAATTACGAGGTTCCTATACTATGACCATATATACGAATATATCAAACGGACATAGTTTCAAAACCGCCGAGGGTTAAATTAGGGTGCTGTCTGTCAACAGATTATTTGTGAATGGTATTATACGAGAATAATATAATATATTATACACATAGGGAGCAAAAACGCTACATCATTTTAATCTTAAAACTTCGCATTTCATTGTGTATTTACGTTCGTACCATTTTTGAATACAATATTTTTGTACGAATCGAAAAATAACAGTTTTTGTACACAAAACGATTTGAAAATTGTATATTGAGGACTATAGGGACTAAAGTACCAGGCATCTTTTTTAATGGTGATAAATTTCCTTGTATTTTATTTGTTCCTTGGCATATTCTGGTTATTTTTTATTTTTGTTTGTTTTAATGAAGATATTTATCGAGTTTCAGAAACTTAAGATCATTCACTTATTTAACACGGAACTATAAGAAATGTATAACCGCTTTAGTAAGTCCTAACTTCGCCTAAAATAATATTTCGTTAACAGAGGTTTATCGTAGCATGCAGGTATAAATTTAATACCTTTGTCTATCCAACCATCCTAACTTCCAACCAACAATAGTAGCGCACGCATATCTAATATCAGCTCGTTTGGATTATAATTGACCCTAGGAATATTTTGGTTTTATTATGTGTGTTTGTTTTTTATGTTTGTTAGTAAAATTACTATTAGAAATCTTATTCCAATCAAAAATGCATGTATATTATATCATTACAAATCTAGTTAGTATTTTGAAGAAAGTTATTTTTTTGATTTTCCAAGGGGTTTTCGAAATAATTGGGAAAAACTTGAAAGAAAATTATTGGTAAAACGACAAATATTTAGAAATATTATTCCAATCGAAAAATGACAAGAGATCAGTTTTGTTCTATGTAATATACAGCCGCTGACGCAAAAAGTCGTTTTTGGTATCTAAAGTATTTATCATAATAATCAGGAACACAAAAAAACACGATTTTTTTTAAATTACGGCGCAACGATTTCATTATTTTAAATTTGTATGGCTTATGTTTTTTTTTCACCATAAATGTTACTCCAATAGAAAAACAACAAAAGCCTTTTTTGTTGCATTTTTAATTTAGTTGGTGAGTAAGAAAGTCGTTTTTTGATTTTCTCTGTAGTTTTTTAATAATTTAACGAAACCGAAAAATTGTCTATGTATTTTTCTACGTAACGGGAAAATTTACGAAAATAAATCTGTTATTATTTTAAGTTTTGTTTTTTTTTTTTTTTTATGTAATTCAGTTTAAAATAATTGTAGAGACTTGAAATTTAGACAGAAAACTCATATTTACCTTTTCTAGATGTGATAAAATGTTTAAAACATTTAAGCTATTTTAATTTTGATAAGTGTTTACGTAATTTTTATTTGGTAGTTACTCTGTGGATAAAATTGGTAGACTAAACAGAAATAATGCTTGAAAATTGAATAGGGGCTTAATTATAATTCGTAAACTGCGGTAAAAAAAATTGAATGTACAGTAGTATTTTTTTTAAAAAAAGTTTTAAGATCAAATTTTGACTAATTATTATGGCCTTTCAAAACATGAATGTAAACGAATTTCGCTGAGAATCGTTTTCGCAGGTTAATAATGGTTTTGTATAAATTATCGATAAATAAACAAATGTTTAATAAATAACTTTCCTACATATCCTGTCCTACGTTCCCGACTTTCCCCTTATAACTGTGGCGTCCCAAGCATCAGACCTTTTTTAATTTTTGTTCTTTTCTCGGTCGAACATCGTCGTCCGAGCAACCGATTTTTGTTGTTTTTAGTCGGACACGGTAAAATTACATGCAATTGTTATGGTAATACCACCGACACCGCGCCGTGCACCGTGCGCGCGTACCTATACGCGATAATTTACGAGCGGGGTTGAAAGGTACGCCAGCAGACGGAAGTGTAGCGTGTGTAATACTTCCTCATTATTACTCGTGGCTCATAATACTCTGCCGCGCGCAACGATCATCCCGCGGCGCGCGTCGTAATGTTACGCGCCGCGGCTATTTGCCGCGCAGTATTTGTCGTGCACAAACGGCGCGGCGGCTCACATGTCATGCACCGACACCGTACGAAAAACTGTAGACATACTAAAACGTACGAACGCGAAGAAGAAAAATAAGAAAACCCGGCGGAAGAAGAATAAGGTAACGAACGTTCGCCGGTTTGCCAATAATTTTACCTCACTCGGCCGCCGTCACCGCCGCCGACCTCCCCCCCCGCCGACCATCCGGTCTTTTTCTACCCGATTGGAGCGCACGAGACCCGCTCCGCCCCGGACGACCGCGCGCTTCGTCTGACGCGCGCGGCACCGTGTCTGCCGCCCGAGATCGCGGCAGTCAGTCAGTCTCCCGGTCCCGTGCATCGCCGCAGTGGTCCGCGCTCAACCACGGAACGTTAACCGCCGCGAGCTACCAGTGTGCGTTGTGTTGTACAGTGAGTGACGTACGTACGTACGCGAGAGTCGTTTATGTTGTCCCGCAGTACTTGCGCGTACGACGAGTATTATACCACTTATTATACCCCGTGCGGCCGTAATAATAATATTGTATTATAGTGTCGCGAGGAGCGATGTTCGCTTGGCGTACGGCCAACTGCGTGTAAAAAGTACATACCGTTAAATAAAAAAAATAAAATAAATTTCGAATAGGTAGGTAACATCTAAATAAAAATACCGCCGTCGGTTAAATGGGTGTTTTTCGACGATCTCGTTGAATTCGCTTTTTGAAGTACCGCAACATATTATAAATTACGATTTAAAAACCGGAAGACCGCCGAAAACCCGACAAAATGACGCTTAATGCCGTTGCCG